CCTGGATAGATCGCGAAATTAACAGCGGCCCGAGGGATATACAAACGCGAGTCCTGGATAGATCGCAAAAAATAATCGGCGTCCTGTGTGATAATCACACACGCGAGCCCTGGATAGATCGCGAAACTAGCAGCGTCCTGTGGGACATACACACACGCGAGCCCTGGATCGATCATGAAATTAGCGACGTCTCGGCGAGTTGTACGTCGTTTGGAGAAGCGCAGGCCGCACACACACCGCCCGGTCAGGACAACCTCGGGATTTCGGCGAGATCCCGTTCAGCGTCACTGATGCAGGGTGTCGTCCGGACAACACACCTAGAAAAATACGGGAGCTACAGAACCAGCCTCGGGATTATTGCGAAGTCCTGTGTTAGCTCCGTGAACCTTCGCGACCCGTGCGTTTACTGAACTGCCCGGACTGTCCCTTAGAAAGTTGAATTAATTGTTAGCCCCTAATTAGCTTTCCCCGAGAGGTACACTGAGCCGGAGCAGATGTCAGACAACCTTTTCAGGACATCATTCCTGGCGACCTGCCCGTAGCACAGCGTAGTCCCTTTTTGCCTGCTCGGCAATCCTGGACCGTCCCTTAAAAAGATGAATTACTTATTAGCCCGTAATTAGCTTTCCCCGAGAGGTACACTGAGCCGGAGCAGATGTCAGACAACCTTTTCAGGACATCATTCCTCGCGACCTGCCCGTAGCACAGCGTAGTCCCTTTTTGCCTGATCGGCAATCCTGGCAATTTTAATATGAAAGAAGAAAACTACGAACTCTCGTCTCATCAACCGAAGGACACGTCAGACCGGAGCAGATGTCAGACAACCTTTTCAGGACATCATTCCTGGCGACCTGCCCGTAGCACAACGTAGCCCCTCTTTGCCTGGTCGGCAATGGTTGTTCTCCCGCGCTTTTCATATCCTAACAATCCCGTCAACTAACTCCCTTATCCCTATAACGCATCCAGGTAGTCGAGTAGACGCTTAATAACAATAAAATAATACGACCTACCCTCGATCACTTTGGCGGTGGGTGCTTACCTTATACAGTGCGGCGGCAGGCGGCTGGCAGCAGGACACTTGGCAGGGCACTCCGGACTCGAACCTCACTGGTTCACGTGCGAGCCACAAAACACATACACAAGGAGAAGTGCGAGCGCCTTGCTAAATATTGGAAAGTGAAATTGACGTTTAAATTTGACACTGTTGACAAGTCTACTGCTACTAGCGCCCCCAATATCGCTTGTAGGAACTACGGACTAGATTGTCACGCATGGCGGGAAGTTTAAAAAAATAAAAAATTTAATTCTTCATTTATTTTTAATATGACATAGATAAAAACACAAAAAATACACCATTTTTTAAAAATATGTTTAATATCAATATCAAATATACAACAGAAATTAATTTCACCACAATAAATTAATAAAATTAAAAAATAATGTTACAAGTAGATCAAGAGACAAAATTAATTATAACAAAACTGAAAAAAATGGCGTCATAGATGGCTTAGAAATGACGATATATATCATAATTTTGAAAGTAAAATTATATAGGAAATGTCATCGATCATCATTTTGAAGCCAACTGGACGATTATTTCAAACATACAAGCTGAGTTCGTTCATAGTGCTCTGAGAAATCTAGATAAACAAAGAATAATAAATTAAAAGTATTCCAGGGAAAAAGAGAGGAAAAACCTGTATCGTCTCTGATATCTGTCAGGGTTTTGTTGAAAGTGTCATCTTTTTGCTCGAAGTTTTCAGGTCGATTAAAAAGATGACATTTACAACAATACTTTGCCGTAACTTTCACAAATATCAGAGAGAGAGTACAGGTATTGCCTCTCTTTTCCTCTGGGATGCTTTATATCTGTTCTTCTTTGTTTACCTATATTTCTAAGAGCATAATGCCAAACACGACTACAGTATATAATAATTTCAATATCCTAAGTGGAAAGAAAAAAGATCACCTTTCTGTTTTGTACTATGGTCCCTTTCTTCCGATGGCTCATCTCGTTGATATTTAGGAAGGTATCCATAAAATATATATTTTATTATCGGTCCTGGGATGAAAAAATATAAAATTCAATTTCATTTGATGATCCTTTTCTGTCACCTAAATCAGGAGAATGACAATGAGCATGTTAAGATGAAAAAAAACTTATTTATCAACACTTACCTACACGTTAGTCCAAGGAGTTTTATCAAAAACCTATATTTGCCTAAATAATTTATGTATTCAATTTACAAAGCAAACTGCAGCGTGTAAACAAAAGAAATAAAATGGCGACAAGTCAACGTCAACGACCCGACAAGGAGAAAAGTGGTGTTCGAATAACAATTTATGGGTTGCAAAAAATTGTTTTTGTCTCCTTTCAACGCACACTTTAGAAAGAAAAAGAGATGAACAGTTATACTGAAAGAATGTCAAGGTTTTATCTGTCACTCTTGTCAATAATTTATCGGTAAGGAAGATTCCTAGAAAATCGCTTGTAGTCAAGTTTTCAACCATTTCCAGTTCTCCCATAAGAAGTGTCATCCACCTGGTGCGAGCACTAACTACCTCTCTAGTGCTGGTGCGGCCGAGGTACTCGACTGACGCTCCCCTCCACTCAACCTGCACTGGTAGGGAGAGCGGCGCAAACGTCTCGGTTTCTCGCACCGAACTACAGCGACCAAAACCGATCAAAACTCTCTTACAAAATGGCAATTAAATATTTAATTTATTTAATTCAACACTAATGAAGTTCATTAAAGAAAATAAAGTCCCTACTATTCTAGTACAACATCAACACAATATACAGGGTGTCCTAGAAATTTTTATGAACTTCATTACAAACTACTGCGTATTTTTAGAATCAAAATAAGTTCATCGGGCACAATTTACTACACTATACAAAAGTGCTTCGTTTCTCCGTTAGAGGGCATCAAACTTTAAAAAAATAAACACATTTTATCAGATATTTTAAGAACCGTTATTCCGATTTGAATGAGATTTTGGGTGTCTATGTTTTGCTAAGTGCTTTAACATTTGACTTTCACAAAAATCAAGAGAAAGTACGGAAAGGGTTAAAACTACTAATTTTAGTATAATTATTTTCTCCACCGACGACAGATTTTCTTTTCGTAAAATGGTCCCTCTACTATCGCATGATCGAAAATAATGGCGTCCAGCGGGCTGGGAAATTACGATCGATGACATTTCCCATATAAATTTACATATAAATTGACAGCGATCTTCATTTCATAGCTATCGCTGACGCCGTTTTTTCTTGATCATATGGTATTTACTACATGTTTTGTCTCTTGTAAAAAAATGCCATAGTTTTTGAGAAAAAATGTATTTGAAAAATTTATTTCACCAAAGCAAAATAAAAAATGAACCGAAAAGTTATTAAAATTTATTAATTTTTTAAGCTATTTATGAAGTTTATTGTTAAATATAATTTGTGATACCACAGATTAGGTATACTATATGTATACAGATAAAAAGCTTATCCCTAATTCGTGGTACGAAAATTGTTTTTTATGACGATGTGCAAACGAGTAAAATTTTCTGTGCGCAAAAATAAACTCGCGTAAAATACAGCGTAAACAGCGTAATAGAGAGATATCGCTAAACCGAATAGCGTGCATGGACGTTAATAAGGCCAGGTGTTATTTCCTTTACGTGAGGTGGTATTAACTCTCTTCATTCATAGTTATCGGATCGGAAAAAATTCTATTCGCGTCGCGTCCGCTATTTAAACTTAACCTAACTTTGAATTTAAAACTTTGAAATTGTTTTGTTTTTACTAGGAATTTTAAAACTAAAGGGCTAAAGTGCTTTTTTGTTCATTTCCAGTGCTTCATTGTTCAACGTCTGCCAGTAGGTTTAGGGCAACAAGCAGCAAATTCTCTTAGAAGGGCTAAGCCGTCATCTGCTGTAAACCTAAGCGTCTTTATAGGTTCTTTAATATTGGAAAAGGTGGAATCCATATTTTGGGCCATATTTATTTAATTAAAACTAATCCCAGCTACTTAAATATCAAATTATCCAATAAAACTAAAGTAATAATTCAAAACAATTCAAACATAACCTAAAGTAAAAGATCTCGCCGCTCGCCGGCCGGCCCCGGTTGTCAAATGTACCCGCACATGCCCATTTAAGCAATTTTTAAACGTTATTTAGAAATAGCGCTTGGTGTAATTGATCCGCAAATTCCGTCAGGCGGTAACGTTATTAGCGGGTGTTGCGTTAAAAATTGACTCGCGCATATCGTAACAATGATAAGGTACGCGTAAATACTGCATGACGCTATTCTGTTTTCCGATATCTCTCTAATAATTGTGCCGGTTCAGGCGCTGTGCACAATTTTAGAGGCCATAAGTGGGCGTGCTATGTGCGCAAACTAGTAACCTAACTAGTGCCCGATTCCGAAAATTGGAACCACGAAAAACTATAAAAAAAACAAAGTTTATAATCTGTGGTGATACTAACATGAAATTCCATATTTTCCGCTCACTAGATTATTAGAGCACAATAGATTTTATGCGCCTCCGTAGCTTGATATGACAAAAAACATTTTTTCGAAGTCAGCTTCGGAAAAATATTTTTTTTCTCAAAAAGTATGCGCGGTAAAATAAGCGTAAATTTAAAGAAACCGTTTTTATAGCAAGCAATAATAGCATTTTTAGCAATCCTAGTACCGGAATGTCTACGATATGGCAACCACTGATAAAACGATTCTATGCAGGCATTCTATGTGGACAACCTCACGGTTGACTGCACCCGACTTTTTCACGGGTGAAAGTATGACCGCAGTATAAAAGCTCGGTAGTTTTAGGAATTAGTTTAGTTTACACATGATAACGATCAGTGATCCTTCTGACCGAAACGTTGTGTTAATCAACATAAATAAAGACAATGGAAGTCCGAAATTCTTTAATCTTCAAAGATGAGACTGTTTAAAAAGGAGAACTTAAAAAAAACTTAAACTTATTTTGTTTACGAATACTTACTCGTTGTATTTGTCCATGTACTGTTGTAGTTTCTTTTGGACTAAGATGATCTCGTTGTCTTCTTCAGTTTTCTTTTCATTTCCACTGGTTCTATTTGAAAAAACAAAATATTAATTTCTTAAATTATCTTCTTTGGAAGTAGAAGGCATTACTTATACACACTTTGGAAATAAAATATATTCTTGGACTGACATTTATATTAAATCATTGACAAAGTTGCCTTTGCTCGTGGTACCAAATACGAGCATTAACCCGGTCTAGGGAGCCTAGAGACTTCTTCTCTGAACCCAACTAGATAATACCCAGCAGGCGCGTCCAAGTCGCGGGAGTGGGCTCGATCCGAGGATCGTTCTGTTGGGGACCCAGTATTGCGGGGTATAACGCTTTACTCGTACCCAGGGATACGGGCGAAGAGCACACCGGCAGTGAAGGCGGAAAAAAGTAACTTCGGTACGGCGGATCTGACTAAGTGGCAACCTTTCCTTTTGGGGTTAATACAAAGGAAATATAGCATAGGGCAGCAATTACGTCATTACTAGGTCAAGGCTGGGAAGAAACCTCTGGAAAACTTTCTCAGGCTTAATTCCAGATAGTCACAAGCGGCAATCACTTATTGATTTAACCGGCTGTGATTCTGCGGTGCAGAAAGCAAAAGGTAAACTACTGCACTATATTTCCCAAGGCAAACTCCATGATGTGAGAAACCACGGCCCCGAGAGTCCCCAGCGTCCCTTGAATGGGACAGGGCACAGTGTTTCGTGTATAACAAGCTAGGTGGACAAACTGTTTTACGGTTTGTTGCGGTAGTATTGCAAAACTAAAAAACAAGTCAATTTATATTTACTGGGAGACTTTTTTAAAGGTCTCTTCATTTTTAATCTTTTGACACCTTATTTATTAAAATCGGATTGTTTTTTACAAAGTTATATAATTTTAAACTTTAAAATTAAAAGAATTATAATTTACATTGTATGTATTTATGCCTCGTACTTAGTGATGATGAATCTGATGTCCCTGATGAGCAAAATATGTCCCTTCGTAAATATAAATTGATGTGTTTTTTTTTGTTAAATTGAATTTAAGGTATTTTAAAAGTCATTCTGGGTGGCTAGTTCTAGACTTAGAATCGACAAGATAAGCCAACGCTTCCTCACCATTTAATTGTCTAGATGGTTCTAGAAAACTGGATTTTTTAAAAATGCTAACTTTTTCTGAACAGTTACCAATTTCCCTAAGCACATTCGCAACGTTCCTTTGGCCTGTTGTAGCCGTTATCAGTTTACTAACACTTCGCGACTGAACGAGGTCTTCTAAGCGACATTTCTTAGTCTTAAAAGATGATTCATTGAGGCTTTTCCGATGTCTTCCTTAAGAATTAGCTTCTTGTGTTAAGGTATTCAGCAGTGGTTTATTAGTAGATACTCGGAACTGTATGGTATCGGTATCCAACCAGCATCTATTTTTTGTCAGGAAGCGTTCTTTTGACCTTCCTGCAGCCGTTCATCTATCTGATACTTTAGCGGAATAATTGGCTATCTTAAGCTTAATTTCTCTTAAGGACTCATCGGAGATCTCACTTAAATTAAACTTAGTTTTCAGAAACTCAAATAAATGAGAGTTTCGCTCATCTTTTGAGTGTTTTATCCATTCTTCAAAAAACTCACATTTGGAGAGAGAAAGAAGTTGTTCTGAAAAAAAAATAGAGTGTGCAAGTTGTAAAATACATAGTTTTATCGGTAACTATTTTAGCTAAGACATATATAAAATTTAGCCTGGGTACACACGGATGCAGGTTTTTCCTGGACTTTTAATGTGATTGAATTGGTAGGAAACAAGCAGTAAACTATTAACTATATTTAAGTATTAACTATATTTCAATAATTTCTTTCATAATATTTAAAATACCTGGGATGTAAATTATTAGGCGAAATTATAGTACTTACCCTCAAAAATGATGTCCATTTTTAAAAATTGCAAAATATCACTGGGTATCGTAGGGCCGTATTATCAAAATTAACAATAAAATGCCACTATTTAATTTATCAGTTGCAGGTATCACTTCACCCGGCTTGTCAACCCCACCACTCATCGCGATTTATTATCAGGCTTAAACCGGTTTTGAAACCGATATACTGAATCATTTGTTTACGTATTGCAATTATTATTTATTAAATATTTGAATATGAATTTTGTCCACCTAGCTTGGCCAAATTAAACACCGTGAGGGGTGCGAAGAATCCCCGGGTGGAAATCAAATAATAAATCATTAATAAAAAGTATTGCTACATGGAATGCGAAAACCTTATACCAGCTTGGCAAACTAAAAAACGTACAACTAGAAATGAGCCTCCTACGTCTGCAGAAGAAGTATCACCAGGAGTAACCGGAGAATTTGGGCACGGAGAAAGGAATGAAAGGGGTAACAGACTAATAGAGTTCTGCCAAGAGGAAAACTTAGTTATTACCAACACCCTGTTCAAACAGCCAAAAAGACGCCTCTATACTTGGACATCGCCCCGTGACGGTCATAGATATACAATAAGAAACCAGATAGACTATATCATCATAAATGAATGATTTCGAAACTCGTATAAATGTACAAAAACCTACCTAGTATTGCTTCAAAAATACACCTGAAACTAAAACGAATAAAAATATCACTCATCAATTAATGTCCAACAGCTAAAATGCGTTGAAACTAAAAACAAATTCACACAAATCATGAACTACAACGTACGAGAGAACATCACTCAAACATCTAATGTTTTAACCATAGAAGAACGATGGGACAACATAAAGAATGGCATCACTAATACAGCAACACAAACTCTAATTCACAGCAACAACAAAAAACAACAATGGATGACGGATGAAATAACTGAGCTAATGAAAGAGAGAAGAAACAATTTATTACACATTTTCCATAAAAAATTAATTTATATTGTAATATACTTTCTCTAATAAAAAAAATTTCAACTTATTTCTAAAAACATTTATATTCTTACTTAATTTAAATTTAGTTGGTAAGCAATTAAACAATCTTAATCCTAAACACTGCGGTGAATTTAACATTACATTAGTACGACATGGTATTTGATAAAATTTATGTATATAATATATACATCAAGCCAAAAACAATAAAGCAAGTGGACTAGATCAAATATATAGTGAATGGCTAAATTTGTTAAACAATGAAAACATAAATGAACTTACTGTGTTGTTTAATCAGGTATACGAAACTGGTCATATTCCAGCAGACTGGCTAAAAAATGTTCAGAATGTAGACTTATCAGTCTAATGAGTCATGTCCTCAAGCTACTTCTACACATTCTCAAAAAACAATTAGCAACAAGTGCGAGGAAGCTCTGAGTTCAGAGCAATTTAGTTTCAGAAGATGCATGAGAACCAGGGAAGCATTATTTACGATGCAAAAAGGTGTTGGGAAGTAAGAAGACCAGTATACCTATGCTTTATTGATTTTGAAAAAGTCTTCGATCGTGTCCAGCACAATAAGCTAATATCAAGTCTGCAGAACATCCAGCTAGATGACAAAGATATTAGGCTGATTTCGCATTTGTATTGGAACCAAACAGCTACTATTGCCCTAGGCCTATTAATATTAAACGGGGCGTGAGACCAGGGACTCCCTCCCACCCTCTTCAACTTTTTTTCAGAAAACATATTTAGAGAATCCCTAAGTGGCCAAAAGGAATTGTAATAGGATAAATAGTCAATAATATCAGATATGCCGACGATACCGTAATTATAGCAGAACATCTCGTAGATCTACAAGAATTAGTAAACCGAGTCAATGAAGCTTGTAAGAATTGGGGGCTATCTATTAATATAAATAAAACTAAATATATGGTTGTGAGTAAAGTAGATGTCGGCGGGACCTCTTTATTTTTTAATGAAGAAACGTTGGAGAGAGTGGCGAAGTTTAAATACCTAGGCTGTTGGATTAATCAAGATATCGATCCTTCATACGAAATCAGATGTCGCATAGAACAAGCAAGAAATGCATTTCAGAACTTTAAGTCGCTGCTGTTAAATAGTTCACTAAACATCAAAATACGGGAGAAGTTTACAAAGTGTTATGTGTGGTCGATTCTTTTGTATGGATGTGAGACGTGGACACTTAATAAAGAAACGATAAATAAAATCGAAGCATTTGAAATGTGGACATACAGAAGAATGCTTATAATATCTTGGGACGACCAGAATCAGAAATGAAGAAGTTCTTCAAGCACGACAGACTACTTAACGTAAGAGGCTTTCGTGGTTGAGGAACTTGCGGCAATGGACAGGCTTGGGCGCGGATGAATTACTCCATGTAGCGCAAGATCGAGAGCGATACAGAGATATTGTTAACATGGCAGTCGTCAACGTTCACTAGGAACATGACACTTGAAGAAGAAGATTGACAAAGAAGAGCATAATCACAATTCTATATAACAGAACAAAAAAAATATAGTACACGGTGTCTCATATAAGTAACATGAAGTAAATGAGAGATTTACTTCATGTCATCTGTCCCAGAGAGATCTTCCCCTCGGAGATGCAAGACCTTGTCGTTGGTGGTAAAGCTCCTGGTCAGGTGCTGGGGAAAATCCCCCCTAGAGCTTGGCTTGGTCTAACAAGCATCTCACTCATCGTCTTGTCCCTGGCTGTAGTGTCGTGGCCAGGAAATTGCACCAAGACATATAACGATGCCGGACGGGGCTACCCCTGTCCGTCATACCAGGCACCTCTACTGACTGTGGTCATGTCTCGCGGGTAGAGGGTGTGGGGGTCTTGGCTTAACCGCCTGCACCAAGAGGAGACAACCTCACCAAAAACCTAAATCCTACGATAGCGGGACCAGGTCAAAGGGATGCGTGGCTAGATGGAGGACTAGCCATTACTGGCCTCAACCTTGGGGCATCAGGGGGCACCTCATTGTATTTACCCCTTACTTCTACATGCGGGGCTCTGTAGAAGTGGACCGACTATCCCTAGCGACTCGTGGGAATACTATGAGATCTAGTATTAAAAACAACACCGATGAAGCTGCGGGGAAGCCCCCTCGCGACGCTGGGAACATTACAAATGAAAGTTCCAAGGGTCGAAATCCAAAGGAAACTACTAGAGGGGCGGCTGACACTTGCTTGGATCATCCTCCACAAGCGACACACAAGCTAACACCTTCTCCAGCAATGGTCGGGAGCCTACCTCTAGACCCAATAAGCGACACAAGCTACCGTTTCGTCTACACGGCCTGTGTCAACCAGGCGGGCTAGAGAGTAGGTCTTAGTGGAGCAGAAGCACGGAGACACGACGGACTTGCTCCAGAGAAAGCAAAAGCGAAAACACCCCTCCGGAAAGGAGAGACTAAAGAAACCAAAAAACAATCTGACTCATCTCCTCCAAAGAGCAAGAGAGGGAGCGAGAACCTCTCACCTCTTCTCCGGCAGGGAGAGAAAAAAGCCAGGATGGAAAGCCGTCCAACACCGGGAGGCAAGCAGGGACGTATCACCAGCTTTGTCGCTATTGCTGGACAAGTGATGCCAAAGGATTTCCCAGAGGTTGCTCTGACCACCGACCAGCAAACGTCTCTAGAAGAGGCTATACTGGACGAAGCAGTGGCGATAGGATCGCAACACAACGATCTACAAAATGTGGGTCAGCTGCGTTTTGCGGGGATACACTTTCGGGTGGGCTGATCCTCACAGATTGTGTATCTCAAGAATCGGCGAATTGGTTGGTGGAAATAGCACCTAAGCTTAAAAATTGGCAAGAGCCGGAACTGGTTGCAGTGAAGGGAGAAAACATCCCTAAAGGGGCGGCCATCGCGGTCTTTCTGCCGAGGAGCAAGGGGAAAGGCTGCTGAACCTTATCCAGGGTTCGAACTTTAATGTAAGGACATTGAGTTGGCAAGTCATCAACTCGAGGAAGGAGGGTCATGGTCAGGCCCTCACAATAGCAAATGACCTCAAATCCAAGGAGGCAATAGAGAAAGAGGGACATATCCTCTATTATAGATATGGGACAACACCGGTATCAGGTCTAAGGAGAGACCAAGTTAAAGAAGTGGAAAAAATAGAGACAGATCCTCCAGCCTCCACCTCACGGGTTCCTCAGCCGGAGGCAAGCTCCTCGACTGTGAAGGGCGGCACGGAGGGCCAAACTCCAACCGTGGAAAGGTGTGTACCCTCGGAGGAAAAACTGTTGGCTGAGGAGGATGGGAAATACCCTGTCCCCTCTACAACAGGGGTTTGATGGGTTATATACCATGTGATGACTCAAGGAAGGGGGGCACAATAGAGCTTTAAGGTGATTAACCCCCCCCCTCTTACTCATTCTACATTGTACAAATGAGATATGGACGTTGCCACGGCGACGGGACAGCGACGTTACGGTGTGAATTTTTTAGTGTGAATATGTTTATTGTTGGCCATTTAAGAATATTTACCGTGGTGGCAGGCAACTAGCCGGCGCGCGGCGGCTCGACGTAACGGTGGCGGGACGTTATAATGAAAATCGCCCCTTATACGTACCCTTTATGAACTGTAATCCTGTGCACATTCAGACTATTCTGAACAACAAATTTGGCGCAGCATGTGGGGCATTCGTGGCGCTTCTTATATGCCACTTTGGAATTTAATAGGACGTGGTTTAGACAATGTTCGCTAAAGCTGTCCTTATTATCTGTAGTGTAGTTACATTTCACGCATCCATAGTTAATTACGTTGATTGGTTGACCTCGCCTAGTTAAATAAAATTATTAGTTTGACAGGTTAGGATCAGTCTTATACAGGGTTGGCATGATTTAAATCAAATAATTTTTTTATTTTAATCATGTGATTTAAATCGAAAAAATCAACTTTTTTAAAGCTTTATAATAAATCGAAAAATAACTGTAGAAGTTGTAAAAATGTGTCCTAGAAAACTATAAAAAATCCCAGACAGATATACCCTATATCACCTACGACCGTACAATATATAATCCAGGTCAAATTTTTATACTAATAATAATTTTACCTGGAATAACCATGTTTTCTCCTAAGGTGACGACTTAAGTATATTTTTGAAAGATATATATTGCCACAGTGCAAACAACGAGCGGTCGGTCGATCTTCCCATGGCAAGTGAATGTTCTCGTGTTGGCTTATATAGGCCTTATATCGTGTTTGGAAACTACATGTAGAACATCTATAGATCTTTGTTTGCGATTCCTTCGGCCTAAATAACGAAAATAATACTTTAAATATAGTCTTGTATGTATACAGGGCGTCTTCGATATGCCTTCGTTAGCCGAAAAAGAAATGAATGTTTTATGCAATGGCTGCAGAACGAGTTAAGGCTCCATCGTACAGCACTTAAAACGTAAGGGGAAATCAAATCAGCCTTTTTATGAATTTGCCCATTAAGCTGCGAATCTTCCCAGTTCTTTCAATCAACGCTAGTATTCAAAAAGTAGTATTAGTTTATTTTGTACTTAATACAGGGTGGTCCGATTTGTATTTGGAAATTTCAACAGCATGTTCTGCAGAAAAAAAATCATTAAAAAATTTGTATAAATGTATGTCCTAAAGTGCTGAGTTTCGGCGATACAGGGCGTAGAAGTTTCACTTTTATTTCGATTTTTTCAAATAATTTCTGAAGTAACGTCGATATTTGGATGAAAATTTGTGTCTGGGTGTTTTTTGACATGAGAAATTTGATTTAGATGTCAGGATGACTCCTACTTGTAGAAGGCGCTACCTACATATTTTTACCTGGTTTGAAGACTAATAACTTTTCGTCTCTACCTGTATAAAACTACTGAGTAAAAAAATATACATTTACATATACTCTCATCATTGACATCAGTTAAATATGTTGACTTATTAGTTATTAGACTGAAATCATAAATTTGAAATGTTTTTGTGTCAAAAAGTCAAAAGAAACTGTTTTATCATCATTTTTTCGAAGAAAAATAGTTATAAGTAAAAAATAAAAGTTCCCAAATTTATCATTTAAGTCAAATAAAAGCAAAACTCAACATGTTTATTTTTGTCAATGATGACATGTATTGAATATTTGCATTCTAAATATCTCGAGAACGGTTGTACTTAGCGATTTTACCAAGAGACCTTTTTTAAAAAGTAAAAAAAAAAACGTCGTAAATGTACTCAGTAGTTTTATACAGATATGGACGAAAAGTTATTACTGTTCAAACGAGTTAAAAATATGTAGGTGACTCCCTCTACCAGTAGGAGTCTGTCAGTATGACTCCTACTGGTAGAGGGTCAAATCAAAATCAAATTTCTCATGTCAAAAACTCCCAGATATCAATTTTCATCCAAATATTGACGTTACATCAGAAATTATTTGAAAAAAATCAAAATAAAAATAAAACTTCTACACCCTGTATCTCCGAAACTAAGCACTTTAGGACATATATTTATACGAACTTTTTTACTTATGTTTATCTGCAGAATATGGTGCCGAAGTTTCCGGAATACAGTTCGGACCACCCTGTAAAACAGAGTTCTTCAAACATAACCCTATGTACCCCTATTATAATTTAAGGTAGGTTTCGCTAACGCGTTTAAACGATTCGACTGGCGACTACGATCTTTCGCAGTCGCTATACAGGGTGGTCCGAACTATATTCCGGAAACTTCGGCAACATATTCTGCAGATAAAAATTAGTAAAACAGTACGTATAAATGTATATCTTAAAATGCTTAGTTTCGGAGATACAGGGTGTAAAAGTTTAATTTGTATTTCGTTTTTTTTCTAAATAATTTCCTAAGTAACGTCAATATTTGGATAAAAATTGGTGTCTGGGAGTTTTTTGACATGAGAAATTTGATTTTGATGTCAATATGACTCCTATTTGTAGGGGGCACCACCTAGATGTGTTTTAACTGCTTTGAAGAATAATAACTTTTCGTCCGTGCCTGTATAAAACGATTGTGTCAAAAAAAACATACATTTTCGTAACTTTTTACGTAAAAAATGTCTCTTGGTAAAAATCGCTACGAGCAACCGTTCTCAGATATTTCGAATAGAAATAGTCAATACATGTCATTATTGACAAAAAAATAAACACTTTGAGTAGATAATTATTTGACTGAAATAATAAATTTGAAAAATTTTTATTTTTTTAAATTAATCATAAATTTTTCTGCGGAAAAATGGCGATAAAACAGTTTCTGTTAAACTTTTGGCACAAAAATATTTCAGATTTATGATTTCAGCCTAATAACTATTTAGTCAACATGTTTAATTTATGTCAATAATGACAGGTATTGATAAGTTCGATTCCAAATATTTCGAAACCCATTACTCACAGCAATTTTTGCTAAGAGACCTCTTTTACGTAAAAAATGTCGTAAATGTATATTTTTTTATTCAATAGTTTTATACAGGTACGGACGAAAAATTATTACTCTTCAAAACAGTTAAAACACATGTAGGTGGCGCCTCCTACAAATAGGAGTCATATTGACCTCAAAACCAAATTTCTCATATCAAAAAACTCCCAGACACTCCACATCCATGTATTGACGTTACTTCAGAAATTATTTGGAAAAAATCGAAATAAAAATGAAATTTCTACACCCTGTATATCCGAAACTAAGCATTTTAGGACATACGTTTTTTATATTCACTTTCTTACTTATTTTTATCTGCAGAATATGCTGCCGAAGTTTCCGGAATACAGTTTGGAACACCCTGTATAAGATGTGGTTTCGCTGCCCGCGTCTCGATCTGCGAACTCTTCCCAATCTACTCCAACTGACTTCAGAAAAACTATACATATTTATTTTTCTTTGCCGGAAGTAATTGCCGAGTTTCCAACCAACACTCAACGACGAATAACCCCCCATCAAGACAATACATAATAACTATAATTAATATATTTCACTGTTTGATTCTATCTCTTTAAATTGATTAAAATTGTTATTGTGCCGAAATTAAGAGTAACTTCGGCACTTTCTTTGGCGGCGCCTTTATCGGAGTCGGTTGTACAAAGGTCTTAAGAGTCTCACTACTTCCAACTGACTTCGGAAATCCTATACCAATCAGCATTTGATACTGCAAAGGAATTGTTGCTACATGGCTTGCTCTTGAGACACAATGTCACCACCATCTTTTTGGAAACACTTCGAGAACGGATAACTTTCATCGGTTTTGGTTCATCTCGGAACACCCAATGCTTTGTTACAAACACACAAGATTGACCAATGACTAAAGAATATAAAAACATGTAACGCCCGCGCCCCTATACGGGCTGCAGCAGAATTTGTGACCTTAAGCGGCCCATACATTATCAAACAAATTGCGCAACAAAGCGATGCGCAACGTTGCGTTGCACAACTGATTCAGCGGTCCATACATTATCAAACAAGTTGCGCAACAAAGCGATGCGCAACGTTCCGTTGCACAACTACATCACCCATGCACTTAGTAAAATTTTGATCAAACTTTTTATTAAAAGTTGTGCATTGTTTGAGAAACAATCATGTCCTCAATTGCCATTGCATCAATTATTATCGTATATACCCTAGATAATGTCAATGATACCAAAAAACGAAAAAGATAACAAAAAATAGGCTACTTGCACATACTTTAATTTTCACCTGAAAACTACTTAAAGACCTTTATAAATACAACACGCAGCACCCCCACGATATTATTTCCAAAAAGAATTGCAAATTATTTCATAATTTCGATTATAAACTTCACCGGGGACCTTTAAATTTGACGTCACACGAAAACGTTACACCATTGGTTGTGACGTAACGAGGTACGATTCCGGCAGTTTACCACAAGCGGATAAAGTCTGCCGTTCTACTGAAATATTCGGAAATTTTAGCAACAAAAAACCAAAGAACCACTTATCAAAACTCACGCGTGTAACTAAGTATACTCAAAATCACGAAAAAAAAGGTTCAAATAAAAAAAAATAACCTGAACAGCCCAGTTTGGTCTAAGCAACTGAGTAGACAGCAGTCTTTATTAGCTAAATAATTTTACTGCCATTTTACCAAAGCCTATACATTTTACGTTGTTCATAGGTACTATTAGTAATATTACACAAATTTTAATGTCTTTATTGCTTTCAAGTTATCCTTATATATAAGTAATTAGACATATTGTTCGATATACATATATAAAATTTGATTAATACATAATAAAACGAATAAAACCATATAATTTACTTAAAAAATTTATAGCCAGTAAAAAGTGGGAGTAAAAATAAAATGGTAACACTATACACTATGTAAATATTTTGAGAAAATATAAACATTTATTATTAATATAATTAAAAAAACTGTTTTTTGTCAACTTATTAGGGCGTTGTGTATTCACTAAACCACAGGGAATAGTTATAGTATAGTCTAATTGAAAAATCAAATTAATGTGGATGTAAGCGTAATATTTTAACACTTCAAACTCTTAAACGCCTTATAACTCTTTCGATATGAATTCATAGACTTTTGATATAGCTTCTACGACGCCTATCCTATAAAGGATTTCTTCTAGGATTTCTTGTTTTATGGATAAATCAGATTTTGAAGTACTGGCTTCACACAAAACATCTTTAATACTTTGACTTGCCCTCTTTATAGCACCCATTCGTACAGTTTGAGGATAACTTTGTTTAGTATTTTGGTGAAAAGCAAAAATTTATGGGGAACTACATCTTTTTCATTCGTTTTTGAGCATACACCATTTTCGATTCCATATAATTTGTCATATTTTGCTCCAACTAGAAAAAAAGTGCTATTTATAAACTCCATAAAAATAAAAGTGAGGTTAGTTCAACACTTATTCCTTATTTTCCTATTGTTTTATATTTGTATTTCTCAACTAACTTAAAAAATAAATTTGTAATTTAACTATGATTTTCAAATTTAAATAAATACTTACATTAAATTGTTTTCAAAGGTAGATATATGGATTTTTGAAGAACTTAAGGCTGGCGTCTTATTTTCTAGAGCCAGATTTTTCGCTGTTTCTCTTCGATATGCTAATGTTAAATGTTTTTCCAGGAGTGGAAAGTGTCGTACTTTTGCAACCTGGTACCATACAGTATCGATAAATCATTTTACATTCGAAAATTAGTAAAAAACCTCGTCGTCTGAATCGTAACTGAATAGAATTTCAAAACAAAATACTACCTCGTGACGTCACTATCGTAAGGCGAACCGTACCGTTGCACAACCCATGGACTTAGTAAAATTTAGATCAAACTTTTTATTAAAAGTTGTGCATTGTTTGAGAAACAATCATTTCCTCAATTGCCATTGCGTCAATTATTATCGTATATACCCAAGATGATGTCGATGATACCAAAAAATGAAAATGAGAACAAAGAATTTGGATGAGAGAACTAAAATATTGTACAACGTAGCGCAACACACACATACACTACACAACGCGTTGCGCAAACAGTCCTGTTGCACAAAAGAATTCAAACATTCTTGAAACTCATCAAACAATTGCGCAACGCATCAAACACTACCATACATTGGCAACTCGTTGCGCAACAGCCTGTGTTGCGCAATTTGTCTGATAGTGTATGGGCCGCTTTAGAGGCTATTCTTTCGATGGTAAACAATGAGTCATCATTTGGTCACCAGCGACAATTTAAGCGATTTTTAATAGTTTGTGTGTAGTAAACTTTGTATAAACTTTATTACAATGGTGATTAGTTGTTCAGCTTTCAAGTGTAAAAGCAGCAGCGATAAGAAAGAGCCAGGAGTTACGTTTCATAGGTAAATAAACAGTCTACTCCAACTTTTTAGCGTTTTCTTATTGAATTCCCGATAATTATTTTTCAATTTCAATTAACATCTATACGTACTTGATATGTGCTATACGTCGATACTAGTTTTGTTAACACTTTAATACGTTTTTTTCGTAATTAATTAGTATGATACACCATAGGCGATAGGCGTAGTCAAAACAATTATCAAAAAATATAAATATTGCTTCAAACAGCTAGGTTAAGGAAAATATGTGCCACGGCACTGTTTGGTGACATCGGCATCGGCACAATTTGCTCTCGGGTGTTATTTGTCCTTGGATTCTTTAGTCATCGAGATTGACGTATATTTTCCATATTTTCGGGTTCATAAATATACAAACAGGGAAATAACCTCATAACCACCAGCCGTCCATGGAAATAACTTGATAAATCCATTTAATCGCCCCGTCATACTTAGGCATAAAATTTTTTAATAAGATTATTTCTAAACTTGTGCCAACTTTGGATCAGGACAAGGGTGCATAAAAAAAAGGGTAATGGGGGTTAATTACCCCTCCCTTCTTCTTCTTCTTCGGGTTCCATCTCCTAATGGAGGTTGGAAATCATCATGGCAATTCTAACTTTGTTAACGGCTGCTCTGAATAACTGGTTTGAAGTCAATCCAAACCATTCTCTCAAATTCTTGAGCCATGATGTTCTTCTTCTTCCTTGGCTCCTTCTGCCCTTTATCTTTCCTTTTATTATGTTCTGCAGCAGAGCATATTTAGGTCCTCTCATTATGTGTCCAAAGTACTCAAGTTTCCTCTTTTTAAGGGTGTTAATCACCTCTTCGTCCTTCTGAATTCTGCGTCGCAGTTCTACATATGTAACCTTGTCAGTCCATGCAATCCTCAGCATAAGCCGATAACACAATCTTTCCAATGCCTCAAGCTTATCCATTTCGGCCTTTTTAAGTGTCCAAGCCTCTGAACCATAGAGTAGAGTTGCAAATATGTAACCCCTTAGCATTCTTAATCTAAGCTTTAAGGTGATGTCTCCACTGCACAGACATTTTTTGGGTTTTACAAAGGATGCTCTGGCTATTTCTATTCGAGCTTTTATTTCTGCTACCTCTCCCATGTTGTATAAATAAACTTGCCATAAAAGAAATTAATAAAGCCAATCAAAATACCGTATGATCGAAAAAAAACGGCGTCCAGTTGGCTGGGAAATGACAATCGCTGACATTTCCCATATAATTTTACATATAAAATGACAGCGATCTTCATTTCATAGCCATCGCTGACGCCGTTTTTATTCGACCATACGGTATAAATTTCAGACCAATCCAAGTTTATCTTTTTCCGCAGTCACAATATCTTTCGGCAAAAATTTAATGTAAATCTAGTACTCTATTTAAATATTACCACTACCCCTTGCAGACTCAATCTCTAGATGCGCCACTGGATCAGGATAATTATAAAAACAAATTGCAAAGATTCTTATTAGATAATGTATTTTAATTAGTAAATGAACCTGAATGTCCTGACTAGTCTTATGAGTTGTATAAGTGTATATTTTTATATCTGTTTGTATAGTCCAAGAATGAATAAAGATTATGATTACTAATTGCGAATTTTTTTTGTTAATTTGTGGAGTAATTCTTTTTTGTTTCTAGTTCCCGAGAGAGTCTGGTCTGAAGCACAGCCAGTATTTTAATTAATGCTTCACAGCGTGGTTGTCATTATATCAAACAGTGGATTTTCTGGAGACTCTGGTAATATAACTGTAGGTTCCCTAAAGTACCCACATGTCATACTGCCTCATATCTGAGTGTATTTTGAAAACATTTTATTAAATTTTTCTGGTAATTAGTAAAACATAATCATTACAAGTATAGTAGTCGTCACATCATTAAGTTCCAAAGCGTTTTCTCGCTCTCTAAAAAATTAGTGAAATTTTCTCCTGTAAAAAAATTCCCCTCCGCCCTTCATATTTATGTAAGTTATAAAAAAAAATTTATTTGATTAATCTGACTACACTTTTACGTGAACATAATGATATACACAAAAAAACACTTTATAGAAATATACTTACACTTCTAACTTATGGGCAGATGCTACTACCCTGTTTTGGACATGTTTATTATTGTCTTCTGTTTTGGTAAGGTCAACAATAGATTTGATCATATAATGTTTTTAGTGTCTTGTACTGGCCGGTTAAATGATGCCCAAATCGTATGTTAAAAATACCATTTGGGCAAAAAGATTTAATTGTCTATTGTTTTTCATGTGTTGTTCTGGCCAATTAAAAGATGCCCAAATTGTATTTTTAATCATATCTCAATTTTTACAAATGGAACGAGGGTGGTTCATTAGCAATTTGGAAAAAGCATTTTTCTGCGAATAATTTGGTACCACACACTTCGTATTTCGAGTCAAATTGTCGTTATGAATCGCATGTTGCAATTTCAAATAAACCATATTCGAAAATGTCAAAATTGACATATGATATGTCATTCTATTCAGAGTGTCATTTTCTATCGCATAAAGTAACAAAATACTGAGGGTGCCATTTAAAAATCAAAAGTTGTAGTCATTTCCGGTGAAACAGGAAGTTACCGAAAACTATTGAATACGCCAATTAATCCTAATTTATGTCATATACTAACATACCAAATCTCGACTTTTTATCTGAAAAAATAAATAATTACAGGGGCGAGACGCACCCTGTATATCAAGCATTATATACCGGATACTTCTCAAAAGTGGCTCGCTCACCACCTATAACTTTTTTATTTTTTCAGATAAATAAACGAGATTTGGTACTTTGGTATATGACATAAATCGGGATTGAATTGACGTATTCAATTGTTTTCGGTCACTTCCTGTTTCACCGGAGATGACTACAACTTCTGATTTTTAAATAGCATCCTCGGTATTTTTTACTTTATTCAGTAGAAAATGGCACTCTGAATAGAATGACATATCTTGACATTTTTGACATTTTCAATTAAAAAAATAGCATTTTAAATTTGAATTTATATAATTTATTATATGATTTCACAAATCAAGGTACCAACAGGGTATGTTCAAAACGTTGGTAGTCGACCCGTATTTTTCCTTAAATGTTTTGTTACGCGTAGTGTGGTCTATCGACAGATGTTGAGTCCCAAATATTTGTATGTATAATATCTGTTTGACTGAGTGGTTTGATTTTTCGTCTTGCCACTTTCTTTTATTAATATACAGGGTGAGTCTTGCAAGTGCGAATATTTTCAGGGTTGGTAGATCTCGATAAAAAAAACATATTTTCTCTTCACCAATCAGAGCGCCGTCGAACCATCGTATCAACCGATAACGCATGAAAATCAAGCTTTACTTTCTTAAAAATATTTATAAGTAAAACTCAAAAGAGGACTTTTTCAATACGTTAGAGAACAGCATGATCAAAAAGAGGACTGTTCTCTGGACTGCTTGAATTGGATTTTGTAAAAGTGTGAATTCTGTACCAAAACAGACTTTTGTCAGCGATCTATTTAGGTATACCTAAATAAAATATACTGACAAATGGTGGGTGAATACTGTGAAATAACTAACTAAATAATAGTTGGTTTCATTAGTAATGTTTTATTCAAGTTTATTTTGTGTGTAAAAACTCCTGAAGGGGGTGAAGTCTCACTAAGTGAAGCATCTAGTACATGTTATTAAACCAAACAATTTTTTTTTATTTGCGTGGCATGTGAAGCATGCCACATAAGTTAATATTTACTAATTATACAAAATACAACATTTAGAAAAATATACTTACTTAGGATCTGATGATACTGCATTTATATTCTCTTCTGAAATATTATTTTCTTGTTTAACATGTTCCATACTTATTGATTCAATATTAAAAGCAGTATTTTTCGATCTGTAACATTAAATTTCACAGTATATTCACCACATGTGTAAAACTACAGCTGGTTTTAATTAGGATAAAAAAAACTTTTTAGATACTTTCAAATTGACTCTAAATAATACAGGGTGGCTCACCTCATTTGCCTCGGTTAATTATACGAAAACGGAAAGATGTAAAAGCCAAATATTTTATGTGGGAAGGCAATGTGCATAATTTAAAATTATTTTCAAATGTACAGGGTGTGTCAGAACCAAGATCCATACCAAAGTTCTATTTTTTCTAATGGAACACCCTGTATTTTATTTCTTTTTTGGATTCTTCGGCCTGAAATAAGGCATTTATTATGAGGGTTTACTATGTTTAAAACCTTTGGTTTTTGAGATATTTATAGATATTTAAATATGCATGGTATTGTAACGTTTTTAGTTCGTTACATGTCTTTCATATATAATATATGATGTCTGGCGTATCATCACCGGATTCCGTATCGCTGAGGCCTGATAATTTACTTGACGCGCCTGGCGTAATTTTTACGTTCTCTAGTCAGCAACCCTGTTATCGTTTCACTGCTTCTGTGGAGGGCTGTCAAGATCGTTTCAGGGTGCAGCCACACTATCCTAAAAACAGCGTATCGGCGTAACGGCGTAATGACCTTGAATAGATTTCCAGTAATTCTATTGGCTGAAACATTCATCTGTCAGAAATTTTATCTGTCAAATTCATCTGTCAAAAATTTCAGCCAATAGAATTACTGGAAATCGATTCAAGGTCGTTACGCCGTTACGCCGATACGCCGTTTTTAGGATAGTGTGGCTGCACCCTCAAGGCGCCTCTCTGCGCTTTAACCTCACTTTTGGTCACCCTGCTTTTAGAAATGGTAATTTAAATCTTGCTGCAAAATCTGAATCAGCTGCCATTTCGAAGCTACAGGTAAAGATGAGATATTATCTTTATTAGATTCGTTATTATTATTGAATATTTTTAGGGTAGAGTTTTGGATTGACCCACCTTAACACGTATTTGTATTTTGCTGGCACATTGGTGTTCTTTTGCATTTGTCCTCCAGAATGTTACATGGAAGAAAGGACAGTTTCTTTGTTTATTATTGAGCCCTCGGAAGTAATTCGAGGTAGGTTTATTTTGCTTATTAGACCATGTTTGGTTTTAAACAAGAGTTTCGTATTTTTAGGGTCCAAGGTATGGGCAGGTGTCCCATATATATGTAATGATTCCAAGGTTATGGTTCAAGTTACGGACTGTATCTTATGGTTGGATGTCCAAGGTACGGGCATTATCCAAGGTCCTAGTAGTATCTAAGGTACGGGTAGTGTTCCCATGTATAGTCTTCCTATGGACAGGTGTCTGATGGACGAGTGTCTACTGTACGGATAGTTTATCCTATGTACAGAGTGCCCCAGCGTGGACGTGGCATAGGCCCCATGCTGCTTTATTCCTGTTTTTAAGCCTAGTCGATAGTTACGGCTGTATTGGTTCATGGTGTCCTCATCCTAGCCCCTTTTGTTGCATTGGCCGAGAGACAGTACAGAGATACGAGTCCCACCTCACACTGTTACTATTTGAAGCAGGATTGCCTCAAGAACAATCAGCTAAGTTTAGATTTAAGTTCTGGTTTTTATGTGTTACATTTTCAGTCTTAAAAAAATAACATACATCTTATCGTACAGACTTTACGTCTTGTTATAGTATTACATATCTTGTTATAGTATTACTTTTATATATATATATATATATATATATATATATATATATATATATATATATATATATATATATATATATATATATATATATATATATATATATATATATATATATATATATATATATATATATATATCGATTGCGTGATTTTAAAGATGAATAACCGAACAGATTCTAGAATCTACGCTTGAAACATCTCAGGTTTAATATCGTATAAAATATAACAAATTAATTAAAGTAATGCTATCTTTCATATATTTTCTATAACTTTACATGTATTGTATTTTATTATAGTCGTTTTCATAGAACATATTTCGTACTATTTTTTTAACATAACTTTCTTTGACATAACCACTATAGTTGTTAGAATTTCACAATGTCAATTGTGAAATTCTAAAAAAAAGTCCAAAGACCATCATGAATAAATATAGTCATTAGTTTTAAGTAATATACAACTGTGTTTTCTTTCTCTGTACATGCCTGGTGCCCAATATCTATTTTTTTTTGTTTATTGTTATTAATTAGTTTTCCTTCCACTGAAATATTTTATCCACGACTGCTCTCCGATGAAAAGCTGCCGTTCGCAGTGGTAGTGGTTGAAAAAACGCTATAGTATTATAAAAAAGTTTGTCAACACCTTGTACATTACTTTTCAGAATTAATTCTTGTGCTAAGTTTCAAGCCAGAGAAATAAACTTTAATAAAAAATTTGATTGTTTCCTTAAATGTATACAGGGGTATCAAAAATTACCTATTGGTCTATTATAAATATTTATTTTACATAAAAACTTCGTTATTTCAAATACAACAACACTATGTATTTTTTTCAATAAGTCGAAGCAGATTTAAATGCTCTTTCAAACTATATTAGGGTTTCCTATACCCAAATACGTTTTAATTAAAATATAGTGCGGCCTCCCCACAAGAGCAATGAGAGAATTTATGTCCCAGTATTGAAGGACAGAAGATCGAGTTTGACATAAGTCCATCCTTGTTCAGTAGATGGATGTAATGCACATGCGCCGAAATGCTACTTTTCTATTGGCCGAATGGTGTCGAGATGGGTTATCGATTTATTTTTGGACGCGTCGTCGGCGTTTTGTTTTCAGTTTGGACTTGGGCAGTCGCCATTAGTGTTTTCTCTAACTTTCTGTGTTTTCCACGTGTACTGTGTTTTCGTTTGTATTTTAATCTTTGTGCGTTTATTGACAATTTTGTGATTTAGTTTTAAAGACTTTTGCTGTAGTTTAATTAATAGAACAATGCGAATGGGCTACTGCTTTTTGTGTGGTAGAAGCCAACTAACCAAATTAATAATAGAAATTTTTCTCGATGTTCGTTTGTTTCATGAAAGCAAAATCAGAAATGAAAGGGATGTTAATATAAGACAAAAATATACGAAACTAATTTTATTCAAAAATCAATAATTGTTAAAAGCATTATATTTAGTCTTACTATTTTAAAATAAAAATGACATTATAATGTAAAGACTAAAAATAGAGACTACATAAGGCTAATTATAATGCTTACACAGTTCACACAAACTGTCTTATTGTAAATTATTATTGTTTTTTTTTCATAATATAAAAGAGTATTTACAATGCAACAATGTAAATAATTATATTTTTTGTATCTAGCTTGATTTATGTATAAACTTAATATGTACATACTTTTAGTTATATTTGTTTAATAAAAAATATGTTAATAATAAAGAATTACTTTTGTTTCATTTTAAACCAGGACTGATGTTGATATTGATCATAAATACATGGGCAGTAAAAGAAACAATAGACAGTAAAAAATGTACTGTTATACTTTGTTTTGCTGCAATTTTTAAGTCGAGTGAAATAGATATGCAATTTGTAATACTAAGTTCTTAAGACAGTTCCTTAATTGAGGTTTTACTAAATTATTTTTTGAATTTTAAAAAAAGTGAAATAGATATGCAATTTGTACTACGAAGTTTTTAAGACAATTTCTTAATAATTGTGGTTTTACTAAATTATTTTTTGAATTTAAAAAAAAAATATCGTACCTGTCACTTTTTTTCATTCGTTTTATTTAATAATAATTGTCTAACACAACAAAGTCTACTTAGAACGATATGATATAAATATAAATGAGTTCATTAAAAAATGGTCTGATTAAAATTAGTACCTAAATAAGCAAAAATTATCCCCTCATAAAACAAGAAATTAAGGAGTTCAGTAAAAGGATTGCAACTATATATTTTATTCAGTAAATTTTCATAATAGTAAGTATAAAAGCACAATCTCTAAAACGACAATATGAATAATGTATATTAAGATTTAACTCGAGTTTCAGTGAAAAAACTATATTGATATTAAAATATTTTAATACCTTCAGAATACTAATTACATACCATAAAATAGGAGTTTTTACGATGCGGGAAGCCTATCTAGAAAAAGAATTTTAGAAATCAGCAATGGGATTCTGTAAGCTCTGTAGCAAGAAATTTCCTATCGAGCCTATGCTATTTGTATACGATTGATGAGTCACTAGACAGGGAAATGTTTACAGAATCGCACTGCAGATACCTATTACGCTACTAGGAGCCCCCCATTGTGAGACAGATATAAAATAATTTTTATATACCTATTCCATAGCCTATTTTTTTAAATGTCTGTAATATTTATAATAAACTTATTTTAACGAGTAGAAGTATTGCACCAGCATCAAAATTAACACTACTTGTAAAAAACTGTTGCTCCTTGAGTTTGTAATAGATATAAACAAAATAAACATTCGAAAATAACTAAATCGAAGATATCTGAAAACTTTTGGTTGAAAAAGTGTTTTGCCATAACATGTTGGATACGATTAAAATATCTCAATTGATAAATATGCGCATAATGTTACATTATCAAATTATTTGATTTCAGAATATTTAACAAAAACTTCCAATTTTTCGAAAGATTTAATTCAATTATTAGAACGTCTTTAACCTCAACTTAAAATAAATAAAACCAAAACAAAACATATCATATGATTTGGAACTGTCCAATCAAAGTGCTTACAGATCGAGCAAGCGCAGAAAACCTCCTCCCGAACAAGGATAGACTTATGTGGGAAATGCATTGACATTCTATAGCCATCCTTCAACATCGGGACAGGAATTTAAGCGGTACTCTCCGTATATTTTATTAAAACGTATTTGCCTATACCTATCTGGCTCAGATTTTGAATAAAAAACAATTTTTCAATAAAATTATAATCAAGATGGCTGGTGTCGCCATGGCAATTTTCTAGTGACACTTAGTAGCTATTTTCAAAATCGACATTAGTTTATGGACTTTATTTAAATTTATAACAGTTTATTTTTATTTAATTTACCTACAATAAGATTAATAAGTAAGTATTTATTATTTTATTAAGAAAAATGAAGCAGTATCTGCTGGCGGAAGGAATGAATATGTTACGAGTAATTTTATTTTGTGAGGACACACAAACATTTTGTGAGGATACACATTTTGTGTGGCCTGAAGGGTTTATGCTCAAAGATATCCAAATAGAAATTTTCTTGACAAGCGTTCCTTTGAAAAAAATATTTTTTTTCTATTTCGCAGAGCTGATAGTGTGGTATATGAAAAACCTATTAGGCAGAAACCTGTCGTTGGAAGTGAAGAAAATTAATTTGCCTTAGTTGGTCCTTTTATAGAAAATCCAATAATCTACAAGTCAGAACTACTTCTTAATTTTTCTTGATAAAATAATAAATACTTACTTACTAAAGTATTGTAGGTAAATTAAATGAAAGTAAATTTTTGTTATAAATTGTTATAGATTTAAATAAACTCCATAAACTAATGTCGATTTTGAAAATAGCTACTAAATGTCACTAGCAAATTTCCATGGTGACACCAGCCACCTTGAATGCCATTTTATTGAAAAATCGCTTTTTATTCAAAATCTGAGCCAGATAGGTATAGGAAACTCTAATATAGTTTGAAAGAATATTTAAATCTGCTTCGACTTATTTTAAAATATACACAGTGTTGTATTTGAAATAACAAAGTTTTTATGTAAAATAAATATTTAAAATAGACCAGCAATTTTTGATACCCCTGTATACATTTAAGGAAGCAATAATTTTTTTTAGTAAAGTTTATTTCTCTGTCTTCAAAGTTAACACAAGAATTAACTCTGAAAAGTAATGTACAAGGTGTTGACAAACTTTTTTTATTAGAGCATGCATATTTAAATATCTTTAAATATCTCAAAAACAAAAGCATTTAAACATATTAAACCCTTATAATAAAATGCCTTATTTCATGCCGAAGAATCCAAAAATGAAATCAAATACCATAAGTTGTGTACCATAAGTGTTCCATAATAAAAAATATAACTTTGGTATGGACACACCCACACTTGGTTCTGACACACCCTGTACATTTGAAAATAATTTTAAATTATGCACATTCTACATACCTCTCTACATCTACCCATAAAAAATTTTGTTTCTACATCTTTCCGTTATAATCAACCGAGGCGAATGAGGTGCGCCTAAAAAGTGGCTGACCCCTATAACTTTTTTTTATTTTTCAGATACAAAATTAAGCTTTGGTAGATATGTTAGTATGTGACATAAATTAGGACTGATGGACGTATGTTATATGTTTGTTTATAAACACCATATAATGATTATATGTTTGTTTATAAACACCAGCATAAATATAAACTAATTTCTGAAGTCCATAATTTCAATACAAGAACTAATCATAAATTTTATCAAATACCATGTCGTACTAATGTAATGTTAAATCACCGCAGTGTTTAGGATTAAGAATGTTTAATTGCTTACCAACTGAATTTAAAATAAGTAAGAATATAAATGTTTTTAGAAATAAGTTGAAAAATTTTTTATTAGAAAAAGTATATTACAACATAAATGAATTTTTTATGGAAAATGTATAATAAATTGTTAAAATCAAACGAAGAAAAAAGAAAGATATTATTTGTATCAGTATTTTTTCGTTTTCACATAGATGCATAGGTAAAAGGTTTATTATTGTATTTGTTTTGACTATTCTATCACAATTTTATATTGTAATTTAGAAATAAAGTTTATTATTATTATGTAATTCTTTTTCTCGGAACAGGTCCGGTGCGGTTTAGCTGACTAACTGAAAAAGCTTTTGGCTCCTCCCAGCTAGTTCAAGAATTTTCGGACGATGTGACAAGTCTGCAACAATACAGCTCGTTGTCCTACTTTTGCAATTGAGCATGGTAAATTAATCTTTTTAGATTTTTTTGGAATTCTGTGCTGATAATTCCCTCCACCGAAATTACGAACGGTAAGATCTTTATGGTCTTAAGATTCCACACGTTTTTTAAATCATATGATAAATTTTCGTATTTTGTTATTTTATCTGTTTCCGTCTGTTTTATCCTGCAGGATAATGGTACTGCTATGTCAATTATAATGCCCGTTTTATTGATCTTATCGATAAAAATGTCGGGTCTATTGTGGTCCACTGTTCGATCGGTTATAATTGCTCTGTCCCAATATAAAACAGCATCCCTAGATTCCAGGACGGGTTGCGGGGAGTACTTGTAGTAGGGAGGTGATGTTTTGCTCAAGAGTTCTGATTTTATGGCAAGTTGTTGATGAATAATTTTGGCAAGTTGATTATGACGTCCAAGATACGCATTATCTGCTAAGGTAGAGCAACCAGACGTGATATGTTCTATTGTCTCCCCTCTCATAGAGCATTTTCTACATACATCAACTACGTCTTGTTTTAAAATGTTCTTTTCATAGTTTCTGGTCCTCATAACTCCGTCCTGGATGGCCATCATGAAACCCTCGGTCTCAGGAAACAATTTTCCGTCTTTAAGCCAGGCCAATGACGAATGAAGGTCGATCCCCTCAGACTGAAGCGACTTTGGATATCTGCCATGCAGAGCGCCCTTTTTCCATCCTGCAACACGCTCCTCTATCGAGATGGGTTTGTCAATCCGGTTACGGCAACTTAAATTGAGAGGAGTGTAACCTTTATCCTGAGCCACGATTAGCATCATTATTGCACAGTTGGAGGACATAAATCGCTGCCTCATGCCATTTTCCTGTTTTAGGCATAGATCTTTTATGTTTAGCAGGCCTCTCCCACCCATCCTACGAGGAACATACAGCCTATATACAGATGAGTTTGTATGCAGATTTCTAAATTTTGTTAATTGTCTACGGGTAAGGCGATCGAGATCTTCAAGGTCGGTATTTGACCCCTTGACCACTCCAAAGGAATAAGTTAACACCAGTATTGCCCAAGCGTTTATAGCTTTGATCAGGTTATGTCCAGATAATTTTGTATTTAAGAGCTTCATTAGCCTGGTGTTATATTTCTCACGAATCTCCCTTTTAATTGTTGTGTGATCAATTGTTGAATTTTGGGCTAGTCCCAGGTATCGGTAAGTATCTTTTGGCGCAAGCTGCTTAATGTTACATATGACTTGTTGCCGATCTTCAATTTTACCCCTTTTGATGTTGACAGTAGCACATTTGTCAAAGCCAAAGGACATATGTATGTCCCTGCTGAAGACTTGAACAGTTTCTATTAAATCGTTGAGTTTACTCGGTGTTTCCCCATACAGCTTCAGGTCGTCCATGTACAATAGATGGTTCAGTCTCTTTCCGTTTCCTTGGTCGATCTTGTAACGGGCGGTTGTGTGGTTAAGCAGTGTTGACATAGGGTTCATTGCCAGACAAAACCAGAGTGGTGAAAGTGAATCCCCCTGGAAAATGCCCCTTTTGATTCGTACTGTACCGATATGTCGGCTTGGCAGCTTAAGGTCAGTTCGCCACTGTCGCATTAGGTGTCCGAGCGTATTTATAATTCGGGGGCACACTTTATAGATGTCCAGAACTCTAAGTAACCAGTCATGAGGGACCGAGTCAAAGGCCTTGCTGTAGTCAATATATGAGATGTTAAGGTTCTTTTGCTTTTTTTGCAGTTGTTTTAGTATAACAGAATCTATAGTCAATCTTCAGCCCAAGGCTGCTCTGATACACCCTTTTTGTTCTGCTTCAAATATTTAGTGTGTTTGGCAATGTTGATAAAGTCGCTCGTTTATTACAGCCGTAAATAATTTATAAATTACAGACAGACGTGTGATAGGTCTGTAATTTTTTGGGTCCTTGGGATCGCCCTTCTTGAATAACAAGACGGTGTTTCCATTGGACAGAAATTCTGGGAAAATATGCGGATCATCAAGCGCCTGCGTGAAACATCGGGCCAAAGCACCGTGGATAGCTGGGAATCGTTTGAGCCAGAAGTTCTAAATAAATAAATAAATAAATAAATGCCTTTATTGTCAAAAAATTTTTCAATTTGTGGACAAAGGTAAACTAACAAACAAAGTAAAAAATAACAAGGTACACAAACAAACAAACAAAAGATAATACAAAACATTATACAAATAATATTGTCAGTCTTATTGTTAAAATAAACATATATAAATGTTTACAATGTCAAAGAACAAAAAAAATTAAAATAATATTCAAAAATATTTAGCCAGTTTATAGCAAAATATCAATGACCTCTAAATAAATTAATTTCTGTATCCTGTTCTGTATCCTGTCCGGTCCCGGTGTCTTCCAATTTTGGGTTTTCTTAATGGCTGCAGTGATGTCTTCCTTCAAAAATGTATTGACTACCATTCTAGGCACATTCAGAACTTTGTCTTCGATGGTACTTATCCAATCAGCATCATGGTTAAATCTCTCCGACTCGGCTCATACTCCTGCCCAGTAATTGCCAAAAGCTTTGACGTCCACCTCAGCAGTATCTTGTTCTACTGCAGACTCATTCTCTAGCTTTCTAAAAAATTGTTTCTGGCTTTTTAGGAACTCGTTATTCTGTTTCTTTCTTTTATCTGTTGCATTGAATCTTGATAGCCTTGCTCCTTTAGCTTTATACTTTTGGCGGTATGTATCTTGTAGTTCTATAAGCTTTTGTAGATAGTTAGGTTGGTTTTCATATATTTTGGTTGTGATTGTCTGCAATTGACTTTTTGGTGGACTTTTTTGGAGGGTTTGTCTTTTAAAAACTCAGCAATTAGATCGGCCCTGCCTCGTAGTTTATCGATGGTCTTCTCAAGTCCTCTTCTCCAGGCTGGTATCTGGTCAAGCCTATTATAGGATATTGCTCGGGGATAATAAGTCGACTGCCCATTGTGCTGCACAACCGTTACAGCTGCACAGTAGAGGGCCAAGTGAACGTATTCTAATGATTTATCCGGTGTAGTGTAGGCTTCCAGTAGAGCATTAACCCTCTCTATTATGCCTTGGGCTTTTCGAACGTTCTGAAGAACAGGTATGGCAGGCCTCTCTAAGGGACAGGTATTAATGTACATTGCCAGTAAACTTTCAAAAGTTTCAGCCCACTTTTCTTTAGCAACTTCATTTTCATTATCTTGAGGTACCTGGTTCTCTGCCTCTTGTTGTGTTCTGTCCACCTGCTCCTCAGGAATACCTTCGTCTCGGTGAAATATGTTTCTTTCATTATCTCCATATTCTTGTTCTTGTTGAAGGATGTTACCAACTTCCCTTTTGATATTTTGAAGTTCATCAACGGTCAGATACTGTTTACTCAATATAACGCGTTTCCTATCGACGACGTTCTGTTCCGACACTTGCAAATCTGGGTGTCTTCTGGTAAAATCTGCGTGGAGGGAGCTTCTCCATCCAGGAAGTGGTTGATATTGACATTGGTTAACGTAGTAGAAAGATGGCATAATATCAATATTTAATTCTCGCGTCCATTTCATACGTTTTCCATTTTCTCTCCTGCGGGCAGCCCTACTAATAGCGGGCGAGCCATCAGGTAGAGTGGCATCGTCTTGGTAGTTACCAACTAAAGCGTCCACTTCACGCTGGTTTAATTGGGCTGTAGCTGATTGTACGACAGGGGCCCGCCTCTACAACACCCTGCCGCCGACGTCCCGCATGCTGTCGTGTCCAGCGCCGGCTCCAGACACGCCCTGGCGATCCCCAGGCAGCGGCTCTATCGTATCGGCCAGGCATAAATTCAGCCGCTTCTAACATGAAGAACAGACGCTGTTGGAGTACCGTTCCTGACATGGAAACCCGTCGTGTCCTGTTGTGCTGGTTTTTGTCCACCCTGAGTATTTTATTTCCCCGGTACCCGCCATATCTGGCGAGCGTTTCCCAATTCGCACAGGGAGGCGTCCGATAGGAGATCCAGCAACACCCACGGATTACAATTATTATTATTATTATTGGTAACAGTTTACAAAACGGTTTTCCGCTATTTTAATAATATAAGAAATTTTATGCATACAGACACTTTCAAATGATTGTAGAGATTACGAAGCTACCTGCGGAGCTTCAAAAAACGGTGTTTTTTCTTAATTTTTCAGTTTAGAAGCTTACGGGACCTGGGAGCGAATAGGGGTGCTGGGTGGGGTAAAACCACTGTGAGAATGATAATAGCTCCCATAGTGTAACCATAAAAAGGCGGATAAACCACTTTTATCAACGAAAAATGCAAAAAGAGAAGTATTTATTCACTGTTTCGATGTTTTAATATGAAATCCGTCGAGCGCTTCGCCTTCGCCTATGAATCAGCTGCTGCTGTTTGCGTTCCGAATGTTCCGATCGAATGCAACGTTGCCACCTCCACATAAAAATCGTAAATCCGCAGAATCAATTGCATACAATACACACTATTTTACCTTGAGCGACTTTTTTATATATAAGTTATAGACTCTTAAAACCATGCGTATAAAGCAAAAACTTACCTGCGGAAACAAGAAAATCTCCTTCGTTTTGTCCATTTTCGACAAAAAATTTTACAGGTTCTGGGAATGACTAGGGGTAGTGGGTGGATAGAAAGGGAATTGAAAAACAGAGTATTCCTCATAATAGTAGTCACTGTAGCACATAAATGGAAAAAGAACACATCTGTCACTTTTTAACACAGTAAATCGTTCGTAGAATGGTTATTGCGTTGGCAAATGAATGTAGAAGAAATAAAATTGCATTTAAAGAAGAAAAACGAAAGGAATTATTAGAATAATAGGAAAATATAATTAAACTTGGGGTGGATACAATTTAGCGATTTGAAGAAAGATTTGATGTATATCACAATTATCTTGATTGGCATTTTTGAATAAGAATTCAGCTAAATATCCAATAAAGTGGTGTTGCTTTCGACCATATCTGGGAATTGCACCGCGGACGTTCCTCCAAATTCTTTCAATATTCTGTGTATGAATATTAGAATCATTAGGATCGACAAAATGCAAAGAATGATTGACGGCCAAATGATTAAACCCTTCACGTTCCAAATTATCGTACGCTCTCCAACAGTCTGAAATAATGGTCGTTCCAGGCAAAATCCACTGTTTAATTACATTTAATAATGTTTGTGCAGTCCTGTCAGGAACAGGCACAAAAAACACTTTTCTTGATTCTCTGTCAATTCCACCAAACACCCATTGCCCTTCGATACTACGTCCTCTATTATATTTCCTCCTGCCGAATTTTGCTTCATCAATTTCTACGATTTTCCCTATTCCCCCAATTTTGTCCGAATGTTCAACCACCCACTGAACACATAATTCGCGGCAAAAAGAACTCCAATCTACAACTGTTTTCGAACTACAATGTAACTCCCTCATAATAAAGTTCTGTCTTGGAAATGGTAGTCTTAGCCACAACACCACAAAATAAACAATATCTTCCAAGGAAAGATGTGCCTTAGAAAACCAAGTGCCTTTCTTAGCACTTTTTTTGGTTTTACATTTACGGATCCGATTTTGGCGGCGATATGTCTTGGAACAAGTGTAAAACAAAGAATTAATATTAAGTTCAATAATATTGTCGCACGTAACACACGTCGAAAATCGACAAAGAACACCATGGTCCACTAAAAAGTCGATAAGTTGTCTTCGGTTCGAAGAAAGGTGCAAAAACTCTCGCACTGTAAAAGTACATGTCACACAAGGCATTTCCGAAAATTATTACTAAACGATTGACAAATAGAATATTATGCGTGAAACAGCATTCAACGTAAAAAAAACTCAACTGAACACATAGTCACAAAACATAGTAGTAAAAACCACAGATCCTCTTCTCGACCTTTGACACAGATCAATGAATAATATCTATTCTTATCAACTTAATATCACTATCGCTACCACATCCTAAATTCCTAAACAGCATTTTTTATTTCATTTAACTTAGGTAGGAATCTTAAAGTTATCTTACAAAGAAAGAAAACGCAGAAAAAAAATTTCAGAAAGAATGAAAACTTGGCAACAAAGCATAGAAATGTCAACACGTTAATCGTTATAAATACTGAGGGTATGACAAAAAAAGAAATATTTTATCCAATTCGTATTATGTATGTTTTTTTGAAATATTTAACATTATTTCCGTTGGAAAGTGGATAATTTCTGTGAAAAATGAATTATGAACTTGTATTGTATAGTAAAATTATAGGTATAAGTGTATGAGTCAATAAATATAAATAGAAGCGAAAACACGGCTCAGGGAAAATGCCGTTTTTAATAAAAATATGGATTTTTTCGTGTCTCCGCAGGTGGGTTCATATTCTTCATAATGAGTACAAAACAACTATATAATCAACGTCGACCACATTACAAAAATAGTGAAAAACCGTTTTGTAAACTATCACAGGAAGGTAATTATTTAGAAAACGGTTTTCGATTAAGTGCCCAATATTTACGAAAAAAAAAAATTATCGTTTCTCCGCAGCTAGATTCATGTTCCCTACACACAATAGAACGTGTCTATGCAAAAAAAATCACGATTAGTGCTAAATTAGCAAAAAACCGTTTTATAAATAATTACCTTATTATTATTCAATTGTTTTCGGTCACATCTTGTTTCACCGGAAATAACGACAACTTTTAATTTTTAAATGGCACCCTCGATATTTTGTTACTTTATTTGAATGTGATGAATAGAAAATGACACTCTGAATAGAATGACATATCATTGTCAATTTTTGACTTTTGACATTCTCAAATATGATTTATTTGAAATTGCAACATGCGATTCATAACGACAATTGACTCGAAATACTAAGTGTGTGGTACCAAATTATTTGTAAAAAATGCTTTTTCCAAATATGCTAATAAGCCACCCTCGTTCCATTTGAAAAAAATGAGATATGATTAAAAATACGATTTGGGCATCTTATAACCGGCCAGGACAAGATACTAAAAATAGTAGACAATCAAATCTATTTTCCAAGGCACCTTGATTAAAAATTAGTGTTTTTAACACAGCCATGGCACTCTACATTGAGGTTTAAAATACAATTTTGTTTTAAGCAAAAATGTCAAAAGTTGACATATGATATGTCATTCTATTCAGAGTGTCTTTTTCTATCGAATAAAGTAAAAAAAATGCAGAGGACGCCACTGAAAAATCAAATGTTGTAGTCATATCCGGTGAAACAGGAAGTGGCCGAACAGAATTGAATAGGTCAATCAATCATAATTTATGTCTTATACTAACATACCAAATCTCAGTTCTTTATGTGAAAAAATAAAAAAGTTATAGAGGTGAGCCACTATTGAGATGCACCCGGTATAGTTTTCTCGTTGACAGCAGCAAATAGACTGGATATTGGTTAAATTGTGATACCGAATCTGAAAAAGCCACTACAAGGAGCAAATTTTGTGAAATATCTTGGTATAATAATACACAAACATTTGAAATTATTAAAAAATTATTAAAAACGATGCTAGTTGCATACATGATACAAAGAAATGTCTCCTTTATAATATCATGGCTGCGTTCAGGTATTGCGAACGACAGTCTGTTTGGAAACAACCTGGAGTTGTTTGTTCTTGTTCCACTACATTAAAATTATATTAGGATTTCTCTCTCTATAAGAATATCCTTTATTTTAGAACGTCGAAGAACGTAAATTTTATGTCCGGCGTGCATCTACCCTCAATATCTGAACGCAGCCCATGAGTTGCATATGTATACCTATCTCGCGAAACATAACTTACTATTTGCATATTTCAAATAATTGTTGTATTATTAATAAAATGAGTATCAATAAAATATATGAGTAAAAATTTATTTAAATCTATAATTTTAAAGATTTAATTGATGGCTCATGGTATGTTAAGATGAGTTTACATATATGCTACTAATAAATTTAATAATAAAGGTGATTCATCATTTTGCAAGGTATTTTCCCTGGACTTTTTGTATAATATAATTATTAATTTAAACTAATTTGGAAATGATAAATTCAAAACTTATTTTAAGCTGTTAAAGTAGTTTTTACTGTATTCAAAAAATAGTTATCAGTTATCATGCAAATATTTTCCATGCCAATATTATTAGCCCCTGTATAACCTAAACGTTGAAAATATGACCCTCCACTGTTAAAAGAGAAAAATAAACCAAACCCAACATAAATAAAGCATCACTCCCAGCTAGATTTTATAAAATATTACCTACTTTTTATAGACTCACAAAAACTCAGAGTTGGGTTAATTACTTGTCTAAAAGGACCTCTTCAACTAATTCTGACTGATTTATTTTTGTTAACTGCTCTTATTGCTGATTTGCCTTATGATTTAGACGTGCTTGGCAAATTCAGCAATGGTATTGCATTGGTCTTTAAAATTCATTTTTATTCAAAAACCACAAAGTTCATATTTTAAATTCCTCTCGTATCTATCTTCTGCAATCGTCCGATTTGCACAAAAATTGGTGTACACCCTATTTTGAGGTCGTAGATTACGAATCTGGGTAAATCTGAACCTTTTTTCTAATGGTCTTTTACCGTTTTTCAGAAAAACGAAAAATTATTTCAACACTGAATTTTTCTTAATTTCTCATATTTTTAAGGTTTTCTAGCACATATTTTGTTAGATATTAATAAACAATCAGATTTTTGCTATTTTCTGTTACATTTTTAACCAATTCTAGGCATACTGGAGAAAAAAATGCTAAAATAAATTTGTAAACAATCTGAAAATGTTGGGTTATGTGTTTCTGACGTTTCTGACACTTAAAGCAACGTTGCCAATGCTAAACCAAAAATTTAGGGCTTTTTTTTGCTCCATCTGATTACAAAGGCGGTTGCCAGTGGAACATGAGTGGAACAGCTCCTACCTTTGGCTCCTACTAGAGAATAGGTCGGAATCCAAATAGGTACATGCTCCTACCCAAAGAACAAAGAATATTTATTGGCAACGTTGCTTTAAATGTCAAAAACACAACTATGCACATAACCCAACATTTTCAGATTGTTTACAATTGTTGTTGTGTACTTGCTGTTTACCTATTTGTTTACAAATTTATTTTAGCAAATTTTTCTCCAGTATGCATAGAATTGGTTAAAAAAGTAACAGAAAATAGCAAAAACCTGAATACCTACCAAAATATGTGCTAGAAAACCTTAAAATATGAGAAATTAAGAAAAAATCAGTATTTAAATAATTTTTCTTACTGTTTTTCTGAAAAACAGTAAGAGACTGCCAGGAAAAAGTTTATATTCGTAATCTACGACCTCAAAATAGAGTGTATACAGAGATATAGACTTATCTCTGGGTATATACCAATTTTTGTGCAAATCAGATGATTTTCAGTTTTCCAATAATTTTACTGTAGTGGTCTTTGGTAGTGGTAGATTTTAACTATTCATAATGGTTCGCCAGTGCGTAGTTTGCAAAAAGGTGGACTATTGTAATCCTGGATTGATATTTCGGCGGTAAGTGATATTACGTTTTGGACATGTTTTAGCCTCTGGCTTTAGCTAATCTTTTTATTCAAAGGCTTTAGCAGTGTCATATCTAGTTTTACTTATGGTTATTAGTAAATTATTACAAAAAAGACGTATATATTGTTATTTGATAGAGTTTGATTGTGAAACTAGAATTGCACTCATTTAGACCTCGGGTAAAAATAGTTTTAATAAAAAATTTATTTATTTATGTAGTAGTAGTTTATTCGCGTGCGCACGTATTTTTGTACGGTATAATATGTAAGAAACGGCGGTGATGCAAGTTTCTAACACTCTATTGGTTTGTTAAAGATTGAGGTGTCGTCTTACTATTGCTGCTGTTTGAAGAACGACAGCCTTCTGGAGTTGTATATAGAGTAACGGTGGAAGATCTAACTTTTTTAAACTATGGTGGAGAGCCTTTGGTATTACGCCCGTTGATGAAATTATAATGGAGTAGATATTCACTTCGTTTTGCTTCCATAAACTTTTAACTTGTTCAGCTAGTGCGGTATATTTACTTAACTTCTCACTCCATGTAGACTGCAGATTATGGGTGTTAGGAATCCCGACATCTATAAGGTAAGTTAATGCCCTCTCTTTTATGGTGAATGTTAGATCTGGTCGGTTATGCGGAGTTGTTTTGTCAGTAAGTATACTTCTGTTCCAGTAGAGTTTAAAGTGGGCATTTTCTAACACATTTTCAGGTTCATATCTGTAATAAGGTGTAATATCTTCTTTTAAATGACAAAGGGTTGCTAACTTTTGATGAATGATTTTCGCTACTTGGTCGTGTCTTTGGAGGTAGGAGGTTGGCGCTAGCACTCGACATCCAGCTGTCACGTGCTGGATAGTTTCACCAGGTTCATGACATCTTCGGCATTGATCTACTACATTCGGCTCTTTTAGGATGAATTTTCTGTAGTTCCTCGTAGCTATGACCTGGTCCTGGATTGATAACATAAAACCTTCGGTTTCGAGGAACAAATCCGCCTGAGATAACCATTTGTTCGACGCATCTTGATCTACATAAGTTTGGTTAAGCTCATGCGGAAATCTCCCATGCAGTACTTTTCGAGTCCACTCCTCGACTTTCTCTCGTTCGTAGATTACATCCGATGGGAGCCTGATGTCAACGGCATGTTGAAGATCTAAAGGGGTGTGTTTGTTATCTGCTCTCACTACTGCTCGGTGAAGACCTGATGCCTGGTGCAGGAAGTATTGTTGAAGACCATAGATTTGTTTGGCGTGTAGAAACCTTAAATCAATTAGACCTCTCCCACCTTTATTGCGTGGGAGGGTTAATCTCTCAACTGCTGCCTTAGGATGATGCGCCCTAAATTTTGTTAGTGTAGTTCGCGTTTTGATCTGGATATTTTCAAGTTCTGTTTTCGTCCATTTTATAGTCCCAAAAGTATATGAGATTATCGGAATTGCGTAGCTGTTGATAGCCGTAAATGTGTTTTTTCCATTTAATTTAGACTTAAGTATATTCGTCAGTCTACTAATATATATAGAGGTGATTTTCTCTTTAATATCTTTGTGCTGTAAGCGTTTACCTTGAGCTAGTCCAAGATATTTATAGGTCTCATGTTCTTCCAAGGATTCGATGATATCTCCATCACCTAAGTCGAATCCACTAGATATTATTCTACCTTGCTTTATATTAAGTAGCTTACATTTGTCCAACCCAAAGGACATTTGGATATCTTTAGAGAAAGTCTTTGTAATTTCAAGAAGGTGTTGAAGTTGTTTTTCATTCCCTGCAAACAATTTAATGTCGTCCATGTACATCAAGTGACTGATAACATGATGTTGAGTCTTGTCATACTTTATATGGAATCCGTAGCCGGTCTTATTCAGAATCGAAGACAGGGGGTTTAGTGCCAGACAAAACCATAAAGGGCTTAAGCTGTCACCCTGGAAAATACCCCTTTGGACACTAATCGGTTGTGATATGACTATTCCTTGGTTTTGATTAATTTCTAGAACTGTATTCCACGTAGACATTAAATGTTGAAGCATATTTATAATTTTATGGTCAATCTTATATATCTGTAGTACTTTCAGGAGCCAGGAGTGCGGTACCGAATCAAAGGCTTTTTTATAATCGATAAATGCCGTGTAGATATTTCGTCGTTTGTTAGCTGCTTGCTCAAGTATTACTGAGTCTATTATGAGCTGTTCCTTGCATCCTTGAGATTTTTTGACACAACCCTTCTGCTCTTCAGAAAGTAATTTATTATCTTCAACATGTTTGTAGATACTTTTTGCAATACATGCCGTTAAGATCTTGTATAGTGTGCATAAACAGGTAATGGGTCGGTATTTTGTTGGATTATTTAATCGCTCGGATTTGGGGAGTAAGTATGTATTACCTCTGCCAAGAAATTCGGGGATAGTTTCTGGACTTTCAATAAATGTTGTGAAGTACTTAGCAATGTAAGTGTGTGTACTTTTCAGTCGCTTAACCCAAAAATTGTGGATTCCATCCGGGCCCGCTGCTTTCCAGTTTTGTGTAAGTCTAATTACTTCAGCAACCAAATCTGATGTTATTGTGATAGGTTCCATTGTTGGCAGATGAAACAATTCGGCTTCTATATCTCTAATCCAAGTGGAATCTGTGTTGTGGTTAACTGGTTGAGACCATATTGATGACCAGTAGTTTTCGATCTCCTCTTCGGTAGGTAAAGGACCAACAGGCTGATTTGAATTTATTTTCAAATTCCGATAATAAGCTCTTTGGCTGGTGTTGAATTTCATGTTTTGTATTTTTTTGTAGTTTATTATTATTATTATTATTATTATTTACACAATAGAAAGCGGTATAAAAATACCGATGAGTCTACTGTCTTTTTATGTTGCGCGTAATTTTTTCGAGTTTACTGGCTGTAATGCAAATGTACAGAACTCAAGGTATTCATTTCTTGATCAATTTTGTTTTTAAATGAGTTGAGAGTTGGTACTGAAACACTTTCTTCTGACAGCGAGTTCCACGGGTACACTATGCGGTTAGTCAAAAAATTTTTTCGCTGGAGTTTGGACGATCTTTCCTTTTCCAGGCGTCTGCTGTGGCCTCTAAGTTGTGGAGTTTGGCAAGGATGGTATATATTTAATGGGCAAGTGTAGAAACAATTTAGAATTTTGTAAGTCTCTATCAAGTCCCCCCGCAAACGCCTCTGTTTTAATGTGGTGAGATTTAACATCGCAAGACGATCTTCATACTCTAGATCCTTAAGTTCATGGGGCATTTTTGTCACCTTGCGTTGAATTTTCTCGATGAGATCAATATCCTTCTGAAAATAGGGACTCCATATTATTTGACCATATTCTATTTTGGGTCTAATGTAGGACTTGTATATCTTTAAAATAAGATCAATAGAGCGGTCTTGAAATGCTCTTTGAATGAAATAAAGAAGAGAATTTGCTTTTTTAGTAATCTTTGATATATGCACATACCATTTTAGGTTTCCAGTAACTGTAATCCCTAGATCTTCCTGTTGTTCTACATGTCTTAGACTTAATTCATTTAGGGTGTAGGTTTTGTGCGTACAATTCATTCCAATGCTAAGAACAGTGCATTTGTCCTCATTCAGTTTCATTCTCCATTGTTTGGCCCAGGATTCCACCAACCTTAGATCATGCTGAAGATTGACGTAGCTCGTTTCGGGATTTGCATATAACTTTGTATCATCCGCAAAAAATATGATATTCGTTTTTATGCCTCTTGCCAGATCGCTGATATACAGGAGGAACAACAGTGGGCCCAACACAGAGCCTTGAGGAACACCGCTGGTCACTTTGTGTTTAGTTGAAAGAGATCCGTTTATTCTGACTTGGAAGTAGCGTCGGGTTAGGAAGTTTGATACAAGTTTGAATAAATTCCCTCTTATGCCGTAGTGGTTTAGTTTATAAAGAAGCATCTGGTGGGGTACTTTATCAAATGCCTTTTCAAAGTCAAGATAGATGACGTCTGTTTGTTGGTTTCTATCAAAGGCTGCTGTCCAATCGCTAAGACAAGATGTCATGTTCGTTATTGTGGATCGACCAGGAAGAAATCCATGCTGTGTGCTGGGTAAGACATCTTTTTCCATTAGGTATGGAGTAAGTGTGCGGATGATTACCTTTTCCATGCATTTACAGATGCAGCTAGTTAGACTAATTGGTCGGTAATTACCAGCTAACTGTCTGTCTCCCTTTTTGTGAAGCGGTGTAACGAAAGAAAGAGACCAAGTATCTGGAAATTTGCCAGATATTAGTAAATCATTAAATAGACATGCTAAAGGTTGTGCGAGGGCATGACAACATTTCTGAAGAAAAACAGTCGGTACACTATCTGGACCCGGGCTGCTGTCAGTTTTTAATGATTTTATGGCTTCGCTAACGTTGAGCTCTGTAAATTCTATGTTAGTAATCTCTTGCAGAAGCCTAGAACTCTGTGAAAGCGTTGGAATGTAAGAGTCATTGGTTGTCGTAAAGACTGATGCAAACCGGTGTGCAAATTCCTCAGCAATGTCACAGTCGTCCATGATAGGTAATCCATTGTTGGGGTTTTTAAGAGTGAAACTGGATACTTTTGTAGACAGAGTCCTATTAATATATTTAAAAAATTGTTTTGGTGAGCTGGAAGAGGCGATAGATTTTTCGTAGTTTTGTCTAGCACTTGCGATTATGTTTTTTAGAGTGTTGTTTTCCGTCCTGTATGCAGTATAGTTTTCGGGTGTTGGCGATTTAATATATTTATCCCATAATTTTCGTTTGTTAGTAATTTTTTTAAAAATATTCTGACTTATCCATGGTTTTTTAGAATTTATTGTTTTAGTTGTAAATGGGACAAATTTTGTAATAGCTTCGTCAATAATTTTGGTGATTTTTTCATATCTGTTTTCTTCCAAATGTGAAGGGTCAAAATTCAAGTTTTCTGCAAGAAATACATTTATTTGTTCATAGTTGGCTTTCCAAAAGTTTTGTTTTCGTATTTTATTGGTAGATCTAGTTGGATATTCGAGTTGCGTTTTTCCAGTAATAACCAAATGGTTTGGTTTGGTTTTGTTAGTAATTTTTTTAAAAATATTCTGACTTATCCATGGTTTTTTAGAATTTATTGTTTTAGTTGTAAATGGGACAAATTTTGTAATAGCTTCGTCAATAATTTTGGTGATTTTTTCATATCTGTTTTCTTCCAAATGTGAAGGGTCAAAATTCAAGTTTTCTGCAAGAAATACATTTATTTGTTCATAGTTGGCTTTCCAAAAGTTTTGTTTTCGTATTTTATTGGTAGATCTAGTTGGATATTCGAGTTGCGTTTTTCCAGTAATAACCAAATGGTCACTGCGGCCCAATGGTGAATCACTTTCTATGTTGTAAATCAGTTTCTTATTATTTACTAGAAACAAATCCAGAAGCGCATCCTGATCACCCCTGAAACGTGTGGAAAAATCTATTATTTGATAAATATTCGTTTCATTAAAGCTGTCCAAAAACAGTTGATTTAGTTTCTCAGTTCTATATAGTGTTTTATTGTTCCAGTTGATTTCAGCATAATTGAAGTCTCCAGTGATGTAGACTGGTACGTCCTCTGCACACACCTCAGCTAATACATTTATCATATTCCTGTCTGATTCTTCGTTCGAGTGTGGTGGCCTATATATACATGCCACAATAAACCTTAAACCAGCAATTTTGATGTTCAGCCATACTGATTCAATAGGACTTATGGTTCTATATTTTTTGGATACACTAGAGTATATTTTCTGTCCATTCACTTGTTCCTTTACAAAAACACACACTCCACCGCCTCTTTGTTGATTGCGGTCTTCCCTAAAAATATTATAACCATTGATATCTATCAGACTGTTTCTAATGTCAGCATTCAACCAGGTTTCAGTTATTAATATGCATAGAGGATCGTGTTTTTTAATTGAGATAAAGAATTCGTCGACCTTATTTACTATGGAACATACATTGCTATACCAGAACGACGCCTCTAGAATTTGTTTATTTAGTTTTTTGGAGTTGTACTCTGATTAACTTTTACAAGCTTTGGTGTAAAATCAAAACCTTGATATCTAATTTTATAATTGTTTCTTCCTTCCTTGGTATGTTGTTCCAATTCGTGCAGGAGTTTTTTGAGATGGTTTCTTTGCATTGGTGTTTGGTCTCTCTTTATATATATTCCATCATTGTTCTGAAGTTTGCTTTTTTGCTTCAAAATCGCCAAAACCGTCTCCTTGTCTTCAAACTGGACTTTTATTGGTCTTTTTTTATTGTGATCAATTTTTCCCAAACGATACATTTTAATGTTTTCTTTCGAAATATTTAGCTTAATGGGCTTAAGTATTTCAACTACTGCTTCCGCGTCTGGATTCTGATTTTCAGTATCGGTCCCAGGTTCAGAAATACCAAATATAACAAGATTGTTTAGACGCTTTTCTCTCTCGTGTATTTCCTCTAGTTTACATTTATATTGAACAGAATATAATTAATTCTATAGGAAAACAGAAAATAAGTCCCTCTATTACTGAACTAATTCCTGAAATCACTCACTAAATGATAGGTACCTATATTAAATGGAAACTTCTACTTTAGTGCACGATGGTACTTAAAGTACTGTGTGTGCAGTGTATAAAGTTTGTTTCCTCCTATAGTATTCCTAGATAAAGAGGGTTCTAGTACGCTTTGATGTAGCATCATTTTTTGTAATATTTTCACTACCTAATCAATACGTTTTTTGATATATTATTTACATTCTTACTGCTACGATATATTATTTACATTCTTACTACATAGTATGCAAAAACTCCCCGTTGACACAAATGTCAAATTAAATGCTTAGGCCAGGGGTGGGAAAGTGAAATAGCAAAAGCGGTTCCACCGTTTCCACGGAAATCTCAAATAAAATAGTTCCAGCCCTAGCCACTAGGTGGTAGTGCAATTAATTTTTAGGTTAAGAAGTTGCTACTAGTTATTGCCAGATGGCGTTAAATCAGAATTTTTTTGTAGTTTCCATAGTTTCCAACGGCCATTGTCATATTATTGTCAAATTCTCAAAAAAATATTGTCGTTGTCATAGCGCCAATCATAATATTATCAAATAAATGATTATCAAAATATTTTTCAAACTATACTACAATTTGTTATATGTGTTTTAATTAGACAATTCCTTTTGTTTGTGGCCCTAAAAATATAATGTAAGTCTTTTATTTTTGCCATCATTTAAGTACCTATTTATATTTACTCCATTTACAAAACTTTGGGCGTATTACGTTGGTCTTGTTTTATTATAATAAACGATGTTTAAATATTTGACTTATAAATAAAAACCATAGATAAAAGACTTATAATACATTTCAATAGGCAACTTATAATACATTTCAATTTTATTATACAAGGGCGCCTCTGGTAGATGGAGGAAGAAATACTAATGGAAGAGAGGGGTGCGGGGAAGGGGGGTTGTTTTAGTTAATTTAAAATAAATTTAGACATACATGTAAGAACACTTTGTGTGCTTTTAATTAGGTCGAACATATTATAAACGATAAATCAACTGAATTAAAAGCATACAAAGTGTTCTTATATGTCGGATATTAATTAAAAAATATATTAAAAATACTAGAAATAGCATATATTAAGTTGTTACAGTTATAATTTAATCTTTGGCGGTTTTCAGCAAATAGCAGGCAGTTTTACATAATTTTCCTCCCTTTGAAGTGAATTGGAAACGGCTAGGTATATAATTTTGGTGTAGGCAAGATTCCCAGTTTGTTTCTGTTTGGGACCTGAAATAATAAAAACAAATTAAATCAGATGTAATCATCTGCTGATCATGCTAATATAAAACGCGCGTCCTTAATTCCTTACATGCACCGTAAAAAAATTTAAATAACTGCTCTGCAAGTAGCATTTATTAGCAGTACTAATTTAAAAAATCTATAACTGTAAGTAGATATGTTTAATTTACTTACCATTGTATCCTTCGGAAACCAGGTGTACAACAATTAAACTCCATGATAAAAAATAATTAAGAGTTATTACAAAACACAAATTGTCCCACCATTTTTAAAAAACATTGTCTAAAACAGAATACTGGCAAAAAATCTGAAGGAATTTAATTTTACAATAATTCGACAAATCAAAACGAAATCAAAACGAAATCAAACCGTAAAATCACAACAAAAGCGTCTCTGAGTGACAGTTAAAAATCAAATTTTATTATTGTCAGATATTGACATTTGCATTGTTAATATTGACAGTTTTAATATTTTGCGCCTCTGCATCTTGGAGGAAAAACTATTTTTAATGAACCGTCATTTCCATTTCAGTTTCTCAGCCATGAATAAAAACTTTATAATGAATAATATTTCACATGTTTGGCTTTAATTTTATTTAATAATTGTATAAATTATACTGTTAAATCTTATTTTTTACACGTCACAACGATACTTGTTATTAGTATTGTTGAATTTGTGTAAAAAATAAGATTTAATAATCAAATTTAATTATTTTAGTTGTGAACTACGCTCATTTAAAAAGCCCGCGCTTCGATCCATTTAAAACAAGCCCTACTCAATAGATGGCGCCACTTCTGTAGGACCATTTTTCAGTATGACAGAGTCCATTCTTTTTCTAGCTAGAGTGAGCTAGGTATATTCTTTGGCTTAGGCCATGGGCCATGGCCTCATCATGGCCTATAGTTTAGGCCTTTTTTGGCATCACAAAAAGTTTTTAAGATATATTTTTAATGCAAATTGATTTAGATGTTGAAGAAAAAATCATTTTTAGATGCTCCCTCAAATCGCACCTGAACAATAAACAATAATCATATAATTAATTACTTTTTTGAATGAGTGAAGAAGGAATTATTTTTTTTATTTAAATCTACCTCTGAATTTACCTAAAAAAAAAAGAGGAAAAAGCTTAAATAACAGTAAAGTTGGACAGCAAGTTTAGTAACGAATTTTTTCTCTGAGAGGAATGGCTTGATAAGCTCCAATCACTTACCAAAGAAACTTGGAGAATAAAACGAACATTTCCACTTGCTTCCAAAGCCCCAAGAAATATTTATAAGCGTATTTACCGTTGCCATTTCAACGTTAGAGAAAGAGCTACAACTAATAAGTTAAAACAAAAGTCATCTAAAAATATGTTAAGCCTAAAGCCATAATATGTTACAATGTTTCTATATGGTGTACTCGGTGTATCAAAGGAAGTGCTCTCCCTAGTATAACTTACATACCGCCGAATCGCAGCAGACCCGACTAATCCCGAATGGACAATCTGTGTGCAACATACAAATATGCGTCCTGGAATTGGAACTACTGACTGCACCTTTCCTTTTTAACACTAAAATGCAATCAATTTTGAAAATATGAGCCTTCAGAAAACTCTTGCATGTTTTTGCACCCGACTCTCCAGCTATTTTTTGAGCTGTTGAATTTTTATATCGGAGTTCTCTAATAAGGCTACTGTAGCAGCGTCTCGAAGTTTTTGTCCAGATTCGATGTTAAGTTTTCATTTAATTCGTTAAGTTATTTAGTTTTGTAACCCTGTACACTTCCACTTGTACTTACCTATACACCCACGCACACAATTCACAGACTTGAGTACATATCTGGAATTTTAAATAGAAGAAAATAACGTTTTCTTGCCTTTTACCATACCTTTTTACATATTTTATTAAATATGTTTGTGTTGCATATGTAAACAATAATATTTTTATAGCTTTCCTGTAAATCCTGAGCGCAGGCAAAGGTGGGTGTCACTCTTGAATTTGGAAAATCAGCATGTATTCAAGTATGCCACAATTTGTTCTAATCATTTTGATAAGAGCGATATTATGGTCACCGAATTAACTGGTCGAAGGCAAATAAGACCAAATGCTGAGCCCCAAATAGATACCTCTATTTTTGATGAGGCTTTACCTTACAGGTAAAAAAAACAGTGAAATACATTTTAACAGTTAATTTTAATATGTAATACTAGCATTGACGTTCGATAAGTGAAACATCCCCAAAAAAATATTTTAGGTAAATGTAAATCTTGATTGTGATATAATAAAGTTTGAAAATTATCAAAATCTTTTAATTAATTTTTAGAACTTCAGCTGCAAGCATGTTTCAAGATCCCAAATGTCATGATCCGTCCCAAGAAGTCACCTGTGCAGAACAAAGTAATCTAGGCTCGCAGACTACCTTGGCTAGTCCCTCAGCTTGTCCTTTAGCTAGTCCCTTGGCTGGCCGTAAAAATTACAGGATGTTGCCTAAAACCACAGAAACAGCATCGAAAACACAAGTTGGAATTAACTGGTATGTGCTCTTTTCAAAGATATTTGACTGACAAGGCTTAACTATTCAAGGCTCTCGTTTAACAGGTTGGGAATATACAGCTTTATTCATAAAAAAGTAGTACAAAACTTCACATCAGTGACAATTATTGTCACAAGAATATACAGGATGCTACAAATTCGAGGTACGAGCATTGGTATCTTGGAAACCGTAATAGATACGAAGATGGTTAAATTTGGGCAAAGTTGCGCCTAGGGCTGTTCACCAAGATGCCATCAAAAAAGTTTTAAAAATTCCAAGGATTGCTGAGTTTTTTGGAAAAAACGGATTTTTTTGAAAACTAATTTTATTTTTTCTTGTCGTTACTTTTTAGAAAATCAAAAAACTAATTGCACATTCTCAGAGCTACTTTATTAGGGCTATCTAATAGTATTTTTAGATTTTCATATTGGCTGATAATTTGTAAGATACAGAGGCCAACTTAATTTTTTTAAATACGGATCTGCATTTTTTATTTCAGATTTTGAAAGAACTCAGTCTCCTGAGTACGATGATATGCCACACTTTATAGTTTTTTTGTTTTGGGTACCTTAACAGCAAAAAAACTATTTAATTATTATTTTAAAAAAATCAAGTCCGACTCTGTTTTTTAAATTATTTAATCTAATTGTATTCATCGTAACAATATTGATCAGTCAGTCAATTAGTCAATCAATAATTAACATTGAATAAGGAAAATTGAGCCAATTGAAAGATTCAAATAAATAATATCCAGATTAGCAATTTAAAGATATTATTTTTAACTTTTCTTATTGTGAATTTGAAATTCTCAGTGTACGATCTAATAATTTGCATAAATTAATCGTAGTTATTATGAATAAATTAACTTCTACAAACTAGTTTCTAATGCTCTACATAGTCTACATGTTCGAAAGGGTTACCACCCTCCCTATTGAACAAATTTATTTTTCGTTCAATTTTATTTATAGCTTTTGAATAGATCTTCTTCTTATACTTTCGAATGCATTTTGTACTCTTTATTGTAACTGCCGAGATGTATTGATTTCACTTTTTTGTAAAACTTGAACCTGTCGAATTAGTTGACGTCATCAGACGGTCCAGGAACCTCGCTGGCCATTATATTGCTCTACCATTTCCAATCCATCTTCCGGAGAAATATTTGATTGTTTATGTTACATTTTACTTATATTATTTTTTACTATTTTATTGCATTTGATTTTCCGTATTCAACCCATGTCACTGTTAAGTTTGAAAGATTATCAATATTGTAACAATGAATATATTAAATATTAAAAAAACAGAGCCGGACTTGAAATTAGTTTAAATAAATTGTGTCCAAATTTCCAAAACAAAAAAATTATTAAGTGTGGCACACCGTTGTACTCAGGAGAGCGAAATCTGAAATAAAAAATGCAGGTACGTATTTAAAAAAATTAAGTTAGCCTCTGTATCTCACAAATTATCGGCTGATTTGAAAATAGCCTCAGATAGCCCTAATAAAGTGGCTATGAGAATGTTCAATTAGTTTCTTGATTTTCTAAAAATAACGACACGAAAAAATAAAATTGATTTTCAAAAATATCCGTTTTTTCCAAAAAACTCAGCAATTCTTGAAATTTTTAAAACTTTTTTGATGGCATCTTGGTAAACACCCCAAAGGGCGCAACTTTTGCCCCAATTTAACCATGTTCGTATCTATTACGGTTACCGAGTTACCAATGCTCGTGCCTCGAATTTGTAACACCCTGTATAATATATTTTAAATGAAAGACTCTCATGAGAACTATTCTTAATTTCAAGTATATACAGGGTATCCTAACATTCCGTGGACATCAAACTACTACGTATTTCTGGAATATTATTTGGGGAGGAAGTGAGAGGAATGAACAAGACTCTTCAGTTCTTCACTCTCTCTCTCTTCACTGAAGAGATTTTTGGAATCAAAATAAGTTAGTTGGGCACAATTTACCTCTGTACAAAAGTGTCGTTTGTCCGCTAGAAGGCATCAAACTTTAAAAAAATAAACACATTTTTTCCAGATACTTTAAGAACCGTTATTCCGATTTGAATGAAATTTTGGATGTCTTAAAACATAGACACTTTCTTTCATGTATCCCTAAGTGCTTTCACATTTGTCTCTCTGTGATTTTGTGAGTGCTCGGCTCTAGTATATATGCTCAGCAGTTTTAGGTTTTAGTTTAGTTCACACTTGATAATCAGTGATACAACTTCTGATCGAAACGTGGTGTAAGCAAAAATAAATAACGACAGTGGAAGTCCGAAATCCTTTGTTTTAATACTGATTCATTGTCTACCACATTCAAAGCAATATTTCTTTCTATTATCTCTTTTTAGTTATTTATTCAATAATGATAGTGTAATTTTAACGTAAAATAAATAAATTATAACTATCAAATTGATATTTGATTGGATACTATACCGGGTGCGTCTCAAAAGTGGTTCATCCCTTGTTTTGTTTTTTCAGATAAAAAAAACGAGATTTGGTATGTTATTATATGACATAAATTAGGATTGATTGACGTATTCAATTCTTCTCGGCCACTTCTTGTTTCACCGGAAATATCCACAACTTTTGATTTTTAAATGGCACCTTCAGTATTTTTTTACTTTATTCGATAGAAAATGACACTCTGAATAGAATGACATATCATATCTCAACTTTTGACATTTTCGCTTAGAAAAAAATCGTATTTTAAATTTCAATCTAGAGTACCATAGTTGTTGTGTGTTAATAGTTGTTGTGCTGTGTTAAAAACACTAATTTTTAATCAAAGAGCCTTGGAAAAATAAATTTGATCGTCTGACGTTTTTAGTGTCTTATCGTGGCCGGTTAGAAGTTTCTCAAATCATATTTTTAATCATAACTTAATTTTTTCAATTGGAATTTATAGGTGGCTGGTTTATAATTTGGTACCACACGCTTAGTATTTTGAGTCAAATTGACGTTATGAATCGCATGTTTTTCAATTTCTAGTAAACCATATTCGAAAATGTCAATATTGACGTATGATATGTCATTCTATTCAGAGTGTCATTTTCTATTGAATAAAGTAACAAAATACCGAAGGTGCCATTTAAAAATCAAAAGGTTTGGTTTGGCAATCAAACAATTGAATACGTCATCAGTCCTAATTTATGTCATATACCAACATGTAGAATGAGTATGAGGGGGGGGGGGTTCATCACTGCAACCTTAAAGATCTATTGTGCTCCCCTTCCTTGAGTCATCACACGGTCTATAACTCATCATACCCCTGTTGTAGAGGGGACAGGGTATTTCCCATCCTCCTCTGACAACATTTTTTCCTCCGAGGGTACATACCCTTCCACGGTTGGAGTTTGGCCCTCCGTGCCGCCCTTCACAGTCGGGGAGCTTGCCTCCGGCTGAGGAACCCGTGAGGTGGAGGCTGGAGGATCTGTCTCCATTTTCTCCACCTCTTTAACTTGGTCTCTCCTTAGACCTGATACCGGTGTTGTCCCATATCTATAATAGAGGATATGTCCCTCTTTCTCTATTGCTTCCTTGGATTTGAGGGCAATTCCTATTGTGAGGACCTGACCATGACCCTCCTCCCTCGAGTTGATGACTCGCCAACTCGATGTCCTTACATTGAAGTTCTGACCCTGGATAAGGCTCAGCAGGTAGGTGGTGTCTTTCCCCTTGCTCTTCGGCAGAAAGACCCTATATATAAAAGGCATAGATCCCTAAAGGGGTTTAGGGATGTTTCTCCCTTCACTGCAACCAGTTCCGGCCCTTGCCAATTTTTAAGCTTAGGTGCGATTTCCACCAACCAATTTGCCGATTCTTGAGATACATAATCTATGAGGATCATGCCCACCCGAAAGTGTATACCCGCAAAACGCAGCTGACCCACATTTAGTAGATCGTTGTGTTGCGATCCGATTGCCACTACTTCGTCCAGTATAACCTCTTCTAGAGACGTTTGCTGGTCGGTGGTCAGAGCAAGCTCTGGGAAATCCTTTGACAGCACCGCCATTTTCACTTGTCCAGCAATAGCGGCAAAGCTGGTGATACGTCCCTGCTTGCCTCCCGGTGTTGGTCGGCTTTCCATCCTGGCTTTTTTCTCTCCCTGCCGAAGAAGAGGTGAGGGGTTCTCGCTCCCTCTCTTGCCCTTTGATGGAGATGAGTCAGGTTGTTTCTTGGTTTCTTTACTTATGCTTTGCTTCCTCTGGAGCAAGTTCTTCGTGGAGCAGTCGGAGGTATCTCCGTGCTTCTGGTCCACTAGGACCTACTCTCAGAGGATCGTCTAGCCCGCCTGGTTGACCCAGTTCGAAGCCACTTGTGGAGGATGATCCCAAGCAAGTGTCAGCCGTCCCTTTTGTAGTTTCCTTTGGATTTGGTCCCTTGGAACTTTCATTTGTAATGATCTCAGTGTCGCTAGGGATAGTCGGTCCACTTCGACAGAGCTCCGCATGTAGAAGTAAAGGGTAAATACAATGGGGTAACCCTGATGCCCCAAGGTTAAGCCCTTTGACCTGGTCCCGCCATCGTAGGATTTATATTTTTGGTGAGGTTGTCTCCTCTTGGACCAGACGGTTAAGCCAAGATGACCCCCCCCCACACCCTCTACTCGCGAGACATGACCACAGTCAGTAGAGGGTGCCTGGTATGACGGACAGGGGTAGCCCCGTCCGGCATCGTTATATGTCTTGGTGCAATTCCCTGGCCACGACACTACAGCCAGGGACAAGACGGAGTGAGATGCTTGTTAGACCAAGCCAAGCGCTAGGGGGGATTCCCCCCAGCACCTGACCAGGAGATTCCCCACCAACGACAAGGTCTCGCATCTCCTAGGGGAAGCATATACCAACATACCAAATCTCGTTTTTTTATTTGAAAAAAAGTTATAGGGGTGAGCCACTTTTGAGACGCATCCTGTATACTATGAAATTTAATGTTACAGCCCAACAGATACTGCTGTAAATAAAGAATCAAGAGGTGTGGAACATGTTACACAAGAAAATATTTCAGTAGAAAATATAAATGGATTATCACCAGATAATAAGTTAGAACTGTAAGTGTATTTTTGTAAATATTTGTATTTTGATTAATTACCGATTGAATATGGTATGCTTTACAATTCCAAATAAAGAGAAGTGGTTGTTAAAGTCTCGTCCATAATTGTTTAAGCCTCGTCCTCGTCTTTCGCTTACCTCTTTGAAAGCCTAACGTTTTTATGTCGAAGTTCCAGAATTCGGGCCCTGGAGCGTACGTGATCGTTTTCCACCGTGTTATACAGGGTGGCGCACCTCATTCGCCTCGGTAGATGTTACGAAAATGGAAAGATGTAGTTACAAAATATTTTATGGATATATGTGGGAAGGCAATATGCATAATTTAAAATTGTTTTGCAATCTACATCAAGTTATATTTTTTCTAATGAAACATCCGGTATTTTATGTCATATTTGGATCCTTGCAATCAAATTTTTCAGTAAAGTTTATTTCTTTGGCTTAAAAGTCAGCACAAAAATTAATTGTTCTGAAAAGCAATGTACAGGGTGTTTAAAATATTTTTTTATTATAGCATGCATATTTAAATATCTTTAAATATCTCAAAAACCAAAGGTTGTAAACATATTTAACACTTATAACAGATGCCTTATTTTGCGTCCAAGGATCTAAATATGACATAAAATAGCGGATGTTCCATAACAAAAAATATAACTTTGGTGTGGATCTTAGTTCTGACATACCCTGTACATTTCAAAATAATTTTAAATTATGAACATTGCCTTCCCACATATGCCCATAAAATATTTTGTTTCTACATCTTTCCGTTTTCGTATAATCAACCGAGGTGAATGAGGTGCGCCACCCTGTATATGTAACAGTTGTCAGTGAATTATAATTCAGGTTTGCTTATATGCGAGGTTATATGTTTGAAAAAACCCTGTTTTACAGAGTTACCAGACTGTAATATTTAAGAGTTGTTCTATTAGGGCAAAGCAATTGAAGGAATCGCAGAAAGAAGTCTATAGATGTTCCACATGTAGTTTCCAAACGCCATATAAGTGCAGTCTTTATAACCACAAGAAAGTTCACTTGTTTGCTTGTGCGCACTGTGGCAACAACTGTAGGTCAAGTGCCAGCTTAGAAGTCCACCTTGCGATCAATCATATTGATTCCAGGTAAATTTATTTTTGTTTAAGAATTATAGGTACATAGATCATATTAGTGATGTGTAGGTATTTGCGTAACGCGATTTTGGAGCAGTATTTTTTTGTAAAGTCGCGTCGTGTCGCGCTCCTCAACGAATCACGAACCTATTACTGAAGAACGACGATCACAATAACGTCGAAATTATTAATTATTTATAATTTGCAAATAAATTATTTATAATCGCTCTTAGAGTTGTCTCGAACCGCAGTAACCGCATAGCGATGTGTTTCGCTCCAGCCGAACCGTCGCGCTCATAGGATCGCGATTTCGTCAGTCGCGAATAGTAGTAACCAGTAACTATATAGCGACACGCGACCTGTTTTGCTCCAGCCCTCGCGCTCCTAAAGTCGCGATTTCGTCTGCCGCGGACAGATGTAACTGGTAACAACCGCGACGCGACGCGGTTCGTTCCAGTTGTCGCGCGACTGGTGGAGCGCTCCTAGAGTCGAGTTTTCGTCTATCGCGCTTTGGTCGGTCATTATTGCTATCGTTACAGTCTTTACGTTACTTTCGAGATTGCGATTTTCGGTAGGACTACGTACTAGGCATTTTTGATTGATAATAAATATACCGCGCGCGTCTCAAATGTTGCTCACCCTTATAACTTTCTGGCTCACCCCTATAACATTTGTTTTCTGTCACTTCCTGTTTCGCCGGAAATGACTACAACTTTTGATTTTTAAATGTCGCCCCGGTATTTTTTTACTTTATTCGATAGAAAATTACATTCTGAATAGAATGACGTATCATATGTCAACTTTTGACATTTTTGTTTAAAACAAAATTGAATTTTAAATTTCAATCTAGAGTACCATGGCTGTGTTAAAAACACTAATTTTTAATCAAGGAGCCTTGGAAAAATAGATTTGATCGTCTAATGTTATTCGTGTCTTGTCCTGGCTGGTTGAAAGATGCCCAAATCATATTTTTAATCACATCTCAATTTTTTCAAATGGAACGAGGGTGGCCCATTAGCATATTTGGAAAAAGCATTTTTTTACGAATAATTTGATACCACACACTTGGTATTTCGAGTCAAATTATCGTTATGAACCGCATGGTATCATTTCAAATAAACCATATGCGAAAATGTCAAAGTTGACATATGATATGTCATTCTATTCAGAGTATCATTTTCTATCGAATAAAGCAACAAAAAACCGAGGGTACCATTTAAAAATCAAAAGTTGTAGTCATTTCCGGCGAAACAGGAAGTGACAGAAAACAATTGAATACGTCAATCAATCCTAATTTATGTCATATATTAACATACCAAATCTCAATTTTTTATCTGAAAAAATAAAAAAGTTACAGGGGGAGCCACTTTTGAGACGCACCCGGTATATTAAGTGCATTAGATAGTTGTAACTAAATATTTTTACAAAAATAAGAAAAATTACCAAGTGTGTGGTACCAAATTACTCGTAAAAAAATGCTTTTTCCAAATTTGCTAATGAGCCACCCTCGTTCCATTTGAAAAAAATGAGATGCGATTAAAAATACGATTTGGGTATATTTTAACCGGCCAGGGCAAGACACTAAAAACATTAGACGATCAACAATTTTTTCTTTACCCATGGTACCGATTTTAGGCAAATTTGAACATTTTTGCGCACCGCAAACTAAACATTTTCTAATAAATTTCAAAATATCTGATCTCATATTTGGCCAATAATACGTTTCTTGTACTCGATACAAAGTTTTACGGAAACCAAAATGTGCACTAGTTGGAGGTATATCGATACTTAAAAGCACAAATGTGCTATGTCCACATTACACAAAATTAAGATTTTTGCACCATTAGAATTCTTGCCAAAAGCAGAGTCTATGGCACAACAGTTCTAAGTCCTTTTTATAAATAGGACGTGTGTAAATATGGTAAAACTAAAAAGGCTATGTCCCTGCAATTCGGTTTATCTGGTGCGCATAAGTACTATGTCCGGCACTGTATGAACTCGCGAGCTCAAACGTGCTATGTCCAGGCATAAGCCTGTTGATTTTTGATTGACGAAGTGTTTAGAATGAATGAGACTTATTTATTAAATTAATTCATTTTTAACGATACTAATTGCTTGATTTTGACGATAATAAGTGATCACTAGTGACGCGTTAAAAATAGTGTTGTCTGTGGTTCCCAGCAAAAAAAATCGGTAAAGTTGCATTATTATTACTGTTAGAAGTGTGTTTATTTTTATGTTTTTTTTAGATATGAGTCGTAACCCAGAAGACTGGCTAAGGTGGTATAATGAGTTGGAAAATACGGAGAATGATTATTTGCCGACAGGAAATAATAATAATATTATCTATGACTGTGAAATTGGCGAGGATGGAACAGTAACCAGTATAGCGCTTGCTCAGTCCAATAATGAAGATGGTTATTGTAAGTAACTGCAATCTCCCTTTTGGAAGAATAACGATCTAATTATAACTGTTATTCTGATAGGTAACATAAATACACCATCTACTTCAGCAACAGCACCAAATATTGATATAGGGGAATTGGAAACCTTTGACGCTGACCTCGCTGGTAACAGCAAAGCCAAAGATTATTATCCTGCTCATGATAGTGACTCAAGCGAATCAGATCACACAGGCTCAGAACACCTAAAGAGTGCCGTAATTGTTCCTGCAATTTTATCACAAGCTGATCCTGGTCTTTCTGAAGATAAATCAGCAAGACATCAGCGAAACCGGAAAGGACCATCTGCTTCAGTAACAACACAAAATATTGATGCAAGGGACTTGGAAAACTTTGACGCTGACCTCGTTGATAACAGCAAAGACAAAGATTATTATCCTCCTACTGATAGCGACTCAAGCGAATCAGATTACACAGGCTTAGAACACCCAAGCAATGTCAATATAGCCCCCCCAATGTTATCACAAGCTGATCATGGTTCTTCTGAAAACCATCACACAGCCTCAGAACACCCAAACAGTGTCGTAATTAATCCCGCAATTTCATCACAAGCTGATCTTAGTGCTTCTGAAAACCAACCGGCAAGACGTCAGCGGAAACGGAGAGGATTTGCTGAACCAAACCTTTGGAAGAAAAATGATCGAAAATTAAAACAAGCAGCTGGGCAATCGTATGTTGATAGGAAGGGCATTGTGCGACCAAGAAAACAATTGAAAATCATACATTGTTGGTGCCGATTCTCCTGCAAAAACATTACTATTACACAGCAAGAAGCCTTACTCGAGGAATATTGGAGTTATGCTGATATTGCCAGACAAAAGGATCACATTTGTTCATTGGTTAAAGAAATGCCAGTAGTCAGAAAGAGAAAAAGGAAGGAAGATTCAGAGGTGGACAAGAAAGTCAGCAGAGCATATTTTTTACCAGATGGAAAAGGAGAAGTGGTTCGTGTTTGCCTCCCATTTTTTTGTACCACTTTTGCAATTTCTAAAAAAATCGTCAATGATGCATTATTTTTTAAAAGTGTAAATGGGTCCTATCTTGGAAAAGATAAAAGGAAAGGAAAACCAGCCCACAATGCAACGTCAAAAGCAAAAGTGCAGGCTGTACGTCGTTTTCTTGCCGATTTCCCTAAAGTACCTTCCCATTACTGTAGACAACGGAGTTCGCGCCTATACCTGGCTCCTGATCTTACTATAAGTAAATTATATCAACTGTACACTGAAAGAGAGGGTCCTGCATCAGTTAAAGAGCCTGTTTTTCGCAGAATTTTCAATGAGTTTGAGCCACCGCTTGCGATATTTCAACCAAAAAAAGACCAGTGCTCCATATGTAACGAAGCAGAACGTAAGAAAACAACTGAGACCGACCAGACCTATAAACAACATAGGCAGAGAAAGGAGAACATCGCATTAATGAAGACCAAAGATAAGAAAGATGCCGAGAATTCCGAAACAATGATTTACGCTACTTTTGATTTACAGGCTGTGCTAACACTGCCGTTTGCTGGCGATGCTCAAATTTATTTTTCTAGAAAACTTTCCCTTATGAACTTCACAATTTATGATTCGATGCAGAATGGCGTGTGTTTCCTATGGGACGAAACCGGAGGAAAAAAAGGAAGTTCAGAAATTGGTACGTGTCTATTGAAGTATATTCAAAACCTTCCTAGGGAAGTTAAGCACGTTGTGCTTTATGCGGATACATGCGGTGGCCAAAACCGCAATATAAATGTATTTGCTGCTTTGATTTATGCAGTAAATACCCTTGGTACTTTAAATATAATTGACTTAAAGTTCATGGAAAACGGCCATAGCTACCTCGAAGCCGACAGTATCCATGCAACTATTGAAAAAAACAGAAAACACAAGAAATTGTATTTGCCAAGAGATTACAAACTCTTAATTGAAATGAGTAGAAAAAAGCCATTTCCTTACGTGGTACACGAAAATCGATTTGATGATGTCTACAATCTTCAAGATTTGAGCTCTAAACTTATCAGCAACAGAAAAAAAACCACAATGGGAAAGGATGTCAAGTGGCTTCAAATTAAGTGGTTCAGATTTTTGCGAGACGCGAAAACAGTTGGCTTCAAATACGATGTTACAGCAAATGAATTTGAACACATCAGCTTCAATAGCACGGACATTCAATGGAATTCAGTTGGATTAACCAAAAAATATACAAACGAGCTTCCATTATCTTTGACCAAAAAACGAGACCTATTAAATCTCATCCGAAAGGGTATAATTCCTCAAGATTACTATTCTTTCTTTAATAATTTACCCTCAGCTCGAGGAGTCAGAGACCAAGCAGTATGGAATCTCGATAACCAAGAAGAAAACGCCGATGACACCTCTTTGGTCAGTAATAATGACTAAGGCATAGTTTCTTTCTTAACAGTGGTAACTTTTTGTATTTACATAAACTGTATATTTTTTTGCACTTAGGTGTATTTTGTATGATTTTTGTTTTATTCTTGATGATTATAGCATCAACAAAAATATGTTTTGTTCCAAATAAATTTAAAACGATTTTCTACTGTATTTTTATTTCAAAAATAGTATTACTAATTAAATTTGTAAATAACTAGTAAAGATGTGTGTCCACTTTAAGTATTAAATCATTTCTGCACATACGTTCTATGTCCAACAATTTTGTAAAAAAAAACATCTTTTTAGTTTACGTTATTCTATGTACTCCCAGCTTTTATAAAATTACGCCTAACATATTAGAGTACAACTAGTGATCCAAAAACAAATGAATATCGTCTTGGTGTTGTAGTTATGCAAGATACAAAATTTCTTTTGAGATTCACCACAAATTGGAAAAGTTGGACTTAGTACATTTGCGCTTTTAAGTATCGATATGTCATTATATGTATACATAGTGTCATTTTCTATCGAATAAAGTAAAAAAATACCGAGGATGCTATTTAAAAATCAAAAGTTGTAGTAATTTCCGGTGAAACAGGAAGTGGCCGAAAATAATTGAATACGCCAATGGAGAATGTTTGAAAAAATCCGTTTTATAGAGTTACAAGACTGTAATTTTTAAAAATTGTTCTGCTAGGGCAAATGAATTGAAGGAAACGCAGAATGAGGTCTATAGATGTGCCACATGTAGCTACCAAACGCCATATAAGTGCGGTCTTAACACCCACAAGAAAGTTCACTTGGCATCTGAAGAACGGCAATTGTTTGCTTGTCTCCACTGTGACAACAAATATAGGACAAAACAAAGCTTAGAGTACCACTTTGAATTTAATCATACTGATTCCAGGTAAATTTGTAATCGCAAAACATTTTCCGATGCACGCCATCAATCATATCGACATTGATAGTACGTTGATATTAGCATATTTAGAAAAAAAATTATAGTTTTGATATGTTGAGATTATATGTACTAAAAGGAGACTTTAAAATCAAAAGAGTTCCTAACTGTAAATTGTGAGCTTCACCCCCAACACGCACTGCGGTGGTTTTTCTCGTTTTTTAAAACCATTAGTCGCACAGAAAATTTTATTCTTGTCAAAAATATTCCTTATAAATTTGCTACAAAAAAGGTTCTTATACTTATTTTGTTTTTTTGAATAAATTTCGAGCAGCAAGCGATTGAAGTTAGAGGTAGTTTTCAGCGTAGATGATTTTTGACCTGACCTTATCAAATTATTTAATGTCAATGAATAAAACATTTTAAGATGTTAAGATAATGTTCAATTGTTGCAAAGGTAACAAAATTAGTATATTTTTTGAGTAATTTAAGTGATATTTTGTTGTAAAATTTGCCATCTTTAATTTTCAACAGATATAAAAATTTATTTGCGATTGCAATTTATTGGCGATTGCTGAAGCATTCGAGTCGTGACATTGTTTTTGATAGCAATACCTTATTGGTCGAACAGAAAAACAAATTCCTAAGCAATATTAAAAATAAAAAACGACTAATTTCGCAGCTTGCAATACACCTAAACAGCGAGAATAATAGCACATCATTTGCAATAGATGATGCTGATGTTCAAATTATTTGTACTGCCATCAAAATATCAGAAAAATGAACAAATTCTAGTCGATGGACAAGATGTCGATCTTGTTGTTTTATTAGCAGCACTTTCTCCCGATGAAAAATACATTCTTTTTCTGAAAGAAGCCATAGGTAATGTGAAACAACGAATGTATAGTTCGAGAGACTTGCAATCATCCAGTATTATACGTAATTTAAAAAATCAATTTTATTTATTCACGCTATTAGCGGGTGTGATACAACATCAGGATTTTTTGGAAAAGGAAAACAACAACACCGACAAATATTTAATAAAGGAAAAGACCTTGATAGTATCGTCGATATTTTTAACAACGCAAAGTCAACACCTGAAGAAATTGAAAACGCTGGAGAGACGTTTATACTGAAACTATACAAATTTCAGTCATCTGAAGGGAGCCTTAGTGAGCAAAGATACGCTTGTTTCAATCATAAAATAATAAACTAGAAAGAAGCGTCAACTCTGTGTTAAATCGTGGAAACACGATACGCCACCGAAAGCCTTCGTTGTCGTCTGGAGAACTAACTTTCCAATTGACAGGTTGACATGATAAGGACATGATGGCTTAATTTTCATTTCCGTTTCCGGTTATTCAATGGCGGGCCCTCTTTCAGTTCAAATGTATTTTGTATTTTTACTTTTCATAAATAAAACCAAAAAATAATTTATTCACATATATTTATTTGAAATATGGAACAACGTGACTAAATAAATATAAAAATATAGAGGATTGTATTGTTTCAATACCAATTAGTTAATTATATGCACTTTTAACGTAAATTAGTTAAGGTATAAGCATGACTTACAGTAATTTGTAAATAAACACACGCATTCGCAAACTTCAAGGACAGAAAACGGTCACAGGAACATGAAAACGGGAGCCTTATACAAAAACCTGAAAACAGAAAAACAATTTTTTATACTAAAATTAACAATGTAAAAATATCAATAGGTATAAAATATAAATATACTGTTTAAAAAAAGCGTCCATTATTCCCAAAGAACCTGGCTTATAAATCAAAAAGATGCAAAAAGAGACTTTTAGTCAGATAACATAATCAGATTATCAGTCCGATTTATTGCATTATTGACAATAAATCGCACATATTGGAGATAACTAATGTTAGCTATAGTTAAAAATGATCTTACCTTGCTGTAAATTGTTTCCATTTTCAAAAAAATCGCCGATCAAAGAGATTATAACACCATTTTCTTGCATCTAAAAAATGTAAAAACAGTGTTTATTTACTACTTATTTTTCATATACATGGGACTACCGACATACCTACTACTGCAGAAACGTCATTTTCTCCAGGATTCTTCATGTAATATATATTTTATATACTTTATTACCTTTATATTTATAAATTTCAGCCGAAATATTAAATTGAACTTCCAAAACGAAACTAAACGGATGAATTAAAATGGCGTCGAATATTTTCGAATTTGTTCTAGAACAAATCTGAAGTTGTCTCTGAAACTGAAATCTGTCAATTCTAAACTGTGAAGTTAGATAATAGTTAGACAAAAACAATGCTGTCCTTGTCTAGGCGGCCATACTTGTCGTGAGGAGAATGACAGGAATGACACTAATGACTGTTTCCAATTTTCCTATTTCACTGTCACCCCCCTGGTTTCAATAAGTTAGTTGGTCAAGCAAACAGCACGGTACTTTTATCAAAATTGCCTCCCACATCTGCTGCAGCTAGGCAACATTCCCGGAGAACATATCTTTAAGTACAAATATGGCAAGAACAACCTATAAAAACCGACCAGTGGGACTGGAAGAAAATCAACAACACCCTGTCACCTTTATATACAACAGAATCGCCCGATTGAGTAAAAAAAAAGATTGTGTAAAAAGATGCAGTTGCATTAAAGCCGGCATGAAATTTACAACTATGTGCGGAACCTGTCGTGGGCAAAGTTGTTCGAATACTGAGCACATTCTAGAAACGAAAAGTTTAGTGGAATAGGCAATGTTTTTGTTTACATTATACAGTATTATATCTGTTGCGTGTTGCGTGTATATTTAGCACGTTAAAATACCTTGGGAGACTATAATTTGAAAGGCGACCTGTATTTTTTGTACTCTGTACTCTGTACTTTTCAGTACATTTTTCAAACGGTTATTGCTCGAAATGCATTGGATAAATATAAATAATGAATAGAGCCTTTTTTGTAGCAAATTTTATAGGGAATATTTTCGGTAAGTATAAATTTTTTTTGTGGGAGCAACAGGTTCTGAGAAAAAAAGCGAAAAACCATCGAAGGGCGTATTAGGGGTGGTTTTTTGGGGTGAAGCTCACACTTTAAAGTTAAGAACTTTTTGATTTTGAAAAGTCTTCTTTTGGTGCGTCTAATCACAACATATCAAAACTTTATAGTTTTTTCTTCTATTCGGCTATTTTAAGTCTAATATAAATGACACAAGTCTATAAACCTGACTAAATGAAATTTTGGCGAAAATGTTTAAATTTGTTGTATAATTTAAGATACCGAGCAGCTCTTCATTTGACTTTTTAGACCAAATGATTGTAACAAATATTTTATTTAGATTAAAGCTGCAAAAATTAGTTTAAGCCGAATTTTATTATCGCTATGTTGGCCACATTGCGCCGTTTTCAGCGAGGTTGTCGTTTATTATTTGACAATTATCCTAATCTCAGTCATTATTTTGTATAATATCGTGTTGTTGCTGAATCTTTGTGAGTAATTATTTTTTTTGCCTATTTTCATAGTCTTTTTAAAAAAAATGTACTTTTAAGCACAAACAGTTCTTTTAAGAACTAAATTTTCGAGTTTTTGTATTGCATTTCTTGAAATTGTGTTGAAAATATGCCGAAGCATTTAAAGAGTCGAAGCAAAGAGCTTGTAGCTTCCCTGATAAACTATTTTCAACGAGAACGTGACAATAAAGATCCTTTATTACCCTTGACTGCAGCCAGAGAAGTAAGTTTGATTGATAAGCACATTACACCACTTTCAAAGTTATTTCTACGTTAGTTTTATTTAAATTCTGTGATTATTAGTTTGTGCATTAATAGCACCCTCTTACTTGTTATTAAAACTTATGGCGTTGGAAGATGTACATCAATAAACAAATCACCCATAATAAAGCTTAGAATAATCTTCATAATGGACTAGTTTTAGCCAATATGTAATAAATAAAATAAGTTATAAAACAAATAAATCTATTAATGAAAGCTCTTGACTAAAATATTGGTTAATAAATTAAAAATAAAACATATAAAACTCTTTAAAAATTGATATGATAAATATATTGTTTGTCAACTTTAAATTAAGATTCATCTCATAAATGTATGATAATCTGGCAGCGCTGGCGCCATTGCTTGTCACTCAAAGTTGATCATGTGTATCGGAAATTGTTTTGCGATTACCATATATACAGGGTGAGTCTTAAATAAGTGCAAATATTTTCCGGGGTGGTATATTTCGATCCCAGGAACACGTCTATGAGGTTTTTTTCGCTAAAAAAAGATGTTGAAAATCGTGCATTTTCTTTTAAATTTCCCTGTATATTTTTCGAAAACTTTTTAGAACTGCCTGTTAATCGCAAATTTTCCCACGGTATAATCCTTAATCTCAGATATTAACATAGTTACGGCTATACTCTATGGTTACGGCAATAAAAGGGATGCAAATACAGAAAAAATCCGGTGGCTCTCAAAATTTTTTCAAAAAAAAATATTTTTTTTTAAATTTTCAAACTTAAATAACTCGGTTCTTTTGGACGTATCTGAAAAATGGTAAAGAGAAAATATGTTTCTTTTATCGAGATTTTCCAGCCCTGAAAATATTTGCACTTATATAAGACTCACCCTGTATAAGTCAAATATTAGAAGAATCCGATTTTATTGAGTTACAAGACTGTGTAATATTTAAAAATTATTTGATTAGGGTGAAGAAATTAACCGTATCGCAGGACAAGGTCTATAGATGTTCTAAATGTAGCTTCCGAACGGCATATAAGGCAAGTCTTAACAAGCACAAGAAAATTCACTTGGCACCCGAAAAACGGAAGTTGTTTGCTTGTGCGCACTGCGACAAGAAATATAAGTCAAGACAGGGCTTAAATGATCACCTAGGATATAATCATATTAGTTCCAGGTAAATTTATTGTTGTTTATAAATATATTTATTCCTTTTATGGAGTGTAGAGATGGGAAATATCTCTTATGTGACTTTATTTGAAAAATTGATCACAAAAATGGGAAGAATCAGGGTTCACCAAACGACCACAGTGGCGCTAATGACGCAGAAATCTAAAAAATCAAAAGTAACCATAGATTAGAGAATAAAAGTAACATAACCAAACATTACCCAAAAAAGCTTTGTTTTTATTTTTTAGAATATAAAACAATTATTTTTATACAGGGTCGTCCGAACTGTATTCCGGAAACTTTAGCAGCATATTCTGCAGATAAAAATAATTAAAAAAGTGTAGAAGTTTCATTTTTATTTCTATTTTTTTCAAATAATTTCTGAAGTAACGTCAATATTTGGATGAAAATTGGTTTCTGGGAGTTTTTTGACATAAAAAATTTGATTTTGATGTCAATATGACTCCTACTTGTAGAGAACGTCACCTACATATTTTTTCACTGGTTTGAAGAGTAATAACTTTTCATCCGTACCTGTATAAAACTACTGAGTGAAAAAATATACATTTCCGTGATTCTTTACGTAAAAAATGGCTCTTAGTAAAAATCGCTACGAGCAACCGTTCTGAAGATATTTAGAATGGAAATAATCAATACATGTCATTATTGACAAAAACATGTTGAGTAGATAGTTATTTGACTGAAATGATAAATTTGGGAGCTTTTTATTTGTTTTAAATTAATCATATGATAAAACAATTTCTGTTGTACTTTTGGGACAAAAACATTTCAAATGTATGATTTCAGTTTAATAACTATTTAGTCAACATGTTTAATTTATGTCAATGATGACAGCTATTAGAATTAGCAATGCAATAATAATTATGGCATGTTAATAATTAAAGGGGGTTGCATTTAAAAAAAGTAAATTTTGACGTGCCACGACTTTATAACCGACCCTGTATACTAAAATTTATTACTCGCTAAAAGACATATTTAAAAACCCTATAACTTTTATATTAAACTTTTTGCGGTACTTCTTATATTTTACCTAATAATCGACCGTTCCCATACATATCAGCGACCCTGTATATCCATGCATTAGAGGCAGAATCGACAACATGGCCCCCCCATGTTTAACAGTTTTATTTACGAACGTTTCATTTGACCTATTTAAATTTGGGTTCACCAAAAAAATAAAAAGTCCACTTTGGGGGTCTGGCAATTTTATTAATAAATAATATCTGGCACATCCCAAGTGGAGGAAAATCAGTCTGGCTGAAAATTTGAAGATGCAAAAATTTTACAGATTTTTGAAATCCATAACCCTTATTTGCCCATGCTTGAAATTTAACGTATCATTTGCAGTGGCGGCTCGTGACTCGTGCGACTGGGTAGGCGACTTTTAGTTGCGTCTATTTGCCCCCCCCCCCCAAGATTCTTTTTAATAATACCCTCCCAGTTTGTAAATATATGTTATCTCTGGGTTAAAAACATAGCTCAAAAATATTTAGGACAAAACTAAAGAAAAAATAACAGCATTCAACGTAATGACATAATGTACTAAGTATAGTTTTTATTAATCTATTTTATCTATTACTATGGAGTCACTATGGAGTACATCATAGAATTTTATTTTTATTTATTTACGCAAACTTAAAAATTGGTAGTATTGAGAGAAATAATAATTATGTTTTATATATTAAATTGATGAGTCGGGCTCTCAATAAAGAGACGTTATTTATTATTATATCAGTAAAATCATCAGATTATTGAAGAGCTGTGAAAAGATCTTTTTAGATTGAAAGTAAGGCAAGTGGCGATAAACGTTTATTTTTCATGGAATCTCTACTATAAATTTTGAATGCATTTCAAACATGAAAAATCTCTCAACCCAAGTACTTGTAAATGGTGTAGTAACAAACAATTTGAAAGAAAGAAATATATTTCCAGGATTATTCTCCTTAAATTATTTTATGCTCGAAATTATCATATCTATTATTAATACCTACAATTTATTCATTAATTAATAATGAAATTAAAAGTTTTAAATGCTACGTATAATGAATCATATGAAATATCCACTTAACGAAATGTGATATATCTCCTTATGAAATATCCGGAATATCCCCTTAGTATCTAAACCTACCGAGCCTCCACGACTTCATGCGAAGGTGACCGGAGATTTCGCCTAAGCCCCGCCTTAATATGATACAACTCCGACTTACGTCGGCTCGCTACCGCACGATGAATTAGACAGAGATGGAAGACTGCCGTACGTCGTGCATCGACTCTGATAGTAGGCGATGTAGAAATGGCCGAACAAAGGCACTCCAACGGTCAAAATTATTTTGTTTTCTAACGCAGCGGCACAGTCAGCGGTCAGCGTACGCCAGCGGTAGTGAATATGTTTGAATATGTTAATATACAACACCACAAATATTAAAATAATATTGATTATTAAAACACACTTCCGTGTATTAACAGTATTTTTATGTATTGGCAACATTAATAGTAAATAATGTAATGCAATAAATCGCTTAAATTCTCCAAAATCTTAGGGTAGGCGCCGCCTACCCTGACGAGCCGCCACTGATCATTTGATACGATCATAAACTATAATCAAAAGCAAGTCTGGCTGATTTACGAAACTTGCAAATGCATCTGGCAGCCATCTTAAAATTTACAAAATTTTTGCTCTTATTTTCCCAGATTTGATTTTTATTTACGACTTATTAATAATTAAGATACGTCAGTGTGGCTTACGTGTTTCAGTAGCGTATCTGGTAATTGTGTTAGTAAATAACTATTATATTTATCTATTTTTATTACATATATATTTTCAACAATTTTAATAACCAATAACATTTATTGACAACATAAAACAAAACCAACATATTAGTTTGCTCTACACTTTGAATAAGAAGACTAAGGAAGGAGCATAATGCTATCCATGTATTCACGCATGGTGGGCGGAAAAAGCACTCTAGGGAGGGGATCCTTGACAGTTCTGTTTGACGATTCATTTGACACATTTGAATTTGATTTGAAATTTTGTGGATTTGTCAGTCTTTACGGAGCTTATTTTATGTTATTTATTATTTATTCTACTACTGATACTTGTATAAAGGTAGTAAATCTAGATGGAAATTGTGGCAGAACTTAAATTAACAGTGACACTATCGCGATTTATCGAAAAAGACTCTAAAATAGTTGCTTGTGTAGCGTGCGGTAGATCTCGGCAAAAATTGAGTGAAATAATGGAACAACTTTTCGCTAAAAAGTGACTATATAATATACATACGTGTAGTACACCGATCATTTATGAAATTCACTTAAATTAACTAAATTATATATCTTTCTTGCATTTTAGCTTTTATTTATTACATGTCAAAGATTAGATGTCAAAGAATTTAGATACGTTAATTTGACTTACCTGCTTCAGTAGCGTATCGGATGTTTGTGTTAATAAATACTTATTATAACTTATCTATTTTTATTAGAATTATATATTTTTATAACAATTTTAATAACTACCAACATTTATTCACACCGTTAAATAAAACAACAAATTATTGAGTCTACCCCACGTCTACCCTACATCATAGTTTTACATTTTTTAAATAAAATTAGAACGACACTGATAAACCGGAATTTAAGTCGGCCATATTTGAGGCCTATCGCGGTGTACCTAAGATTTTTGATATGCTCCTTCCTTAGTCTTCTTATTCAAAGGCTCTACATTATCTTTTTTACAGGTTTTAAGTAAATTGGCACTGATAAACCGGAATTTAAGTCAGCCATATTGATTTTCCATCGCACCTTACTTTAAGTTTTTTAATAATAATATGCTATTTCCGTATTTTTTATGCAAGGGTTCGGACATATATTTCTTCATTTTATTTTTTTATATTATTTATTGTTCCAGAAATGCTGATTGTATATCTGCAACTGATCAAGTGATATTAGATTCTTTAAAAATAGAAATTGATGATCACGCTCCGCTCTTGGCAGTATCATTTAAGTATGTTTTTCTTTAAAATGAATTTTTGTTAATATACGGGGTGGTCCGAACTGTATTCCGGAAACTTCGGCAGCATATTTTGCATATAAAAATATGTAAGAAACTTTGTATAAATATAAATGTCCTAAAATGAATAGTTTCCGAGATACATGGTGTAGAAGTTTCAATTTTATTTCGATTTTTCCCAAATAATTTCAGAAGTAACGTCAATATTTGGATGAAAATTGGTGTCTGGGAGTTTTTTGACATGGGAAATTTGATTTTGATGTCAATATGACTCCCATTTGCACGGGACGCCACCTACATGTGTTTTAACTGTTTTGAAGAATAGTAACTTTTCATCCGTACCTGTATAAAACTGCTGAGTGAAAAAGTGAAAAGAATACATTTCCATGAGTTTTTGCGTAAAAAAAAATTTTGGTAAAAATCGCTACGAGCAATCGTTCTCAAGATATTTAGAATGGAAATAGTCAATACATGTCATTATTGACAAAAAATAAACATGTTGAGTAGTTAGTTATTTGACTGAAATGAGAAAAGAATGAGAAAAAAAAAGAAACTTTATTTTTCTAAATTAATCATAAATTTTTCTCCGAAAAAATGATGATAAAAGAGCTTCTGTTGAACTTATGGCACAAAAACATTTCAAATTTATGATTTCAGTCTAATAGCTATTTAGTCAACATGTTTAATTTATGTCATTGATAACAGGTATTGATAATTTCGATTCCAAATATCTTGAAAACCATTACTCGTTGCGATTTTTACCAAGAGACTTTTCTCACCTAAAAAATGTCGCAAATGTATATTTTCTCAGTAGTTTTATACAGGTACGAACGAAGAGTTGTTATCCTTCAAACCAGTTAAAAAATAGGTAGGTGGCGCCCTTTACAAGTAGGATTTATATTGACATCAAAATCAAATTTCTCATCTCCGAAACTAAGCATTTTAGGACATAAGTTTATACGAACTTTTTTACTTATATATGAATACAGTTCGGACCACCCTGCAATAATAATAATTCAATCTATTAATTCCAGAAATGCTGAATGTCTGTCTGGCACTAATGAAGTAAAATCAGAAGGTATTTTAAAAACAGAACCGGATGATGTCGCTTTGATTCTGAGTAAAGAGATGCACAATGACTTTAAGTATGTTTTTTTAAATGTATTTTTACTAATGGATAAATATTGTCTTTCAAATGCTGTCATATTATTTCCAGAGGTGCTGATTGTATACCTCTAACTCCACAAATGGAATTAGATTCTTCAAAAATTGAAATTGTTGATCACATTCTGCTTTTGGATGACTTCAAGTATGTTTTTAGTGTATTTTTACTAATATAATGATAATAATATAATTATTAATTCCAGAAACGCTCAATGTCTATCTGGGACTAGTGAAGTAAAATCAGAAGAATTCATAAAAATAGAACTTGATGATGTCGCTTCAACTATGAATAAAGATATGCACAATGACTTTAAGTATGTTTTTATTTAAATGTGTTTTTACTAATCGATATATTTTATATTGTCTTTCAAATACTTTCTTAATATTTCCAGAAATGCTGAATATCTGTTTGGGACTAAGGAAGTAAAATCAGAAGATTTTTTAAAAATAGAATCTGATGATGAAGACATGCACTATGACTATAAGTATGTTTTTTTTATTGTATATGCAGGGTGTCAAAAAATAGTTCATATAACTTTGATGGGTGATTCTACAGATATAAATAAAACAAAAAGTTCCTATGAATATATGCCCTAAAATGCTTCTCGAAAAAGTTACAGCTCTCGAAAGCTTAAATAAAAATAATATAATTTTGTTTATTTTTAATAACATTGGTAAACTGTTTTTCCTGAAATTTGGTACTCTTTTAGAAATTTTAATGCCAAAGCGAATGGCGATTGTGAAAAATTTCGCAACAGCCCTGAAAGGGTACTTTCCATTAGGGTAAAGACATATACATATCAAATATATACAGATTATCGCCTATCCTTGCAATGTGTTGGAGTTGAAGCCGAGTTAGAGACAACTAGATAACAGGTCCATGTATATTTCGCATAAGTTCGTCTGCTAGGCAGACACTGGCGCAACAGCGCAACTCCAAAATTCCGAATATCGATTAACCCTTACTCTGAGGATTAGCCAATTGTCGAACGGGGGCGCAAACGAAAGCCGTACGAAGTTGGGCGGAGCCGTACGAATGAACAGCCGGTGCTAGCGTCTAGTCTCGTATTAGTCTAGTTATCCGATCGATAATTCAAAATCCAGGCTTGCGCACTAAGCTTGAGCAGAGCTAACTGAGCGACTTATGGAAATTCCATATATATATTAACTAAAGAATATCGACTCCAAACTGCATTCTATGAAGCCAAGCCGGTGAAATGGTTATATAAATCTTCTGAAGGAATTTGCAAGGAAGTCGCTCAGTTAGCTGTGCTCAAGCGTAGTGCGCAAGCCTGGATTTTGAATTATCGATCAAAAACGGATAACCAGACCACTTAGATGCTAGACTCTAGCACCAGCTGTTCATTCGTACGGCTCCGTCCAACTTCGTACAGCTTTCGTTTGCGTTCCCGTTCGACAATTGGCTAATCCTCAGAGTAAGGGCTAATCGATATTCGGAATTTAGGAGTTGCGCTGTTGCGCCAGTATTTACCTAACAAACGAACTTATGTGAAATATACATGGACCGGTTATCTAGTTGTCTCTAACTCGGCTTCAACTCCAACACATTGCAGGGATAGGCGATAATCTGTATATATTTGATATGTATATGGGAAATTCCTTCACAAGATTTATAAACCCGTTTCACCGGCTTGGCTTCACAGAATGCAGTTTGGAGTCAATTTCACAAATTATATAAAAAGCTAGAATTTTTTTACGTAAAAAAGGTGCTCTTCATTTAGTTCGTAAAGGTGAACAGTTTTCAAGATATTTGCGTTTAAAGATAACGATGCATCGATTTTAGTATTGGTGAAATGATAAAATGTAAAGAAATTTTAAATAAATTAAACTCCTAATTTCGCTAATGCTAAAACGGATGCATCGGAACCTTTAAACGCAAATATCTTGAAAACCGTTAACCGTTTCGAACTATACGAAGAGCACCTTTTTGACATAAAAAAGTCCTAGCTTTAATTTTCATTTATTGAAATTACTGTATCTATAAGGATAAAAGAAGTACCACCTCTCTACCCTAATGGGTACCCTTTCCAATTTTTTGTTATAGTTATGTCTTATATTTTTTATATTTTATTTTTTAAATTGTATGTAAGAGTAAATAATTTCAAGAAAATCGGTTTACCAGTGTTCCTTATAAATAAACAAAATATATTATTTTTATTTAACATTTCGAGGGCCGTAACTTCTTCGGGAAGCATTTTAGAGCATATGTTCATAGGAACTTTGTGTTTTATTTTTATCTGTAGAACCACCCACCAAAGTTAGATAGACTATTTTTTGATACCCCGTATAAATGTATTTTTACTAATGGATACATAGTGCTTTAAATATTTTTTATTGTTTCTAGAAATACCGAAAATTTTTCAGTAACCAAGGAAGTGAAATTAGAAGATTTGATAAAAATGGAACATGACTATGTTTCTTGATGACCATAAGCCTTTTTAGTTGAAGAAGTAATAAAAATATAATCTAATGATGTCACTCCAACTATGAATAAAGACATGCACAATGACTTTAAGTATGTTTTTATTTAAATGTATTTTTACTAATAAGTACGTACTATTGTTTTTTAAATACTTTCTTATTATTTCCAGAAATGCTGAATGTCTGTTTGGGACTAATGAAGTAAAATCAGAAGATTTTTTAAAAAAATAACCTGATGATGAAGACATGCACGATGACTATAAATATAAATATGTTATTTACTCTATATATAAATGTATTTTTACTAATGAATACATAATGCTTTAAATATTGTTTTCAGAAATACCGAAAATTTATCGGTAACCAAGAAAGTGAATTTAGAATGAATGAGAGGAGGGTTAATCACCGCGACCTTAAAGATCAGTTGTCCCTCTTTCTTAAGTTATAATAATAAAAAAAGTCCTTATATCCAAATCAATAAAACAATTAAATTCTGTATAATAATAGAGGTTGACAACAGATGTTCCTCCGAGGAGTGGACATAGTAACTCCATGTCCTTCACAGTCGAGGAACGTGTCTCCGGTTGAGGTACCCATGCGGTGGAGGCTGGAGGATCGCCATTTTCGCCACCTCTTTAACTTGGTCTCTTCTTAGACCTGATACCGGTGTTGTCCCGAATCTATAATAGAGTATTTATCTCTCGTTCTCTATTGCCTCCTTAGATTTGAGGTTAATTCCTATTGCGAAGACCTGATCATAGCCTTCCTCCCTCGAGTTGATGACTTGCCAACTCGAGGTCCTTACACTGGAATTCTGAGCCTGGATAATGCTCAGCAGGTAGGTGATGGGTTTCCATTTGCTCCTCGGCAGAAATACCGTTATGGTACTCTTTAGGGATGTTTTCTCCCTTCACTACAACCAGTCCTTCCAATCCTGAAGCTTAGGTGCCGTTTCCACCAACCAATCCGCCGATTCTTGAAATTGTACAATCTATGAGAAACATACCCACCCGAAAGTATATCCCCGCAAATCGCAGCTCACATTTCGTCGATCGTTGTGTTGCAATCCGCTCGCTACTATATACTTCGTCCAATATTATCACCTCTTCTAGAGCCGTTTGCTGGGTGGCGGTCAGTGCAGCCTCTGGGTAATCCTTTGGCAGCACCGCCATTTTCATTTGTCGAGCAATAGCGGCAAAGCTGGTACGTCCCTGCTTGTATCTCAGTGTTGAACGGCTTTCCATCCTTGCTTTTTTCTCTCCTTGTTGGGGCTTAGGTGAGAAGTTCTCGCTCCCTCTCTTGCCCTTTGTGCTTGTGTTTTGAATATATGAGATAAACGCACCACAAATTGCAAATAAAATGTTGTCAAACCCATAGATAAATGAACTGTCATTTCTGTAAAAATCTGTAATAGGAGCCTGTAAAAATCAATAATCTGCTGACAAGCTCTTAATGCGCAGATCATCCCTATGATTCTGGCTTTCAGGCTGGTATCGAAATTACCGTCCTGGAATCGATTCACTAACAATTACAACTCTTCTTGTAACGGAAAAGTTATCATTCACAAAACGATTCTCTCGTGGTTAGAACGCATTTTCTCCACTGCGCATAAGCGTTACCGCACCGAGTGCGGTTCTCTGCTGTGTTGGAATGTAACTATTATCTTAAAAATTAAAAAAATACCCTTATTTGTGTAATTATCATTTGTAAACTTTTACACGAATTTTACACGACAACACGAATTTTGTATTTTTTGTAGGCGATAAATTATTAAACTATCCAAACATGGAAAATATAATGTATTACAGTATATTTTTGATAGTACGAGACTTTCACACAGTTTTTTCTTCATATTAAAAGATAATAGACTCTTTGCACAATATAACAGCTTCAAACTTAAATAACATTGTTTAGTTAAGTGGGTGACATGCTCAGTAAATTTTAAGTTTCCATCAATATAAAGTCCTAAACTTTGAACACAGGTCATAATTTCGATTCTTTCTTTCTTTACATAAAACTCCATTTTAGACCTTAAAAAATGTTTAATCCTCCTAGAACCAAATAGTATCACTTTAGACTTATCCGGATTAAGACGCAAACAGTGACTTGATGCAAACTTTTCTATACTTTTAAGATCACTATTAATGATTTTCGTGGCACATATGTATTCAGTTTGTGGAAAGTGATAGTAAAGTTGGGTGTCATCTGCAAAGAATGTAGCTTTGCAGTCAGTAATAACGGAACTTAAATCGAAATTATAGATTAAAAACAGTAATGGTCCCAAAACGGATCCTTGTGGAACACCTGACAACAAGTCGTCAGTGAATGTGAGTAATACTCACATTCACTGACGACTTGTTATTTATTATAACTTTTTGTGTGCGATTAGTTAAATAGTTCCTAATAAATAAATAAATATATAAATAAAATTGGAATTGATTTATTGGTCGAAGCTGCAACAATTTTTTTTTGTAAGTCTATGTACCCATCAGTTGTCCAAACATTTTTTGATTTGCCTAGCAACAAACATGGCCAACAAAATAAGCGCTGTTTAAAATAACTACCGCAAAGCTAGGAATGAACCAAATACCACGAACTCTGAAATGAACGCGCATATTTTCGGCCCCCCTTTTTATCATTTGTTATAACACTTATCTGGGGAGTAGGTCTGTTTCCCTGTAAGACCTCTCGCTTTTCATCTTCCTGTCTGCTGGAAAACGGGGTTTCTAGAAGGGACATCACAATGTCATGTACAGGATTCATTTTAAAGTCTGATTATTACAAAATAAATCACTAAACTCTGAATTACGGGTAGATCACACTACTTGCTACTCACAAAAGCATAAAACAAACCGACCGAACAGACGTGACGTTTAGTAATTCCCCGAAATATCTACAGTTAAATATTTTGACCAGTATTGCGTGGATGCCAAGAGTTCATATTATTCACATTTATTCTATACTCTCTTCAATATACGATATTATTTCCATAATTATTGATGGGGTATTTTTTTTATAATTTTAATTCCAAAGAGCATTATAATATTGCATTATCCAGCCATATCAAGCACGAACTATTTTTGAACTTAACAATCAAGTTTGTAAAGAATGGATTTTTTTCATGAATCTGGCAACAGCGTTGCATTTAAGCGATTTGGCTGTCGCCTCTGCAGCAGCTAATTTCACGCTTTCCCTCCGCTTCCCAGACCCACTGATTTCAATGTGTGACGTTTTAGTTCATTGATAAAAAGAGGTCGGCAGAGGCGGCAAAAATTACGCCTCAGGAACGCAGAACGAAAAGATGCATTGTAGTCCAGTTAAAACAGAAACGATATGGCGCGATCGGTTGGTTTAGACCGGTCGAAAAGTAAAAAGCTTGGTATATTTTAATAAAATTATTCAATATTAATATTGCTATAATATAAATATAAGATTAGCTGGAAATAAATTTGTGTACTACTAAAGGCTAGAATTTCGAGATGAGGCTGCCTCAGCTGCCTCACCTGACGGGCCGCCACTGTTGGCAACGTTATATTTCGTAAACAGTGAAACGTAAAAAAAGTTACATATCAATTTGGTAAGTTTTTTATGCTCTTTAATTTTAAAAACTTGTGACAGTAAAAAAATGAAACGTAAAAAAAGTTACATATCAATTTGGTAGGTTTTTTCTCTTTAATTTTAAAAAGTTTGCGACGGTAGAAAAAATGGTTTCACCCGGAAAAAATACAAAAACCTGCGTTTGAGTGACTTTGGCGACCTCTTTACATGTTTTAAAAAGTAAAAAAGTTATAGGGGTGAGCAAAAAGTACTAATTTTTGAAAGTTCAAGTTGCAATTTTTCTTTTTGAGAATTTAGGATATAGGTATTTTTGTCATCTAGCTAAATATTATATTTTTAATTTGCCACTATGACAGATGTCACATAATACGTTACAATTTTTTATAGTTGTGTGCTTTTTTTGATAATTCAATAAGTTATGAAAATTTTTGGTAGTAACTGTTTAATTACAGTTACGAAAATATCTAAGGAAGGAAATAAGTCTACTAAGTGTATAAATTTAAAAAAGTGTTTATTTTATTTTTATACATAATATATGTACACTATACTTCTACATTTTTATTAGAAACGCTTTGTCAACAAAATGCAATATGGCATTATGCTACATTGAGTGATTGTCAGGTTTCTACAAAATAAAATAGTATTTATTCAATACAGCTAAAAAATCCTCACTGTACGTATTGTCGCGAATGTTATAAACAATCGGCTGTATTTTTTAAACAACTATAAAAATATACAACAAAATAATAAACCACGTCCTACTTTCCCTCGTCGGAGCCGAGTTTGGGCATTCATATATGTGTATAAATCGATAACAAATCGCCTAGTAATTAAGCTTTAAAAATATTAAATAAATAAAAAATAGTAAAAAGAACATCGCTTACGAATGCTTCACATAAATATGTACACAAGAAATAAAGCTAAATAAAACAACTAAATCTCTGTTATCCAGAATCGGAAAATAAAAGCGAAATATTCTGGTAAATTAACAAATATTGCACTTCACTCCTTCGTTCGCGCTAGAAGAAATCAGTATAGGAAAATATTCATCATGAATTTCAGTGGAAACAAATCTTAAAAGCGGAATCTTCTTATTCTGAAAATACGGCTAAACATCATCAACATGGTATTTTATGGAATGTTCATGCTCAGGTTTTCTTTAGTTCATCCATTTTCGACAGTTGGGTGCTCCACACATACACGATATTTTATGTTGGTCGTCTTCGATATCAAACTTATAATCGTAAGCCAACTGAAAAAAAAGAAGGTTTAATATCTTCATTATAAAATAACTGCTAGCCAAGAGAACTTTTTTACATAAAAAATGACTGAAATGTATATTTTACTCAGTAGTTTTATACAGGTACGGACAATAATTTATTACTCTTCAAACCAGTTAAAAAATATATACGGTAATCGCAAAACATGTTCCGCGATGCACGTTATAAATCATATCGAAATTGACACTAAAGCCTATAAACCTGACTAAATGAAATTTTGGCAAAAAAGTTTAAATTTGTTGTATAATTTAAGATACCGAGCAGCTCTTTATTTTACTTCATAGAGTAAATAATGATTGTAACAGATATTTTATTTAGATAAAAGCTGCAAAAATTAGTTTAAAGCGATTTTTATTATCGCCATATTGGTCACATTTCGCCGCTGTCAGTAACGTTGTCGTTTATTATTTGACAATTTTATCATAATGCCAGTCATTATTTTGTATAATATCGCGTTGTTGAATTTTTGGGAGTAATTCTCAAATTACGCGCGCTGTCGCCATCGCTTGTCACACAAGTTGATCGCGTGTGCATCGGAAATTGTTTTGGTTTGGTTTGGGTTGGAATAACGGAAACGTCAGATTTTTTATCGTATAAGGTTGATCGTATACAGAGTGGTTTACTGACGAAGCAGCGCACAACAGAACGCAATAGAGAGGAGTTGTAAACTCAGTTAACAACGACTTAGATTTTTGAATGTCCGGAGTGTGAACCAGAGGGATAACACACATACGAGTACATCACGTATCGAGCTTTTCAGTCACAGAAAAGCTCATGAAAGAAAACGCCCTGCGTAACCATCTTCTGATACTGACGAGTTTTAAAGAAAGGGTTAAAAAAATAAACATTGCTACCCTTTCTTCTTAATCTCAAATATCCATCTCTTAGATATTATACCGGGTTCGTCTCAAAAGTGGCTCACCCTTACAACTTTTTTTATTTTTTCAGTTAAAAAAACGAGATTTGGTATGTTAGTATATGACAAAAATTAGGATTGATTGACGTATTCAATTGTTTTCGGTCACTTCCTGTTTCACCGGAAATGACTACAACTTTTGATTTTTAAATGGCACCCTCGGAATTTTTTTACTTTATTCGATAGAAAATAACACTCTGAATAGAATGACATATCATATGTCAACTTTTGACATTTTCGCATATGGTTTATTTGAAATTATAATTTGCGGTTCGTAACGAAAACTTGATTCGAAATACAACAACAACAAACAAACAACAACAAATTATTCGTAAAAAATGCCTTTTCAAAATATGCTAATGAGCCACCTTTGTTCCATTTGAAAAAAATGAGATATGATTAAAAATACGATTTGAGCATTTTCTAACTGGCCAGGATAAAATACTAAAAACATTAGATGATCAAATCTATTTTTCTAAGGCTCCTTGATTAAGAATTAAGTGTTTTTAACATAGCCATGGCACTCTAGATTGAATTTTAAAATACATTTTTTATAGAGCGAGAATGTCAAAAGTTGACATATGATATCATTCTATTTAGAATGTCATTTTCTATTGAATAAAGTAAAAAAATTCCGAGGGTGCCATTTAAAAATCAAAAGTTGTAGTAATTTCCGGTGAAACAGGAAGTGACCAAAAACAATTGAATACGTCAATCAATCCTAATTTATGTCAAATACTAACATACCAAATCTCGTTTTTTATCCGAAAAAATAAAAAGTTATTGGGGGTGAGCCACTTTTGAGACACACACGGTATACATACAGGGTGTCCAAGAAATAACTGTAAATATTTTAACTGGTAGTAAACTTTCGACTCCAGAAACACGCCCATAGGGTTTTTTTGTGATAAAAATGTTGAAAATTTTATATTTTTCTTGACATTCCCCGGAAAATATTCAAAAACTTTTGAGTGCCGCTTGTTCAGTTTCGGGAAATTTGTTTACAGTGCTTCGGGAGAATGCAATATTGCCAAACCTAACCTAACCTCCTACGTTATCCACATTCTGTAAGTTATAAGTTGACATTTTTAAATTTCGACAAAAAAACAATACTTAAATTAATTTTATTCATTGCAGATTTTTTAATCATTGTAGATTTTTTAATCATTGTAGATTACTATTAGGTATAGTGCAACGTCTAATATTTTAAATACCTTTTTTTCAGTTTAGTAAACTGAAATAATAATTAAAAAAATATCAGCTTTTTTGGCCATATTACAAAATATTTTCAATCGTTTCCCTCAACAGGTATAACGTAAAAATATTTTGATAGATTTTTTTCTTTCTTTACACAAACTTTACACAACTTTGAACCATATTAACTTATGATATAAATATTCCGAGATCGGCTTTCCACCAAGACGCATAGTCTCCCACCGATGCTGATGGGCCAATTTTGAATGAATTAAATATTCTTCACCTTTCTTTGGCGAATTATTCGAATCAGCGTCCTCTATTAGATAAATAAATAGTCAACGTTTGACCTACATTTAAACAGATCAGCTGATGAATTAGAGGTTATCAAATACGTTTAAATAAAATATACGACGACCTCCCCATAAGAGCAATGACAGGATTTACGTCTCAGTATTGAAGGAGAGAAAATCGAATCTGAATGGTTTCAGGACATAAGTTCATCCTTGTTTAGTCAAACCTCCTACAACACGAGGATAGACTTATGTAGGAAATGCATTGAAATTCTATAGCCATCCTTCAATATCGGGACAGGAATTTAAGCGGTACCCTCGGTATATTTTATTTAAACCTATTTGGAGGTTATCCAATTCATTTGAGATTTTACTCAAAACAGTAAACCTCTGACAAAAAAAGCAAATGTAAAGTAAGCTTGTAAAAATCCTGTTATTATTGAAATAGAAATATCAATTATTTTGGTGTTTATTCGCAAAAACAAGAGTGTGAGGTGTCAAGAAATATCGTAAATAATAATATTTTGTAGTACTGTCAAGAATCTAAGTGAAATGAAGTGTTGTTAAGTGTAGAGTTGCAGTTTTAGGCTGCAGTGCTCAAACACAACGTTGCTCTAACATATTATATTACATCGATCTGCTAACTATTGGGAGTTCGGTTTTCCAATGTTAGGTAAGTCTTTTACTTTTAATCTGAATTTTCCAATTCGTTTTTAAATATTTTTCTAGTCGATATGTCAACACTGGGCGTCGAACAAGCTGAGATCCAGGTAATTACAAGGTAATTTGCGACTGATTTATCGATTGCTGGCGGTGGCTCTCAAAATGCTGCCATTATTTTTTTCAAATTTCAAATTTAAATAACTCGGTTATTATCAATTTATTTTAAAAATGGTAAAGAAAAAATATGTTTCTTTTAACCAGATTTACCACCCCTTAAAATAGTTGCACTTATTTCTGGGACATCTTTTATAAACAATAAAATGTTTTTGCGACATTCCCATAAATGATCATAGAAGTTAACTAATAGCAGAGAGAAACTTACTTCTTCGCCTCTCTGAATTCTTCTCTTGGCGAAAATAATAATCTTCAGATCTCTGTCGATTTCGACAGTTTCTGCGACGCAATTTGGGTTACATGAGTGGTTGATGTATCTAGCCAAGCCTCCGGAAAGTGTAGCATCAACTACTCGGTCATCGTCCAGTCTAAACATGTAGATACCTCGGTTCTGTAGGTAAAAAAGCATTGTATTATTGTTAAAAAATAAACCACTCTTTTTCTGAAAATCAACATGGCGCTTAAAAAATTTACTATAACCTACCCTAGCTTCATATTGTTTTTCTCTGCATTCAGATAATTCGGTCCTGATCACCTCGCCAATGTATTCTATGACCATAGTATGTTTCTCTAAATCTCTTGCCGCATACAAACCCAGTCCCTGTATTTTCGATCTAAAAAAAAACATTTAAGTTGATTATACAACTCTATGTATATTTTTCCTATATAGAAGGATGTGATTAATAATTGATAATCATTTAAGTGATTATCGCTTGGTGACCATATCGTAATTGTCATTTTTTGAAATATTAATTAAGAAGTCAGTTCCACAAAATATCCCGTCAATTCTTATTACAAAATGGCAAAATAAGAAGGATATAATATATCCAGATTAATAAATAAAGATTATACAACGAAATAAAGTACATATTATGTACTTTATTTCGGTGTATAATCTTTTGTATACAACTCGATGTTTCGGAATTACCTAATACTTTTGCCTGACACTCAATGCGATACCGAAGTAGAAGTGTTGCCGGGTAACGCATTTCGTGTCAGGTAAAAGTATTATTCGGTAATCCCGAAACATCTTGTGGTATTATATTCGATAATACATACAAAAATAATCGTCTCTTCGATATTATTTTCAGAATTGATTGTTTTATTTCATATAAAATACCTACTTATTTTAAAACAGGACGTCAAAAACACGCAAAATAATTAATTAATATCCAATAGGCAGAAAAAAATAAGTCTTTAATGAAACGAAGCAATGTATAAACTGTTTTACTTAAATAAAATATAAAATAAAATAAAAAACAAGGTTTATTACTATTATAGGCTTGGTGCATTTCAGTTGATTTTAAAAATTCCGACCGCAGCGCTCCATCGGAGAAATCAGAAGTTTTCACAGTGTATTTCGCGCGGTTCCGATGTTGATAGTTTGATAGCATTGAAATAACATTCAAATCGTGGCTTTGTGATAATATTTAAGTATTTTAGTTTTTAATAGTGCAGTTATTGAAACTATAAAACACTCAGGTACGAATTTTGTGTGATGTAACGCTGTTTCGGGTAGTAAAAATTAAATGAATAAGAATCCGTACAAGGCGTCGGCGTCGCTTTGTGTTGTGTCAATTTCAATAAAAATTGTCGAAAAAATGTTAGCACGTAAAGGAGAGCGTAATTACGTGGTTGTTGGGCGCAATAACATTCAATAACTCAACTTTCCCGGATATTTAACTCTCCCGAAACAACATTTTATAGCTTCACAACTTCTCACACCGATTTGATCAAAAGCAAAAATGGATTCAAGGAGCACGACGAGATAAGTGAGTAAACAGAGTGCCCATTACATATACAAAAAATTAAATAGGCATATACTATGAGAGAATAAATTATAATTTTTCGGCCTTCCGTGCCGAGGAGCACATTCTCACAGTCGAGGAGCTTGCCTCCGGCTAAGGTACCCATGAGGTGTAGGCTGGAGAATCTGTCTCCGTTTTCTCCACCTCTTTAACTTGGTCTCTCTTTAGATCTGATACCAGTGTTGTCCCGTATTTATAATAGAGGATATGTCCCTCTTTCTCTATTGCCTCCTTGTACAACTTAACAAGTACAGTTAGAGACGTGAGAAATATAAAATAACACGCGACCGGTGCTATCCCCAAGTCTCTTCCTATAATTGTACAACTGTATCTGAGGATAGCCAGTTATGTCTCCGCTAGCAAAATCGGTGCGTAAAACTATGCTGTGCGTAACTAACCGTTGAACTCATCTAAAAAGTTTTATTACTTTAAATAATAAATTAAAATACAAGTTAGACTTTCTAAACATATCAAAATATTTACTTTTTATTTTTATTTTTAGAATTTTCACAAATTATACTTAATACTTTTAGAATTATGTAATAAATTTAAACCGCAATTTAAACCGGTGTATTTTTATATGCCGGTTGTTTACGATTTTCTCCGATGTCCGTCAATAAAATTATAATCATAGATAAAAGAAAATATTATAATCCGAAACCAAATGACAATGACACTTACTAAAAACAATATGCAGTAATTAAGGAAATGCCGTAATGACGTCACCCTTCTGTTTTATCTGGTTTTCAAGTGAAAGAGAGAGTTCAATATAAACAATAGTTAAGAAAAGAAAATATTAAGTTACCTTGCAAGATACACGTTATTCCTCCACTCTTGTTTCATCTTCTTATATTGGGAGCTCTTCGAATGCACAAATTGCTTGCTGTAAGGACACGCCATTTCGCCCAGGCTCGTTGGGGTGGAAGGGCCTATCGAACTGGGACCGAACACTGGTCTGGACGTGCCGGTCGTTCTTTGGGTGTGCGGACGTTTCCAGTGGGTTTGGTGCCGTAAACGAGGTTCTGTACGAGCAGCTCCGCTCGGGTTTATAGCTAGAGGTAGTTCAAGAAGTAGATTTCGGCCATACCTACAATAAGGAAAATTTCATTGAATGCGGTAGACAGAGATTCAGTATTGATACTAAAAGAATTTCGGTACTCCCATTGTCTATATAATTTAAATTACACAAATGTTTCGGTCAGATGTGTCACTGGCCTTTTTTCAAGTGTAAATTAATCTAAATCTTAAAACTAGTTTGGTTTGGTTCGGTTGTAGGTGGATTAAACACAAAACATTGTAGAAAAAACTTACTTGAATTTATAATCAGATAAGGTATCAATTCCAGGAAGACTTTCTAAAACTCTCACAACTGCAGGTTCAGTTAATCCGAACAAGTCCTCTCCCGATATGTATTTGGGAAACATCTGTAAACATTTGTTCTCTCGGCGAATAGTAGCGATTTTCTCCAGAATCGGATTCCAGACTGCTTTCGGCGACTGGTCCTTAAACTCCACATCTTCTTCCGTCGTTTCTTGTACCAATACTTTAAATTCCGGATGACCGCTACTATCGTGGATCGAACAAATATATCGACATCTTTTATTGTGATACCTCATGCTCCAGTAAAACCGAATTATTTTGTAACCTGTAAAAATAAAAAATAAATTAATTGAAGTATGAAAATAAGAACTGTAATAATGTAAAGGAATTCTAAGGCATGGTTGTTATACTCTGTTCAGGGGGAGATCAAAATTTTAATAAGCTGTTCAACGACTTAGTTCGTGCGCAACTTAGTTCAAAAATTAGGTATTTGACGATTGAAATTGAGCTAGCCCTTTTTGAGGCTTAAAGTGAGTTTCGAATCATCTTCTAATTGTCACAAAACTAGCCCAGCTCTAACGAAATGCAGGGTTCAGCCTAAGAAATCGCAACCTGCGATTGGCTCTCATCGGAAACTCCGATTGCGATTTCTTCTATTTGCGAGTTTCAATTTGCGATTTCTGCGATTTGCGATTTTGTTGCGATTTGCGATTTTGCTGCGATTGTGATTTTGTAAACTGGGACCGTGATTTCTATCTGCGGGTTTTAATTTTTAGGAGTTGCGATCTGCGATATTGTTGCAATTGTAATTTTGTGGTTTATTGAAGCATTTTATAGTAAAGTGCGATTGAATTTTCTCTCTGATATTATTTATTTATAGAGAAGGTATTATTTTCTAGAGCCACGATCAATAATATACCGGGTGTTTCTCAAGTCTGGTTCACCCCTATAACTTTTTATTTTTTTCTGATAAAGAAACGAGATTTGGTATGTTAGTATATGACATAAATTAGGATTGATTGACGTATTCAATTGTTTTTAGTCATTTCCTGTTTCACCGGAAATGACTAAACTGTTGATTTTTAAATGACACCCTCAGTATTTTTTTTACTCTATTGACACTGAATAGAATGGCCATTTTTGACTTCTTCTTCTTTCAGTGCCTATCCTCTATGGATGTTGGCAATCATGTTGGTCCACATAATCCTATTGACAGCCGCCCTGAATAGATGTACGGTCGTCATTCCCGTCCACTGTCTAATATTTTTCAGCCATGATGTTCGTCGGCGTCCCTGACCTCTTCTACTATCTATTTTGCCCTGCAGTATCAGTTGGATAAGTTGGTATTTTGACATTTTCGCTTAAAAAATCGTATTTTAAATTTCAATCTAGAATGTCATGGCTGTGTTAAGGAGCGATATCCTAGCCACGCGACGTCTGGCGCCCGCGTCTCGCCGCACACGGTTTACGAATAATTTGGTTTGGTAAATATTAAAATCGCAATTGCAGGTTACAGTCGCTGTAAATTGCAATTGGAGAATCGCAGTTTTGCTCATCTCTAGTTAACACCATACAAACAGGATAAATGTGAGACGTGTCCAATATCCATGTAAGTATATTTATATGGTAGCATCCGGTTGACTTGGTCCAAGTATACTTCGACAATGTCAGCTAGGCTTAACCAGAACTTGAATAATTTCAGTTAAAAATCAGAATAAAAAAATGCTTGTCACAAATTAACAAAATATACAATATAAAAAGTTTATAGCATTAACAAAAATATTTATGGTTTACTTACCTATAGGATAAATATAATTCGATGTGTGAAAGTTCTGTAACTGATGAGGCAACAGCTGACCCACATTGAGGAATATCAAACTGCCCACTCTCAGCAAGTGGTTTGTATCCGAATGATGCATCACGGCTGCCACTTGTCGATTTTCATCCCTGTTCACATAAACCCTCCTGCTGACCGACAGCGTTGTCAGTTCGTTGTCTTTCTCGTTCTTCGGCACGTGGACCGTACAGAAAACAGTTTTGTTCTTGAAAAATACGCAGCTGTCCCGAACCGCGCACGACAGATGGTAAACGCTACAGCAGCGCGTCTTGAAGCAACGTATGGTGGCGCCCAATTTGTTGCAGTGTACGCAGATGGAGGTGAGACTTTGCTGGATGGCGTTTTCCAGGTTCATTAAGGCACCGTTGACCGTTTCGTAGACCCCGTCCGACCACAGGGCACAATTTAAATGGACCCATTTGTCGACGTCAATATTGAGTAGTCTGGCTGGACCATCGGCTACACCGTCTCCGATAACTGTAAGTTGAAAGATGAAAAATATTTAGTGATATAAATTTTATTAGCTGTAATAAAGCTTAGTTTCCGTTATGAAAATTTCGCAATTTTTCTCATTCGCAATTTTTCAAAAAGTTAAAATGTTTTTAAGGACTACAGTGCAACAAATAATCGGAACAACTACTCCTAATGACGATTAGCGAATATACACTATGTGTATTGTTATCATATACCGGGTGCGTCTGAAAAGTGGCTCACCCTTATAATTTTTATATTTTTTCAGATAAAAAAACGAGATTTGGTAAGTTAGTATATGGTTTTTGGTTACTTCCTGTTTCACCGGAAATGACTACAACTTTTGATTTTGGCACGTCGGCATTTTTTTACTTTATTCGATAGAAAATGACACTCTGAATCGAATGACAATATCATATGTTAACTTTTGACATTTTCGCTTAAAACAAAATTGTATTTTAAATTTCAATTTAGAGGGCCATGGTTGTGTTAAAAACACTAATTTTTAATCAAGGAGCCTTGGAAAAATAGATTTGATCGTCTAATGTTTTTAGTGTCTTGTCCTGGTCGGTTCAAAGATGCCCAAATCGTATTTTTAGTCATATCTAAAAATGTTTCAAATGGAACGAGGGTGGCTCATTAGTATATTTGAAAAAAGCATTTTTTTACGAATAATTTGATACCACACACTTGGTATTTCGAGTTAAATTTCATCATTATGAACCGCATGTTATAATTTCAAATAAACCATATGCGAAAATGTCAAATGTTGACATATGATATGCCAATCTATTCAGAGTGACATTTTCTATCAAATAAAGTAAAAAAATACGGAGGATGTCATTTAAAAATCAAAAGTTGTATTCATTTCGGGTGAAACCGGAAGTGACCGAAAACAATTGAATATGTCAATCAATCCTAATATATGCCATATACTAACATTCCAAATCCCGTTTTTTATCCGAAAAAATAAAAAAGTTGTAGGGTTGAGCCACTTTTGAGACGCACCCGGTATATTTATCAAAAACATCATCAAAAATATGGATTTTAGTGTAATAAGAATACATATTATATTGATTGATATTTTTTACATAAGTTCGCACTAAAAAATAACGCTTATCTGTTCTACAAATATAAAATCTTATTATTATGTAAAAATAATAAAGTCCAAAAAAAACGGCTACAGAAAAAGAATCGTTTCGGGCTGTTAATAAGAAAATAAGTGTTTAACACTATGGCATAAAACACTTATTTTCATAATTCGTCTAGCGAAGGCATATCGAAGACGGTGTGGAACTGAAAACGACAGTGTTGCCATATTAATATCTGTGTAATATCTGTAATACGTTTGACGAAAATATCTCTGGATGAAAAATTCCCGTTTATGTATTCAAAATTTATTCGTGTTAAAAAAAACAACAAAAATAAAAATTCATGTTCTCAGAAGAATCCCTGACTAGTCAGCGCGTTTCTTATTGGTTGAAATGTGTAGAAACCAGACTAACAATCAGGTTTCTACGCATTTTAACCAATGAGAAACGTGCTGACTAGTCAGGGATTCTTCTGAGAACAGACCTAATATTTTACATATGAGATAAACAGCCACCTTCATCTCCAAGCCAACTCTGACGCCGTCCATTATTTAATCATATAATATTATATTGAATTGTTTAATAATAGAAAAACCGTATTATTAACGTACTGTACCCAAAATCCGTAAATTTACGGATTTATCAGTAGTTCTGGCAACACTGTCTCCAGCAACCACTCACTCTGGCGACTGAAAGCAGTACTACGGTACAGTATTCTGTATCCGCTGCGTTGCCGGGTTATCAGCCCGTAGTGGCGCAGGGCTAAACTAAATCTCGGACAGGCTGACGGTAACGCCAGCTACCTCGGACGAAATTGACCATAATTCATCAATCAACGATAAAAGCATTTAGAATTGCTTTAGAACATTTTTGTGTTAGTCTAAATATTTATTTATAGATGCCATTACAACAAGATGGATATTCTGAAACAGAACTGTTCATTTTTTATTTTTTTTTCAATCCATTGCAAGACAAATAAAAAAAATTTTTTTTTTATACGAGGGCGGTTCAAATATGATGAAGACAAACGCAGTAGATGGCGAGCATGTATTTTTTGAAGGTCGTGGCTTGAGTATGTGTTAGCTGGGTCCCTTACGAACAGCGTGGCATAGGTTTCGTCGGGAGCGCATGTTTTACGTGCGTGCTACGACCATGAGTGAACGTCAAGTGCCGACCGCCATTGCGAAACGTATTGTCATTCGTTTTTTAGCGCGGGAAGGCGTTAAAAACACGGAAATTTTTCTGCGTTTGCAAAATCAGTTCGGTAGTGAGTGCCTGAGTAGGGCTGCTGTGTTTAAATGGGTCAAAGCCTTCAAGGATGGCCGCGAAACCGTCGAGAATGAGCCGCATGATCGTCGACCGCGAACCAGCATGACACCAGACAAAATTAGCCGCGTAGAGCTACTCATTTTGGAGGACCGTAGGATGAATGTTCGAGATATTTCGGCTGAACTCGGCATCAGTATTGGTAGTGTAGAGTCTATCATCCACGAACACCTTAAATATCGCAAAATAACGGCGCGATGGGTTCCTAAACTGTTGAACTTCGAGCAAAAATTATACCGCGCGTCAAACGCTCGATACAATATCGAAATCGGGATGGGAGGTACTGGAATACCCCCCCTACAGTCCGGATTTATCCCCCTGCGACTATAACATGTTTGGACCACTGAAAGAAGCCCTCGGAGGTCAAAGATTCAACACCGGCGATGAGGTAGAGAAGTTCGTGCGCACATGGCTGTCCGAGTTGCCCAATGAATTCTTCGATACCGGCATCAAAAAACTTCCGGAAAGGTGGACAAAATGCGTAACTAGTGAGGGGAATTACATAGAAAAACTGTAAATTTTTGTAATTTTTTTCGGAAGTAAATAAACGTATCAGAGAATTTGTCTCGATCATATTTGAACCGACCTCGTATCATTCATACAAAAGAAAAATGAATTTTTAAATTAAAACCCAAAAATAATTTTAAAAAATATTATTTTTTAATATATCCCTGTATTATATGCCCTGTATATCCCCGATTTATATGCCACTATGACAGTTGGTATTTGACATAATAGTAGCCATAATGACTTTTTGTTAATCAATCAATACCATCTGATGAATTTTTTTTTTGGCAGAGAATGTGTTATAAACATATTTAATGCGTAGATTTTAGTATCATATAAGTAACATAATATCCTACCTTGGCAAAACATGCACCTCCGCGTATCTTCGGGTATCTTAGGCGGAGTTACTGTAATGCCCATTTGATACAACATCTCCATCATTTCCTTATCCGTTAGACGTTTACGTTTCTGATTAGGCTGCAAGCAACCCAAAACCCAGAATTTATACGAAACGTTCCTGTGAACTTTTGTAGAGTCCTGAACCTTCACCAATCCCAATTTGTTGCCCTGTTTTAACGACGACTGAAAGTATGACGTAAACGAAGGCGGATCTTCCATTTTGACATCTTTTATATCCAAGGACGCTCGGTTAGATATAACGGATTTGTGGTCATTGGGTTCTGAGAGAATTGACTTGGGTTTGGTGGAATGCTTGTCTTTCTGCGATAAATGATCGATTATTGCGGCAGCCTAATAAATAAATTTAATTAAAATAATATATCCAAAAAAATTCTATATGGGTATTTCACCACTGCAAGAAAATCTGCAAAATAAAATAGTTATTTTTTGTAAACACTGCTGCGTTAATCCTAGGAGACCAATTCTCAGCAGTTAGGTTTACTGATAAACAAATTTGCCTAACGAACAAAAAAATGCTTAACGTTTCGGAAAGTTTATCTTTTTCCATCGTCGGAAGCAAAAAAATACAAAGAATAAAGAAAAAACAATTTAAAATATTTAAATGCAACTATTCGGGAACATTTTAGTTTTTTAAACATATACCATGGCTGGGAAACTTAAATGGAAATGACGGTTCATTAAAAATAGTTTTTCCTCCAAGATGCAGAGGCGCAAAATATTAAAACTGTCAATATTAACAATGCAAATGTCAATATCTGACAATAATAAAATTTGATTTTTAACTGTCACTCAGAGACGCTTTTGTTGTGATTTTACGGTTTGATTTCGTTTTGATTTGTCGAATTATTGTAAAATTAAATTCCTTCAGAGTTTTTGCCAGTATTCTGTTTTAGACAATGTTTTTTAAAAATGGTGGGACAATTTGTGTTTTGTATAGACTCTTAATTATTTTTTATCATGGAGTTTAATTGTTGTACACCTGGTTTCCGAAGGATACAATGGTAAGTAATTTAAATATATCTACTTACAGTTATAGATTTTTTAAATTAGTATTGCTAATAAATGCTAATTGCTGAGCAGTTATTTAATTGTGTTAATTGGTGCATGTAAGGAATTAAGGATGCGCGTTGCGTTATATTAGCATGATCAGCAGATGATTAAATCTAATTTAATTTGTTTTTATTATTTCAGGTCTCAAACGGAAATAAACTGGGAATCTTGCCTACACCAAAATTATATAGCCGTTTCCAATTCACTTCAAAGGAAGGAAAATTATGTAAAACTGCCTGCTATTTGCTGAAAATCGCCAAAGATTAAATTATAACTGTAACAACTTAATATATACTATTTCTAGTCTTTTTAATATATTTTTTAATTAATATCCGACATATAAGAACACTTTGTATGCTTTTAATTAAGTTGATTTATCGTTTATAATATGTTCGACCTAATTAAAAGCAGACAAAGTGTTCTTACATGTATGTCTAAATTTATTTTAAATTGTTTTAAATTAACTAAAACAACCCCTCTTCCCCGCGCCCCTCTCTTCCATTAGTATTTCTTCCTCCGACTACCAGAGGCGCCCTTGTATAATAAAATTGAAATGTATTATAAGTTGCCTATCTATTTAATAGTATAAGTCTTTTATCTATGACATATACATACGTCTACAAAAACCGTTGACGTTCTGTTAAAATGAGATTATATCCAAGTTAAACTTTAAAATTAACAATTACTACCTGATAACAATTACTTAGGTAAAACCAAAAAGCTTCAAACTTTCTGTATGAATATTTTTAATTTGTTTTTAATTTGTACGTATGTTATGTTCTTTAAAATCAAAGAAGCGATTGCCATACATTACTAACATTTACAGATGCATGAGCAATACATTTATTTTTATTAGATTGTATTAAAAAAGCCTCTTTTATTTTTCTTCTAGAGGCTATCGTTTTATTCTTTGTATTTTTTGCTTCCGACGACGGAAAGAGATCAACTTTCCGAAACGTTAAGCATTTTTTTGTTCATTAGGCAAAATTGTTTATCCGTAAACCTAACTTCTGACAATTAGTCTCCGTTGGATTAATGCAGCAGTGTTTACAACAAATAACCATTTTATTTTATATATTTTCTTGCAGTGGCAAAATACCCTTATAGGATTTTTTTGGAGAGATGAATCCGCCACATAGGTATAGACATTTTTTAAAATAATATAATATTAATCTTAGGATTACAAACCTTGTCTTCTGATATTGATGGGGAGCGATGCATCAAAGCAAACTGCATATAACAAGTGGAACTGCAGAAATAAAGTTCGTCTCCTTCGCTCAGCAAGTCCGAGTCTTTGGCCAGGAATGGCAAGTCCGACACTTTCTTTCTTATCATATTGTTCAAAATCACTACGTCACAATGCTTGCAGAACTTAGCCGCCCCATTTAGAATACTCTGAATATCAATCGGAGCTGTAAATAAAAATATATAGGTAATAATAAAGAAAAACAAACAACAGGAGAAAATACTTACTTCCTTCTTTCCCATCCTTTCCTTTCGTCCTATACATTCCCAGTTTTTGACCAGTAGCAGAAGATGTTCGATCCACTATCTGATATGTTGTAGGCGCAGGAATTTGTAATATATTAGCCAGATCTCTTAAAACTCCCACTATATCCTCCGCGGCCGCTGAAGTTAAAGTTAACGTAACCTTAATGTTTTCGTTTTCTTTGAGAGGGGTGGAGGGCGACGAACCCGGTCTCAATTTATCTTCCCTCAATTCTTTGCAGATATTCTCTTTGTCCTCCGGATCTATCTTAAAGTCTTTCAAGAACAAGCCGGCAGGTTTTAATCGGATCGGAATAGGTTTAATGATAGCGATCTCGGGCGACATTCTACCTGATTTTATGTAAACATCTTCGTCCTCATCATCGCTGATAAGTTTCAAACCAAAATATTTATCTGAAATATCACATGGCATGTGTTCGGGAGACGAACTACTGACGACTGAGTCTGGAGTATCCTCTCGGGAAAACAAATCGAACTTTTTATCGTCCTCTGTGTCAAAGCGAATCAACGGGAATTCTTGATCGTAAAATCCCCGTTGTGTTGAAGCTGGCGGTAACTCAGGTAGGGGTTCGTCATCGCCATACGGTTTAGTGCTATAAAAATCGGCAAATCCCGGAACTAAAGCATTTCCGTAGGCTCCTGTTAAATCTCCGATCCGAGAATCGTAACACTTTGTCCCTATTTTAGACAAATCCCCGCTTCCAAATATTGGCATAACTCCATAGTTTCGAACTAAAACCGGCTCAGATACAGACATAGGAGGTAGCTGTCTAATTTGCGCCAATACACCATCGATATAAGAATCGTAATCCTCCTCTAATTTAGAATTTTTACGCGCTCGTTTATTTGGTTTATTTAAATCTTTATTCATTATTTGATTTTGTCTCCTCTTCTGATTATACATTCTCCTTTTCTGCTTCTTTAATTCTTCCTTATCCAATATCAGTTTATCTAAATTACTGTCTCCAACATCCAGTTCATCTTTAATCTGGATTTCAGACTTTCCTTGATCAGAAACTTCTGAATGTTGCGAAGTATCATCTAACAATTCCTTCTTAACATCCATTAAAATATTTTGAGATATTGGAAACTCCTTTTTGATGATTAAAGGAGGAGTCTGCAAGCTGGAATCCTGACTACATGATGATCTCGGTGTGGGAGGAGATAACAAATCGTCTCTGCTAGAGGATCTACTCGGAGGAGCGCATTTCTTAATGTCAATGTGTAATTGTTGAGTGGGAGTCGTAGAACTTGACGTGGCGATCTGAGGTTGTTGAATTACAGGACTAGAAACGAACGAGGTTTCTCTTATAGGAGGCATTCTTTGTAGCGCAGGTCTTGTTTGAGTGGTAGCGGTTGATGTTTGCGGTTCAGTTTTGATAACTGGAGGCAGAAGTGACGACAGAGTCGGTGGGTTAGATTTTTGTGACTCGATCGAAGAAGCTAAAGTAGTAATAGTACTAGTACTATTGGGCGGAGGCGACTGAGTACTGGCGCATGCTGTATTTTGTAATAATTTCTTTAACAATGCGTTTTGCGAGTCTTCCCCCCGACTAGCCAACGAAGATGAAAATTTCAAAGCGCCCAATTCTTGTTTAAACGTTCCAACTTCGCTATCTATTAATTCTGTCTTGATATCTTCCTTTAAGTCTTTTATGTCATCAAGAGACTTTGTTCTAGCTTTGGTAAGTTGGGTATGAAGCAAATTAGTTGTAGAAGTAATCACTGAACTTGTAGATATACTATTCACTGGAGAACTGCTGGTCAAAGCAGCTGCGGTTGCTGCGATAATGGCATTTGGTTGAGCCTGCGCTAGAGCTGTTGAAAATCTGGTGGGAGATAAACTGATAGGAGTAGCAAGAAGGCTGGCCGCTGTTATGGTATCAGCGGAAGGTTTTGTAGATGGGGTAGCAGCCGGTTGGTTTTGAAGCATAGCCGTTAATGTTAACGATGCTTTTTTAGTTATATCCGTGTTTGAATTTGTCGTAGTTGGTTGTTTTGAGGTAGTCGTGGGAGTGGACACAATAGCTAATAATTTTGATTGATCCGAAGTAACAGATACAGTCTTATTGGTAAGTATACTTTCATTAAGTGGTGGAACAGAACTTATTGTAGTTCGAGGGGTTTGAATAACTTTATTAGGCGAGCTGCAAGCAACTTTTGGTTTTATTGTATTTGGTACAATTACAGTACTGCTTGTAGTCAAAACAGGTGCCGGCTTTTCTATCTGTTGGATTATTCTAGATGTAACAATTGGTGACGAAATAACCGGGTTAGGATTATTTATTATTTTTTGGCTGCTTGGTTTACTTGTAGTCTCTACGTTTGAAGATTGTGAAGTGGTTGATGTTTGTAGAGAAAGAAGAGTGCGTAATTGTTGTGACGCATTTGCCATGTTAGTAGTCAGTTCTGTTGGCTGAGATAAAGGTGATAACTGAGGTACACTTTGCTTAGCTATGTTGGCCACATTTATGGCCATTGGAAGACTTACGGATTCTTTAGAATTCTCTCCATCAGCTTTTACAGATTTCTTGCTGCCAATTGAATCAGGTGTTCCGGGATTCTGCATATTTTCAAACATATCCAAAACATCTTCATAAGAATCAAATTCCCGTCTCGGATTTTCAAGTGCTTGCAATGCAATGTTATCTAACATCTGTTCTTGTGACGGAGTCGGAGAAGGTATCGAAATCACAACTGATTTATCTTCAGCAGATCCATCAAACGCGCTCATTGTTTCAGTAGCCGTAATTTGCATATGAGCTGGCGGTTCCTGTATCACTTGAGCAGTCATTTTTAATTCAGGAGTTGAATGATGAATTATAACTGGTGGAGAGGGCTTGGGTATTACAGGGCTCGACATTTTCTGAATTTTCTCTTTAGTTATTATATGCCCGACTTTGTTGTGTAGAGAATGGCCTAATCTTTCTGCAAACTCATTTTTGCCTTCCACGTTTATACTTGTTTTCGTCTGATCTTTACTTCCATCTGATTTTCCTTTAGAATCGTTATTTTTCATGAACAGCTTTACATCTCCCTGATCAGATTTTCTTTTGTCGTCGAGGGTATCTATATTTGAACTGTCCGGAGATACAGAGCCATCTTCAAAGAGTTTTTTTGGTAAACTATTGTCATGCGTAGTTAAAGATAATGATGAAGAAGGTTTATCAATTACTTTTACGTTGGGCAGTTGTCGTACTGCGCTGGCACTAATGACTGGTACGGTAAATTTAGATGGTAAGATAGAAGCTATCTGTGAAGTACTAGCGCTCACTATAGTAATAGAAGGAGAGGACGAGACGATTTTGGGCCCGACACTAATTATGTTACTTCTTACTGGATTATGAGTGAGAATGATGTGGTGAGATGACAATTTTGATGCTGCTGTGGTGTTTATTTTTGTTGTAGGTGTTAAAATTAATTGTTGGGTTTCCAAAGTTGGCTTCGAACCGTCAGATCTATTTGTAAAATTCTGTATGATCGGGGTAGTAATGAGCGAAATTTTCTGAGGCATTTTCGTATTCGGTCCAATAACATTAGCGGGTCTAATTGTGGCCTGCGCTTTAGGTGGAAAACTGAACACGTTTGTCGGTGCTGCGTATTTGTGAAAATCTGCAATTTGTTTAGGATCAGGTTTCATTAGTTTTTCTTTCCTCGAACCTTCGTCTATTAATTCTTCAAAGTCCTCTTTTGTTGATATTTGCTCCTCTGGTGACTTAACAGGTTGATCTATAACAACTACTTCAGATTCTTCAAAAGGTTGTGTCAGCTCTTCGTCTTCGGGCTCCGTAGAAGGTTCGGTAGTTGCATCTTGATCTGGCGATTCCGCAGAATCTGTGATATTAAGTATGTTGTATTTTTTTGTACGACCCTGCATAATAAATTCGTCGTCGCTTGTCGTTGGACTACGAATCACTATATCCGCATATTCTTCTTCTACTTCTTCCTTATCAGAATATTGAATGTTTCCCGATATATCGACCACCATGTTTTCGTGAAATAACATAAAATCGTCCGTAATTTGGTCTGCTTCTAAAGGGCTAGTAAGTACCTCCCCAATATCACTTTGAGATAATGTCTCTGTCATATCTAATTCGTCGTCATTTTGTTGTGCGGCAGAACTCAAAGAAATTTCAGAAGATAGCACTGTACTATTATCATCTTCATAGTCAACAATTTCCGTTACAAGATCCTGTTTGGGCATTGTTTTATGGCCCACGATTCTATTGGGCCCAGAAGGTGGAGGAGTTAATGGTGAAGTAGATGAATTTTCATCAAAATCATTAAAATCTGAGCTAATTTTTACGCCAACTCCCTTCAAATTTCCTTTTGGTAAGGATTTCTTTTTTAAAATAGACACCTTATTTAAATGCAATTCTTTTTTAGACTTTAATGATGAAGTGGATTCATTCGTACCTTTATCAGTATCATTGTTTGTTGGTGGAGTAGGAACTCGTTTTTCTCCTCTACCAAACCCACTCCACATCGGTGCTCCGCCTCTGAGACCTAATTTAAAAAATCCAAATTTTCCCCAACCTGGAGGCGGTAGCGGTATTGGATTATTAGGGTTATTTGGATTACCACCGCCCGTAAGCATATTTTCTTGAAACGAACCATCCATGCTATAAGGAGTTCTGGGTGTACTAGGATTTTCTACGCTGGTTGGTCTTTCTGGCATTGCAGGGCTGCTACTGGCACTGGGTGGTCTTCTAATCGCGTGAGGGGAGTGAATCATAGGAGAAGATGGCGGTTGATATTGATGCATCATTGGGCTACTTGGCGGCTGATTTTGATGAAAAGGACTCCTTGAAGCAGGCGAATTTGGCATGTTTCCTTGATTTGGGTTGAAGTTCAGCATCGGGCTTTTAGGAGGCATAGGTGACGCAGGCATCGAATGAGGTGACATAATTTGTTGCGTATGTAATGGACTTTTTGGTGGCAATGGAGATTGAACTGGATTCGATTGCTGTTGCTGTTGTTGCTGCTGCTGATTGAGCCGAGCTTGTAATTGCATGGCAGCCTGCTGCTGTTGTTGTTGCTTAGCCAGTTGCTGTTGAACTAGCATCTGATGTTGTTGAGGTGTTAAAGGTGGTTGACTTTGCTGCCTTGTCAAATTTCTATGTTGAATTAATTGAGCTACTCTAGCTGAATGCAATATGTTTCCATCAGTTTGATTGTTATCCTGTTGATGCAACTGTTTCTGCATTAGTTGTTGCGGTGTCATCTGAACTGGAATTATTGGTGGACTATTCAACGGTGACGGGGTACCAGGTTTTGGAGAATAACCTTGCATAGGACTAGGAGTTTGACTTCTTATGCGTTGTTGAAGAGCTGCATGGTCTACGGAAGCCCTAACAAAGCGCATTTGGGAAGTTCCGCCCCGCATGTCATTGCTGTAACCTACAGGACTTGTAACTACTCTTCTGTGCTGTGGAGATGTCATCCTTTGTACTTGAGGCAGCATGCCCATCTGTGATGGGGACTGCACAGGTCCAGGGCTTCCTTCTAGTAATAAATCAAAGTAACTTTTATTTATAGATGGTTTAATATTACCTAAATTGGAATTTAAAAAAAATATCTGATAAAAATTGAAAGCCAACAAATAACGTGTAGTCAAAACTATCCCAGATTTGGATAGCTTTCACAAAAATATCTCTATTCCCTATGGCTAACATGTAAATTTCCGAAAACATTATTGATACTCTCGGTAACGTTACATGTTGCCAAGCTGCACAATAGAACGCAATGGAGAAGAATTGTAAACTCAGTTAACAATGACAACCAAAAAGTAAAGAGGCAACATAGTAATGAGATTTTTGAATGTCCGGGGTGCGGACGAGAGATAACATCACGTATCGGGCTTTTCAGTCATAGAAAAGTTCATGAAAGAAAACGCTTTGCGTAACCCTCTTCTGATGGGTGTCAAATACTCGTCAGCGAGTAACGGCTGTAAGTAAGTGTTGCCACTGGATGTTATAATACTATTTAAAACGTTAATCTTAAATTTTGAATTTAAATATTTAATAAATATTAGAAAAGCTGATATACATAAGCAAGACATAAACAAAGGTAGAAAGTTTGAGAAATTGTCCAAAATTTTAGTTAAAGTTTGTATAGCGTCTATAATTGTAGGATAAAAAACAAAATTATGTAAATTGGGAAATATATTCTTTAGTTTTAAAAAAGATGTAAGTTAATAGGAACAGAGGCAAGTATCCAAATAAATTTGATACACACTGAACAAATCGAAATTGGGTCGTCACATCAAATTCAATATCGTTACTCATTTTACGACAACATTGTTGAACAGCTTAGATATACTATTTTCGTTTATTATTTTAATTATTGTACGAACCGGCAACACTGTATGTCGCTTTTTATTTTGTCTCTCTGCCTGTCATTTGGTCGTATATATTTATCTGTCGTATGCATTAAAATATAGAACACGGAAATAAAATGACCAGGGCTAGTACGGTAATCGCAAAACAATTTCCGATGGACGTGATCAACTTTGAGTGACAAGCGATGACGACAATGCTGCCAGATTGTGATGGATTTATGAAATGAATCTTAATTTAAAATTGACAAACAATATATTTATTATATCATTTTTTAAAGATTTTTATATTTTATTTTTAATTTAATAACTAATATTTTCTAATATTATTTATTTATTATTTGTAATTTTTGTAATTAATTGATTTATTTGTTTTATAGCTTATTTTACTTATTACATATTGGCAAAAAATAGTCCATTATGAGGATTATTTTAAGCGTTATTATGGGATATTTATTTATTGATGTACCGGGTGGCCAACTAAGAATGAACGCCGGCTGTATCTCAGAAACTACTTATCTTATAACTTTGGGAAAAAAAAATCTAATCGAAAAGTAAATCGACCAAGAGAAATCGCTAGAAATTATTGTCAAGTTCGAAAAATGCCCGCTAGGGGGCGTTTCTCTGATAGCCAATCAGAAAACAGATTTTTTTCTCAAAAATATGCAGGTGAACAGGTATTTTAAATATTACTATTGTAATTGTGAAGAAATTTGTAATTTTTTTGATATAGAGTATTTTGCTCTATCTCATAAAATAAAGTGGTGGGGGAAGGTTAAACTTGCTTTTATTAAAATAAGGATAACTCTGGTTTAGGTTAGCCAATTTAAACAAACTATGGCTCGTTTAAAAAAGCTTTTCTTTCTTAATGATCTCCAGTATACATTTTGTTTCCATAAATTTTTTCGTTGTAGCTAGAGGGCGTTGTTTGACACCATAACAGATATTGCGCTTTTGCATAAAAAAATTAAATAGGAGGCTATATTTCTGTTTGCTCAGTTAAATAGAGCACCAAACTAAATCGTTTTGATATTTTGACGTAACCAATTTACCTGTTTTTGTTTCCTAGCCTACTACTATAATTTTTAGATCATATAATCCTAAACAGCAGCCTAACATGATTTGTTTTCTTAATACCTACGGTTAGAGAGAAGATAGAAAGTTGCGGTTTGCGCTGATTTTTTGGAAATTTTGTGCTCTATTTAACTATGTAAAGAGAAATATAGCCTCCTATTTAATTTTTTTCTGCAAAAGCGCAATATCTGTTATGGTGTCAAACAACGCCCTCTAGCTACAACGAAAAAATTTATGGAAACCAAATTTATACTTTTTTAAACGAGCCCTAGTTTGTTTAAATCGACTAACCTAAATCAGAGTTATCCTTATTTTAATAAAAGCAAGTTTAACCTTCCCCCATCACTTTATTTTATGAGATAGAGCAAAATACTCTATATCAAAAAAATTACAAACTTCTTGACGATTACAATAGTAATATTTAAAATACCTGTACACCTGCATATTTTTGAGAAAAACCCTGTTTTCTGATTGGCTATCAGAGAAACGCCCCCTAGCGGACATTTTTCGAACTTGAAAATAATTTCCAGCGATTTCTCTTGGTCGATTTACTTATAAGAATTTTTTTCCCAAAATTATACGATAAGTAGTTTCTGAGATACAGCCGGCGTCCATTCTTAGTTGGCCACCCGGTACATATTACAACGCCATAAGTGGCAATAACAAGTAAGAAGGTGCTATTAATGCACATACTAATAATCACAGAATTTAATAAAAACTAACGTAGAAATAACTTTGAAAGTGGCATAATCTGCTTACTAGTCAAACTTACTTCTCTGACTGCCGTCAAGGGTAATAAAGGACCTTTATTGTCACATTCTCGTTCAAAATAGTTATCACGGAAGCTACAAGCTCTTTGCTTCGGCTGTTTAAATACTTCGGCATACCATCTATATTTCAAGAAATGCAATACAAAAATTCCGAAATTTTGTTGTCAACAGAACTGTTTGTGCTTAAAAGTACAATTTTTAAAAAAAGTCTATGAAAATAGGCACGAGAACTACTCACAAATATTCAACAAGATATTCTACAAAATAATGACTCGCATTAGGATAATTGTCAAGTAATAAACGACAACCTTGCTGAAAACCAATGCAATGTGACCAACATAACGATAATAAAATTCGGTTTAAACTAATTTTTGCAGCTTTAATCTAAATAAAATATCTGTTACAATCATTTGCTCCATAAAGTAAAATGAAGAGCTGCTCAGTATCTTAAATTATACAACTTTAAACATTTTTGCCAAAATTTCATTAAGGGTGTATTCCGTTGCTTACCTTGGTTATGGTTTTATGTTTCGTTTCTATCGGTTTTTTGAAAGTTTTTTATTACGGAACACGGTTCCTGAAAAATTCGGTTATAACTGTCACCAAACTAACCAGCGCGAGAAGGCTGGTTTTTCTGGTTTTGTTTGTCAATCAAAGTCATTTAAGTGACAGAAATCAAGCAAATATTGGAAGTTTGAGTGAAATTCTCATTTAATTTCTAAAATTTATAATAATCTTTTGTATTTACATCCAAAAGCAATGGAGGTAGGCAGTAAAGGTAAATAAATTTCATTAACTAAATAGAATTACTTTTTAGGACCATTTAAACTTATCATGCAGACATTGTTTCATAAAGTCAGGAACATTTAAAGAAAACATGAAAAACAAGACAACAAGTAATCGTGAATGTTTTGTAAGCTATAAAAATACAAATATTGATTAGATTTGTTTATTTAATATTGATCTGTTTTAATATTGGACCTACAAATCTTCACTTGAGCTGTCTAACGAGTTTAACAGTTTATTAATAAAGTACTTTTCAATATTAAACTCCATTGAAAAGAAGAAGAAAACGTAAAAGCAGAGAATAGGTACATTAAAAATGCATAAAAGATAAATTTTATAATAGAGGTATTGAAATTTAGAAAACGTCAACATTTGACGTTTCCAGTATTTTACCAAACTGTTTGGTTTGGTTAGGTTAGGTATCAAACCGATGTTTTTCAGGAACCGCTCTTTACCGTAGTTTACCGATCTGGTTGGCCTGGTTTTGCAACGGAATACAGTCTTAGGTTTATAGACTTTAGTGTCAATGCCGATATGATTGATGACGTGCATAGGAAAATGTGTTGCGATTACCGTATAATAGTTATGTAGGCTGATTTATGCAACTTTTGACTAGAAAAAAAGTCAAAAGTAGAAAATTATTACCTTGAGACAACGGCGTTCCTATCCTCGACGGCTGCATGGGCGACACGTTGCCTCCCGGACTTTGCAACAACGCGGCCACCGACCCCGGTCCGGGAGAGTGGACCACCGGCCCCGGACTGTGCATGGGCGAGCTGTGCTGCGGCGACTGGTGATGGATGGGTGAGGAGGCGGGCGGGCCCAGGGGCGACGACGCTAGGCCGACGCTCGGGGGCGCGGGCAGTTTCGGCTGCTGCTTGTTCCGGTACTCCTTCATATAGACCAGTTGGGGTAATAACACAGTTTTATTTAAAGTAGTTGATATAGACAGTGCTACTTGTACGGGATTGCCGACTACTATGGAGTGTGGTTACTAGTAAATGTTTCGGGGAAAATGACAATAACATGTTTAACGACAATAACACGTTTTAATTAGATTTACCTGTATGGATATTTCGTAAAATTGTTTTTGAATTTTATTTTCACCGAATTTAAGACGCCAGATCAAATTAAAATTTTGTACGTCTATTAAAAGCCAATGCATCCTGACCAAGACCAAGGACAAGATTTAAACCAAGTTAAAAATTTTAAAAGGGGTTTCAATGACTTATTATCGTTGAGCTTAGTTCACAAATTCGGTATTTGGTAGTTGAATGTGCCGAGTTCAGTGTTTTTCGTAGTTCACTTGAACCCGAGTTTCAGCTATGTTTGTTCAACCGGACCTTATTGGTTTTGTAAACATGTGCCATCTCTTGTGGGGATATTCCTCGCGTAAAAATACGATTTATTTTTCATATCAACATAGGTCCGATTCTGCTTTGTTTCGTAGCTAGTCAGGATGTTAAAGTCATAATAATCTTTCTATTTTTATAATTTTCTTCCAAGTACTTTTAGTGATTCGAATGAAAATTTGAGGGTAAAAGTTACTTTAAGTGCTATATATTTGAATGCTAAAAAAGTGTCGATAAATTCATCAGGGACGTGCATATGGGTTATCAATGGAATATTTTTCAAATAAAACATGTGCGCTACTGACTATTTTTCTGTTGATATCAAAATTGTGTAGGCCGTTTATATTATATATGTTACTGTAAATATCCGAAATGCGGTAAAACATAGGATTTACCAAAAGCAAGTGGTAGTAAAAACCAACCAACCCCAACAAATAACTACCTAACCTAATTAATTAATGATTTTGGTAAATCCTAGGTTTAGCGCGCTTATCCTAGGTTTTACCGCATTTCGGACATTTACAGTAACATATATATGCCAATTAAAAGTGATCTCTTGATATTTTGTCAAAGTCGGCCTCCCTGATGAGATAAACGCAATTTTATTAATCACAATTTAATAAAATTAAAATAAAACTAAAATTATTAAATTATATATTTTACCTAATGTATTATTAAGTATTAACTCCGCTATACCAGTCCCAAGCCTGGGGCCCCATCAACGAAAAGATGGGGAAGGAGAAGGGGGAGGAGTAACAACATCGAAAAAAAAACCAGGGTTCATCTGGCCCGGATGATAGCACCCTGTAAGGGCTCCTGACTAGGGTACAGGTCAAAAGGTCAACGGCGGAAGTAATAAACTAGAAGGCGGAAGAACCTCGAGGGGAAGATTGGTCTCCGAAGTCCGGAAAGACAACCATTCTAAAGGAAGAAAACCTTAATTAAAAATTACCTGGCCCTCCAGGTTGGGGGTTTAGGCGTCAGTTAGGTAGCTGAGTCAGTTGCTTAGCCATTTGCTTGGCTTTAAGCCTCGACTCGCGCCTTTTTAATTCAGTATCTGCTTTCGCGGGTAAATTACGTCCATCAAATACCATTATAGGACGTATATCGTGTTGCAGAAGCATATTAACGTACTTTAAGCAATACCTCACGTAACTAAGATAACAAAATAGTGTCAAAAATTTATTGGAAGGAATTAATTAATTTAAATTTCTTACTTATCTGTATCTTGATTGTTGGCAAGTTGGAAGGCACTGGCCGTAACTCCTTTATGTAGTAAGCAGTATGAATCAACTGCTACCGTGCCTCCCCTGAACTCGGACACGTGGCATGGTCTTGTTGCACCCTCCAGAAAAGGCAAAAGACCTGTTATGTTCATTACATAGAATGAATAGCTCAGACTACGACTAAAATTATGATATCAGAATAACTAAACGGGAAAACAAAACTTCTTGGTTAAACTGAACTTAACTCTTCCTAAAGCATTCTGTGGCGGCAAATCATGATGCAAAAAAAATGTCGTATATTGTTCTGTTACCATGGCGGAAATTGGCGGTAAAAGTTCCCTGTCACTTAGAAAAACATATACTTACCAAAAAGCCTAACATTTGTCTCGGAAACTCGGACGGAACTATTGGAAAACAACGTAAGCTACGGAAACGGACAATGAATATTGACACTTGGAATGTACAAAGTATCAGCGGAAAGATTAAAGAAATCACTAAAGAGTTAGAAGTATTAAAAATGGATATTGTAGCTTTAACTGAAACAAAAAGAAAAGGCAATGGCACAGAACTAAGTAACAATTATGTGCATATTTTTAGTGGTGTTGCAAAACAAGAAAGAGCGAAAAGAGGTGTGTCCTTTTTGATTCATAAAAAACACCAAAATAGAATCACAGACTTTGAGAGCATAGATGAGAATACAATTAGAGTTAATATGAATATAAATCAAAAATCAGTCACCATTTTTGGAGTCTATGCAATTTCTGATGACGAGCCGTATCATAAGAAGGACGATTTCTTTGGAAAACTCAATGAAGAAATAACAAAAATAGGGAATGGAAGAGAACTTATAATCCTTGGCGATTTTAACGGTAGAATTGGACGAAGGACAAACCATAAAGTAGTGGGCCCACATGGAGAAATAAATCTAAATGAAAATGGCGAAAGAATAATAGAAATATGTGAAAGTCACCTATTAAAATTCACAAATGGCTTTTATAAGCACAATGATATACATAAATACACTTGGACACAACCAACCACGAATCTAAAATCAATAATAGACTACGTCATAGTAAGACAACAAACGCCACTTCAGATAAATGATGTACAACCATATAGAGGCATTACATGTGGATCAGATCATTACTTAGTCAAAGCTAAAATAATATTCCCATTCAGACGTGACAAAAAGGAGGAAACCAATCGAAATTATGAGCATACCGAACGTATTGAATCTAAGCGATATAATCTGGATAGGCTAACAACCGAGAGTACCAGACAACTTTACCATAAAAGATTGGATGAAAAACTATATATGTATAACTCAGAACAATAGCGTTGAAGAAGTATACGCAAATATTCTAAGCAGTCTTCACAGTGCAGCGGAAGAAGCTCTTGGATCAAGAGCTCAGGTTCAAAGTAATAACATATGGTGGAATGAAGAAATAGATTGCTTAATTAAGGAAAAGAAAAACGCGTACAAAAAATGGCTAAGTAGTAAACAAGATAGAGTCGCATATCTAGAACAAGACAAAAAATAAGAACTGCAAAACGAGATGATATTAAAATTTTTTAAAGGTTGCTGTTAGACTTGTATCAAGGCAAATTAATAAAATTGCGTTTATCTCATCAAGGAGGCCTAAACTGACAAAATATCAAGAGACAATTTTTAATCGGCATTAAACTGTTTACACTATTTTGCTAACAAGATTTTCTCTCTTGTTCGTAGGCGTACATGCTTTTTTTAGAAAAATATTCCAATGATTACACATATGCACGTCCTTGGCGAATTTATCGACACTTTTTTAGCTTTAGAATATGTTGCATTTATAGTAACGTTTACCCTCAAAATTTGATGCGAAACGCTTAAAGTACTTGGAAGAAGATTATAATAAATCAAAAAAATATTAAGACTTTAACAGCCTGTAACTACGAAACAAAGCAGTATCGGACATATGTCATATGAAAAATAAATCTTATTTTTACGCGAGGAATCTCTCCACGAGAGATGGCACATGTTTTTTGAAACACCCTGTATATACAAAAAAGTATAATTAAAATGTCTAATATTTTCCCATACACAATACCCTAGAGATTTTATATACAATATATGCATATTCTATGTACCATCATTGTCTTGACAAAAATGGTTCCTTTTATATTTTGTTAAAAATAATTTATCATAAATTAAGAATATACTAACCAATCCCATAGATTTGAAAAGACGAGATCTTAAAGAAAAAGTTTCTATTTAATAAAGTTAAATTGTTGTTAAACAACATATTGCCTATTCATACATATAAAATGTTAAAGTTTGAAATACTATTTCAGTGCGCAAATAATCAGCAAAATAAAAACTTTAAAAATATACTTTGAGTGATCAAGATATATTTCTCAGATACCATATGAAAGAAAAAAGACATCAGCTTAACTTGAAAATAATAATCGCTGTTATTGATCATGTAAAATATTGCGAATACCAGCGATCCTAGAAAAATACCATAATGCGTCGAAACAGGTTAAAGTCAAATTCCCCGATTAGTTGCAGTGCTCCACATGGACAAACAGCAGTGCCTATATTGACAGATACCTGTATAAGCATCGCGTGCTGTCGACTTTGCTTCCTGCTTATCTCCAGCTGTTTCTGCAAAATCGCCTGTTCCGCCAGAATGCGTTGCAACTCGATTGCGTCGGCATCGTTTAGCTGATTGCCAGATTTCTTTAATTGCCTTTGTTTGCTGTTTAACGACTAAAAAGCAAAATCATAGTTATTACAAATAAAGTATATCCCAAAAAAAATAATTTAATACTAATATAATAATTAGTTAATTTAATATTAATTAATTAACTAATGAAATATTAATTACTTAATTTAATACCCATTTAATATTAATATTAATTAATTAATTTGATATTGATTAATTTAATATTAAATAATTAATTATTAATTATCCCGAATAACTTGAATAGTTAAGTAGTTTTTTTTTAAAATTTAAAAACGAATTAACATTAATTTAAACCTTTTCAAATAAAAACATGTTTGTAGGACATTTTCCACCACAGGCACTAATAAATAATTATGTAATAAACAACTACATTAGTTTGTAAAAACTGAATGAAAATTGAATGACTAACCTTACGACTTTTCCTCAATTTCTGAACCTCCGTCTCGTAGTATCTCAGCTGCTGTGTAAGCATATTGTTTTGATGATTCAGCCAATGTTCGTAGTTTTGTTGCGCCTGTTTATCCTGCTCAGTAATAATATTTTCGGGAGGAAGCGGTGGCGCAGGAGTTTGATGGGCATTAAACATTTGTATTTTCGTCGTAATTTCCGTGGTTGGTTGACTAGTTGGTTGGGGAGGTTGAACCCTGTTCTGCTGCCAATGTCCCAAACCAGAAGGATTACCTAAAATTAATATATTTATCCAATATCCTATTGATTCCTCAAGCTTGTTCAATGATATCGTGGTCATTAAAAGTTCATTAGACACAATTTATGTCTATACAAAAATGCTTTTGTTCCTCAGAGGGCATCAGAGTTTAAAAAATACATTTTTAAGATATTGTAAGAACCGATATTCCGATTTGATTGAGATTTTTGGATGCCTATGTTTTGCTAAGCGTTTTAACATTTGCGAAGCTTTCACAAAAAAAAAACAACAGAAAAGGTACGGGAAGGGTAAAAATGTAATTACCAGTAATTACCACCAGTAATTACCACCCCTACATAAATTCTAGTAGAAATATTTTCCAACATCAACAACAACTAATTGATGAATTTTTATAAAGTGGTCTTTCTATAATTTACTACATTTTCTGGGGGACATGGAAGGAGCCTCCACGATTGCAATAGTGTATCAAAATTAGTAAACAAAAAATACTATTGTTGGCGTCCCCTGGAAACGTCTTCTTTTAGACGGCCAATCCTTCCACCACCGGACCGAAGTGTACGAACCAACATGAGAAATAATCATCAAGGGTTCTTCTCAGAACCGACCTTGACATGGCGTCCATAAATATAGAGGGTATTACGAATAGCAAACAGGAATTATTATCCGATTTTTGCAGAATTAATAAATGCGATGTTCTGTGTATTCAGGAGACACACAGGGACCACACACAAAAACAACCTAATATCCCTGGCATGCGATTGGCCATTGAACTACCTCATAACAAACATGGGAGTGCAATCTTTGTCAAACCTGACAAAGTAATTACATCAGTTGGGTCATCAAACACAAATAACATCGAAATATTAACAGTGGAAATTGGAAATTACACTGTCACTTCCGTCTACAAGCCCCCGGCAGAAACCTTTATCTTTACACCACCATTGAATTTCGATTCTCAGAAGGTTAAATTCGTCTTGGGTGACTTTAATAGCCATAGCCCAGCCTGGGGATATACAGATTCCGACACGAACGGAAGCCTGGTCGAAGAATGGGCAGAATCATGTGATCTTACCCTTATACACGATAATAAACTTCCACATTCTTTCCACAGCAACATCTGGAAACGTGGATATAACCCCGATATATGTTTCACTAGCCTCGCATTGGAAGGGCAGTGTATTAAAAGAGTATACCATCCCGTGCCTAAAACTCAGCACAAACCAATAGGAATTGACGTATACGCAGCCGTCAGATCACCAAATATTCCATTTAGGCGTCGGTTTAATTTCAAAAAAGCCAACTGGCAGAATTTCTCTAGTGAATTGGATTCAGCTATTAGTGAACTGGAGCCCATACCAAAGAACTACGAACGATTTATTGATCTAGTGAGGCTAGTCTCAAGACATACAATACCAAGGGGTTGCAGAGAACAATATATTCCTGGTCTTTCTAACGATTCTAGAGAACTGTTAACCAGGTACAAAGAACTCTTTGAGAAGGATCCTTTTAGTGAAGACACGCTAGAATGTGGCTCAATGTTAATGCAAGAACTGAGTAATTCCAGACAGCAAAGATGGATAGACAAGATAGAGCAAATTGATATGACTCACAGTAGTAAGATCGCATGGAATTTCCTAAAAAAACTTGATGGCGACCCAATTGAAAGGAAACAAATCGGTAACATCAAACCTGACCAGATTGCCCACCAGCTGCTGAAGAATGGAAAGCCCGAAAAGAGAACTAGAATACCAAGATTAGAGAGAGATCGAGCAAACGAGATTAACATCCTGGAGAATCCCTACAGTTTAAAAGAACTCAATTACGCTTTAAACAATATGAAAAACGGAAAGGCAGCAGGCGTAGACGATTTGTGTACCGAGCAGATTAAAAACTTCGGCCCAGCAACAAAAATGTGGGTTTTGAAATTTTTTCAAGAATGTACCGACAGCCACAAAATCCCGAAATCTTGGCGAAAATCTAAAGTTGTAGCACTGCTGAAACCGGCTAAAGATCCAGGACTGGCCAGTAGCTACAGACCGATCTCCCTGTTGTGTCATTTGTACAAAGTTTACGAGCGAATGATTCTCAGACGCATGGAGAAAATCGTAGAATCGAAACTTATTCCTCAGCAAGCGGGCTTTAGGCCGGGAAAATCATGCACTGGGCAGGTCTTGGCTCTTACAGAGCATATCGAGAGGGGATACGAGGAGAAGCTGATCACTGGAGTCGCTCTTGTCGATTTAACCGCCGCATATGATACCATCATTCATAAACACCTCCTAACTAAAATATATGCTACAATTAAGGATTATAACCTGGTAAAAGTGATCGAGACAATGATGCAGAACCGACGCTTTTGTGTCACTCTGAACAATAGTAAGAGCAGATGGAGAACTCAAAGGAATGGGCTGCCCCAAGGAAGCGTCCTGGCGCCAATGCTATTTAATATATATACCAACGATCAACCTCTCCCTGCCTACTCAAAACATTTTCTTTATGCTGACGACCTGGCAATAGCTGTACAAGATACCAGCTTTCACAGCGTCGAACAAAAACTGGAAGGTGCACTTAACACAATGGCTAGTTACTACGACCGGAACTCACTTAAACCCAACCCTTCCAAGACGCAGGTTTCCGCTTTCCACCTACGCAATAGAGACGCTGCAACAAAGCTTAATATCTTGTGGAGAGGTAGTTTGCTGGAGCATACAGAAAAGCCGAAGTATCTCGGAGTGATACTAGACAGGACCTTGACATATAGGTACCACTGTCAGAAAACTCGCCAGAAAGTCAGCGCTAGAAATAACATTTTGAGAAGGCTAACTGGAAGCAAGTGGGGCGCAAATCCATCTGTCTTAAAAACAACTGCACGGGCTTTATGTTTTTCAACGGGAGAATATGCCTGTCCTGTATGGAATAGATCGAGCCATGCCAAACAAGTTGATGTTGCTTTAAATGAAACGTGCCGAATAACAACAGGGTGTATGAAAGCAACAAGCTTATTTCAACTTTACAGAGCCTCCGGATTTGCAGCTCCCTCACAGCGGCGCAAAGCGGCTGAACACACTGAAAAGTTTAAACAGATGTTCGACGAGCGCCATCCGCTTTTTGGCGAGTTCCAAGGATCAAGCAGACTCCGATCTCGGAAAAACTTTTTAAAAACTGTTCAAGAAGATCCACCGCTTGATTATCCTCTTAGAGAAGAAGATTCTGCAGGCCAACATCTTGATTGGGTCACGTGGAAGTCCCTAAACCGCATCAGAACAGGAGTAGCGCCTGTTAAAACCAACAAAGCGAAATGGGGACTTATCACGGATGAAGACACAAAATGTGAATGCGGCGAAATCCAAAATATGGAGCATCTGCTGTCATGCATAAGATGCCCTCATACATGTACCCTTGAAAATTTATGGAACGCCGATGAAAATGCTTTAGACGTCGCCCGGTACTGGGCTAAAGAATTTTAAATTATAATTGTGCATTATGTACCTATATGGTCCGGATACGAAAAAGAAAGAAAAGAAGACTACATTTTCTGTCTTTTGTAAAAAAATGCCACCACAAGAAAAAAAATTCTCCAAAGCGGACCTACAAAATACCGGGTCCGTCTCAAAAGTGGCTCACCCCTATATTTTTTTTATTTTTTCAGTCAAAAAAACGAGAGTTGGTATGTTAGTATATGACATACCTAAATTAGGATTGATTGACGTATTCAATTGTTTTCGGTCACTTCCTGTTTCACCGGAAATGACTATAACTTTTGATTTTTAAATGGTACCCTTGGAATGTTTTTACTTTATTCGATAGCACACGACACTCTGAATAAAATGACATATCATATGTCAACTTTTGACATTTTCGCACTGAGGTTTATTTGAAATTGTAATATGCGGTCTATAACGACAATTTGACTCTAAACACCAAGTGTGTGGTGTCAAAAATATCCTAAAGAGCCACCCTCGTTCCATTTGAAAAAATTGAGATATTAATAAAAATACGATTTGGGCATCTTTTAACCGGCCAGAACAAGACACTAAAAACATTAGACAAACAAATCTATTTTTCCAAGGCTCCTTGATTAAAAATTAGTGTTTTTAACACAGCCATGGCACTCTATAGCTTGAAATTTAAAATAAAATTTTTGTTCAAGCGAGAACGTCAAAATTTGACATATGATACGTCATTGTATTCAGAGTGTCATTTTCTATCAAATAAAGCAAAAAAAATACCGAGGGTGCCATTTAAAAATCAAAAATTGTAGTCATTTCCGGCGAAACAGGAAGTGATAGAAAACAATTCAATACGCCAATCAATCATAATTTATGTCATATACTAAAATACCAAATCTCGTTTTTTTATCAGAAAAAATAAAAAAAGTTATATGGGTGAGCCACTTTTGAGACGCACCCGGTATACAAGGAGTAGTGATGTAAAGAGCGATATTACGTAATGTTATCGCAAATTCGGTAACATTGGAAATATTGCTTTTTTCTGCTCTAGTCTTTCATTTGCCCAGCTCTAAAATAAGTATGTTGGCTGTAGACACTTTAAATTTACCATCGTCAACAACCGCAACCAAAAGAACCTTTAGTACTTATGGATTTGTTTGTGAAGAATGGCCAACAAATCTCTAGAATGGTGGAGAAACTCACCGGGGCTACTAATAGAGCATTAACAGGGCTAATTTATGGATTTGTTCATCGGTCAAGAAGAAACAGACTTATTGTGGAAAGGGTGGGAAAACTTACTTATATTGCCCAAAATTATAATTTACTAAATGGAGAAGGACATCCAAGAATGGCAGAAGCTGCAAAGAAAGATATGGAAGAATTATCAATCAAAATCAAAATTATCAATTAACGAAAGAAAAAGAAGAACCAGATAACGAGACTGACGATGATTTATCATTATCCACTCTATTACGTACAATAACATAGGCCACTCTGATTGACTAGTTTAAAAAAAACATTCTTGACTTTTTTGTAATGTTTTTGGTTTGCAGTATTGAAATAAAAAAAAAATTATTTAAAAAGCTGTTTTTTATAAATTACCAATTTTACGGAATTTTTGTTTGGAATCCGTAATATTACCGTAATACGGTAATATTACGGATTTATAAATTACCAGTTATTTTACATCACTAACAAAGAGTAAAAAATAAGTTAACTGCATACTATTTACCTCTATACAAAATCGCTTTGTTTGTTCGTTAGAGGGCACAAATCAAAAATAAACCCGAACTTTTGAACGAGTTAATTGAAAATATATGAAGCTTATTGTCCAAAAATCATTTGTAATAATAACATAACATTCCATATTTTAGCCAAGTGGATTTTATGCGCCTAGTTAGCTTGATGTGACGAATAATATTTTCTGTAAGTCAGCTTCGGAAAAACATATTTTTTTTCTCAAAAAGTATGCAAGATGGCGTTTTTTACAAGAGAGTAAAATTTAGTAAGTACTAGAAGGAAATCTACTAATTTTTAAACACGAAGCGTTGAAAAAAATAGGATCGTCTAATGTTTTTCGAATCCTTTTCTAGCTGGTTAAAAGATGCCCAAATCGTATTTTTAATCATAACTAATTTTTTTCAAATGGAATAAGGGTATTAGCCAAAGACATTATAAAGATAGACCGAACATCTCATTCATAAATACTCGTTGGTAGCGTATCAAACATTCCAATGTGTCAAACAAGGACAGAAGAGACAGAGAAGTCTAAAATTTCCGACCCCGGCAACTAGGCGCATTTGGGATTGTTCTAATGGCCAGTGGCGTATCGTTTTTTGGAACGAATTTAATTAGTAAAGTAAAAGTAAAGTAATTAGTAAAATTTTTACTCCATATTAATATACTACATTAACACTTTTTCGTCAGATGAGTTTTGTTATAAGGTCTAATATAATAATACAATTAATATCCCTAAATATACTTATGTTGAAACGTTAGTAGTTTTTGAAAATCACTCCAACGTCGATTTTCAATTTAAACTTTCAGTTACTTCTATATAAACTTTCAGTTACTTTTGAATATTTACAGGGTGACTCAGGCTTCCGAAACAGTTCTATATTAGGTTTGTGGTTGGTGACTTTTCTTTCAATTTTTTTTTCAGAATATGGAGGCATTTAGGCACATTTTAGACATTTTTGTAAACATAGGTGACCGGAACATATTTTCAAACCAAAGTTGTAGATTTGCCATTAAATTTCCATTCCAGAAATACCTAGGGTTGCCACTTGTCCTTTTTTGAAAAGGACAGTCCTCTTTTGGAATAACTTATCCTTTTGACTTTTTTTTACTTAAAAAGTCATTTTTATTTACGTATTTTCCCTGAGAAAATTACCTACAGCAAACAGAAATATTCTTTTCGCCCAAATTTAATTAGGAATGTTATAAAACTTAACTTATAAATAAATTTTTCTTGTTTAGAATAGGCAACATTATTTAGAACTTCCCGTTTAATCTCAAATGATAGTTTAGGTTTTAGTTTTACCTTTTTTATCTTAAAAATAACTTTTCAAAATTAGTACCTAGTAACGATTTAGTTAGTTCGCAATCGATAGCTTCCTGTGAAGTACTGTGTAATAGTTGTTTAATCTTGTATTAATAACTTCCTATACCTAAAATCAATATTTAATGAGAAAATTGTGTTTTTTTTTGAAAATATAAGACAAGATTTGACTTTCGGTCTTCTTCTTGTATTATGATGGCTCTGATACGAGGCAATTGCCTTTCAGTCTCGCAATAGAAGGCATTTATCATTAAAAGTATAAAATCTGTGTGCTACAGTATGGGATTTCTGTCGCATAATAATGAATACCTATTACGTTTATTTACAAATCCATTACTTTTAAAGGTAGCTTCATCAGATAATCAAATTTTAGTTAAATGTCCTAATCTTCATGAACTGTATTAAGCATATGTATTGCTGTTTGAATCACCCTGTATGTTAACAAAAAAGTTTTGAAAATGTGCATTACAATGGCCACCATCTTATGTAAAAATTGAAAAAAAAAAATCACAAACCAAAGACGTAATAGGTAAAAAGCTTTTTTGGAGGCCTGGGTCACTCTGTATATAGGTATGTATAAAACTAGTAGCCTAAGAATTATTTACAGTTCGTCCCATTCTAAAAAAAGTTAAACACACCGTACAAATAACTCTAGGAAGATGTATTTGTACGGTGGTAAAAAATTGTCTAAACAAGGCCGAAGGGGCAGATATAATAAAGCAATAAAATGTAAAAAAGTCGGGTAAATACCTTTGTTTATTTATTGAGCAAAATTCCTTTAGAATATCGTATATAATGACCAAAATAGGACGCAATTTTAAGAAAAAAATGTCACTTTCTGGCTTATAATAAAGTTTCAAATGTAACGTTTATATTCAATTTTTTTATGATCTACAACAGTTAGGTAGTAATTGAGACGAATTATAATTCAATTACCGGCTACTACGTTCTTGTTTTAATAGATCAAAATTCAACAAATATAATTAGAAATTATTTTAATTGTGAGAGGCTCCCTTGTGGGACGCCTATGTACGATTACGGCGCGGCGGAAACAATACCTACCTGTGAAAAGACAAATTCGGGTAATTTGAGCTTATTTGTCCACACATTTGGCACTGTCGTACCATATTGAAAATTCGCAGATTCAAAAGTACATTAAACAAAAACAAAAACTACTGAAAAACACTGAAAAGTTCACTTCGGACTTGATTCCGACTTCAAACACACCGTAAGCTAAACCTTTGGCTAAACGTAGTACGCTATAACGGACCATAGGCCGTCGCGAGGGGTGGTGGGACGGACGGCTCATTTCATTCTGGAAGACTAGCAGCGACGTTGCCAGTAGTTCTAGACGTTTCAGCACATTAAACAGTAAACATGTCTTTTAATAGTAACGCATATATCCTCTGGTTAATAACATATTATTACGCATGCTTCTTTAAAAATAAACTATTAATTTAATTAAGAAATTGAGATTTATTGATATCCGGTGAAGGTTTTAAAGTCACCTTTTCTGCAAATCAAACTAAGTAGATAGGCGCAAATTTGATATGTGGCAATGTCGCCTTCTCTATCTCAGTTGATTTTTACAGTACGTAGTCAACTTCCGAATGTTTGATCGGGTTAAAATGCATAATGTGATATCTGTTCTTCCTAAATCTATGGTATTAGCATATTTGGAAAAAGCATTTTTTACGAATAATTTGGTACCACATAATTGGTATTTCGAGTCAAACTGTCGTTATATTTATTACCATGGCACTCTAGACTGAAATTTAAAATACTACTTTCTTAATTACTAATTCTACTTCCGTAATACTACTTCCAGCAAATAAAATAAAAAAATACCTAGGGTGAGATTTAAAAATCAAAAGTTGTAGTAATTTCCGGTGAAACAGAAATTGACGAAAACCAATTGAATACCGCTCTTTATAACTTCTATATTTTTAACACATGTATGTAGTTGTGAATCAACAAAATGGATCGTCCATCCTATCTTGGTTACCAACTTACCTTGGCTCTGTTGATTAATTCCTACAGGGGGGCCGTTATTAAACACATCGGCGGTGAGACGTTCGAAATCATGGTCGCTAAGCAACGGTCCCGATTCTGGTACCTGGAGCTTGTTGGTAATTTCGCCAGCATTGGGCTGACCTTGATGTTGTTTCTCCTGTTCTCGTTTTTCTTGTTCGAGTAATTCCTCGAGCAACAACGGCTGTTCCTGCTTGTTAAAAATATAACCAGTTATTTTCTGTTCTCATAGGTCGACTAACATATACATGCATAGTGAGCTTTGAGAATGAGGAGTTATTTAAATGTCTTACCAAAAAAAGGCTTGTATAGGAAATAGTTCAGTATAGTAATATATTATAAAATATAATGGGTATATCAAATATTTCAACGTCCTCTACGAAATATTAGCGTAAGTTCAATAATAAAATTTACCTGCTTAATTAATGAACGTGTACAAACTAATGATTAAAATATAATTTGCAAACTTTACTAATATCATGTTTCGTTAGTTCATGTTACGATCGTAAAAAAACGGCGTCAAAGACTGGGGTATGACAATCGATGATAATTTTGGTAAGGTCAAGCCCTAAACGTCGTCAGTACTTGGCCTGTACTATTCTTTATTTTTTGATTACTGCAAGTTGTCCTTAAGACGGTTGTAATTTATTTTTATATTTTAAATAAATTTTATTCTTGGTTTGAGGTCAGGTGTAAATAAATATTTTAGAGATTTAATCCATTATTTATTATTTATTGATAAAATTAAAAAAATAATTTTATGACATTTCGACCATCAACTTGGTCTTTTTCATAATGAGTAATAATCTTCTACTTCTTCCATCTTAAACGTAGATTTGTTACTTTTTGTTAAAACTTATCCTAGTTTTTAAAAGTCAATAAAACGTGCACACATAGACAACATATATACAGGTACATCATAGAATTTTATCTACTATTAAGTAGCCCGATGGAATAACAAATCTACGTTCAAAATGGAACAAGTAGAAGATTATTACTCATTATGAAAAAGACCAAATTAATGGTCGAAACGTCATAAAATGATTTTTTTAAATTTTACCAATAAATAATAATTAATGGATTAAATCTCTAAAATATTTATTTACACCTGACCTCAAACCAAGAATAAAATTTACTTAAAATATAGGTATTTCATAAGGTTAAAGAATAATTGGAACTAAAATAAAAAAAAATATTTTTATATTGAGTGAAAATGATTTTTAAATAGCGTAGTTTAAAATTTGAGAAAAACTATTTTTTTGAAAATAGATTTGTGTGTATGAAAAAGTTCTATTCTTTTTTAATCTTTCTATAATTAGTGTTAATTTTTGACAAGTTTTATGTCAAATTTTAGTAAATGATATCTAGAGGTTGAATTCGCCAAAATGATCATTAATTGACATTCCCCGGCCGTTTTTGGCGCCGCGCCGTTTTTTTCGATCATATATCTATAATATAATATCGGTTTGTAGTATGTCTGTCCAAGGAGATGGATACATGATGGCTGAACATTTGTTTATTATTTATATTATTACAATATATGTAATGACAGGTAAATTTAATTTACTGTAATTTTGGAATTTCGTTTGTAGAAATGTTCCCAACTGACTTGTTTGGACAGACTTCACTATATTCATACTAAGTAAACTGAGATTTGCGAATATTAATTGTTTTCTAATAAGAACCAGCTTTAACTTTTTGCTGTAATTCCATGTTTTAGTGTATTTTTATTATAATGTATAATGAATACCGATACAATTTAACAAAATTAGTGGCACCCTTGTTGACTATTCCATCAAATGCACATAAATATCGTCATTATTATTGTCGACTGCTTAAACTAGTGAACAATAATATGGAATTTAGTGAAAGTATAATTTGAATTGAACTTTACAATAAAAATGAATATGTTTAACTATAGTAAAACACTAGATTATCTGAACGAAAAAATATGGCAAAGTTCAATACCGCCACAATTGCACAGTTAGCCACTATTAGCGTAGACGTTTGACATTTACATGCGTCTAATTTAAAGTTATAGTACTACAAAATAGCGTTGGCTGGTTTTTGAAGTCTGTAAACCCGACCTTAACCTAACTTCTTATTTCTGTTTTGTAGTTTTCGGTTAAGTAACATGATAGTTACAAATTAGTTTTTAAATTATACTTAAATATAAAAAATTAAGTAAAACCTTGAAGAGGTAATTCTTGTTTGCCTCCCATATTATTCAAAAATAAGCGACTCATAGGAGCAACTATAATTATAATTTTTGGATAAGAACATATTAAATTCTTAAATAATAAATTCAACTATGCTAGGTACCATAAATAGTAATATTTAAGAAAAAAATATACTTTAAGTTAATTATCATTTATATATACTTTTAATATACAGGGTGGTCCGAACTGTATTCCGGAAAATTCGGCAGCATATTCTGCAGATAAAAATAAGTAAAAAAGTTCGGTATAAATGTCTGTCGTAAAATACTTAGTTTCGGATATACAGGGTGTAGAAATTTCATTTTTATTTCGATTTTTTTCAAATAATTTCTGAAGTAACGTCAATATTTAGATGAAAATTGGTGTCTAGTAGTTTTTTGATATGAGAAATTTGATTTTGATATCAATATGATTGCTACTGGTAGAGGGCGACACCTACATGTGTTTTAACTGTTTTGAAGCGTAATAACTTTTTGTCCGTACCTGTATAAAACTACCGAGGGAAAAAATATACATCTCTGTGACTTTTTACGTAAATAATATCTCTTTGTAAAAATCGCTACGAACAACCGTTGTCAAGATATTTAGAATGGAAATAGTCACACGTTGAGTAGATATTTATTTCACTGAAATAATTAATTTGGAAAATTTTTATTTTTTTAAATTAATCATAAATTTTTCTGCGAAAAAATGAGGATAAAACAGTTTCTGTTGAACTTTTGGCACAAAAACTTTAAAATTTATGATCTCAGTCTAACAACTATTTAGTCAACATGTTTAATTTATGTCAATGATGACAGGTATTGAAAATTTCGATTCCAAATATCTCGAAAACCAATACTCGTAGCGATTTTTACCAAGAGACATTTTTTACGTAAAAAACGCCGGAAATGTATATTTTTTTACTCAGTAGTTTTATACAGGTACGGACGAAAAGTTACTCCCAGATACCAATTTTGATCCAAATATTGACGTTCCTGCAGAAATTATTTGGAAAAAATCAAAATAAAAATGAAACTTGTACACCCTGTATCTCCGAAACTAAGTATTTTAGGACATATATTTATACAATTTTTTTTACTTATTTTTATCTGCAGAATATGCTGCCGAAGTTTCCGGAATACAGTTCGGACCACCCTGTATTTCACAATTATTGACAACATAACGTTTTCGACATGTCAAAATACCGCATAGCGTTTGTAAAGGTCATTATCGCATAAACGCTTATACATTTTAACTGTCAAAGTTGTCAAAACATCGCGTCCCTTTCTACCGCGTTTCGTAGCCATACCTCTTGAATATTTAACCATTTAGCAAGAGAATAAGTAGAGGGAGAAGGTTATATTTGCGCCAGGAGAAGAATCAGGAAGTGACATCAGACAAAAAAAACATTAAAAACTGCATAAATACTGCTAATAAACAAGAAGAAAAAAACGGTAAAAACTAGGAACAAATTGCCAGGTATTAATTTAATCTTTTCCCTTATGCTTCTTAGATTTTTTCAGCGCTTTTTCTTGAATATTTCTGTTTTTTTTTCTTGTTTATTAGCAGTTTTTTATTTTGTTATTAACATTTTCCGACTTCACTTCCCGTTCCTCTTACTGGCGCAGATTCAGCCTTCTCTACTCTATTTTTTTTCCTAAACTCGGTAATGAAATGTTACCCCTTTGTTAAAAAAAATACTGTAATTTATTCTATACCGTGTGTTGCATCGTCGACCTGAAAATAGGAGATCCCATGTAAATTTTGAAAATTATGAATATTTGAAAAGAATTTGATGATTGAAATGATGCATATTTCAAGTTTTCCCCATTTTATTTTACAGAAAAATTTATTTATTAGTAAATTAAACATTAACGCAATCTACTGCTAGTGCCAGTGGTGTGTGTAAAAATAATTATTATTATTTGCCATTTATTTTAGGAATTTTAGTTGATTTGTGTATAGATTTTTATATTGTAGTTTTGTGGTTACTTGTGTCACTTTTATGTGTTATAATTATAATATAACAAATAATTATAATTATACATGGTGTCCCACAATTAGTACGACAAACTGAAAGGGGTTGTAGAGGGCATCAAAACAAGTCATTTTAGTATAGGAACCCATGTCCGGAAATGTGCCGTTTTGGCAGGAGGTGGTGTGAAACGTAAATTTCAAGTTGCATTATTTATTCAAAACATTTACTAAAACTGCTCAAAGTGCCGTCCATTCTGTTGGAGACACAAATGCACACGCCTGGACAACCCCTTTCAGTTTGTCGCACTAATTGTGGAACACCCTGTATTATAGACTAGTAAATATTACTAACTGCTAACCCAATTTTAGGACATGATTTTTTAACTTAGTTACGAGCGCTGGGAGTAAAAATTCAAGGCCGTGACAACCGAGCTAGCGAGCCGACACACGAGCAAGTGGTAACGGCTTAGAAATACTTAGCACAGATAACACATAATCCAGATGGCTCCTTACGTGTTAAAAATTGTCACCCCAATTTCACTCCAATTTGGAAAAATATTGGAGTGACGTTTGAATAATCTGAAATTTTTAGATTCCTTTTCTAACTTTTTTGGGAGGTTTTGCTTCTCTTGCACAGATGTCGCTTGCACTTCAGTTGCGTGGTTGCCAAACGTTATATCGAAATATATTTCATTTCATTATGAATATATAAAATTAAAAATTATGTAATTTATAAACATGAAATAGATATGGATGTTAGGTAATACCGGATGTTAAATTAATATATAAATATTTAACTTAATACGTACATTATTATTTTATTAATTTATCGTCACACGTCATTTACCAGTTGCCTAATTACGAAAAGTTTCATATGATATTAACCTCAAAATGATCTTTGAAAACAAACAACAACAAATAACTCAAAGAAATAACTACATACTACATAATAATAACTGATAATAATGACTTTTAACGGTATAAAGGCTGATGAAGGTAATTATAAACATTATTTTGAGTTTGTTTAATAAAATATAGGATACAATATAACTAAGCAAAATCAAACAGTTTTAGACAACCAATACAAGATTCAGAACTCGGCATCGCGATAAACAAGTAAAATTGTACATTCAGGAACTCGTTTAAATATTATAGGTAAGTAATATTTTCACAAAAGTAAACATAAAGTAATATAGAATATTACCTGTGATAAAATGTTAATTAGTGACGTATATTTATTCTAATCACATTTAAATTTAAACTCAAAATTTTCATAAAGAAAATGATAATTTTTCATAGATATAAAGTAAATAATATTACATATTTCAGGTTGATTGAAGAATAATCTACAATTGATTAGAGCCTATGACGATGCGAATATAATTAATCACCTAACTTTAAGAAACCAGCCTAAAGAAGTTTACATGCATCTCATCTAACCATTATAGGTAATAATTTACAAAATTAGTCATTTTTGATTATAATATTATGGTACTTAGGTACATTTTATCTTCTAGATCAGTAGTGATTTTTCATAATTTGAATGAACTCACAGATAGCAATGGGGCACCGCACCGAGCAGTATTACAAAATGTGAAATAAAACTGTAGTACATATTGCTCTATAAAATTTAATAGAAATAAATTTATTTATGAAAATTAATGAAGTTTTATCTTTCCTAGGAAAAAATAACAATTATATTTTGAACAATTAATTTAGAACATTAGAGTTAAAAAAATATATGTGTTAGAAATTGTAACACATATTTTTTAACTCTATGTTATTCTAACTTAGAATAACATATTTTTAATAAAATTGCGCTTATACTTTATACTTTTTGCTATTATATCAATAAGAACTAACGTAAGGAGCAATTCATTTATACTATAAACACACATGCATATTTTTGATCTTTTTAAAACCAGTGAATAATGTTGAAATATGCTACACCTATTAATTCTTATTAACTAACTTTATAGCTAGACAGTTGAAAATTTTACAGATAATGTATCTATGTTGCCGCTATAAGAACAAATACTAAAAACAGAATTAAATAAATGTTTATAAATAAAAAAGTACTTTCACTAAACATTATCGTTTAAGTAAGAATTTTACACAGAATATATAAGTCCTCGAGTGGCCGTGTGGTTAAAGGCGTTAGGATTTGAAGGCGTTGAGACGTAGTGAGGCAGGTTCGAATCGTAGGCAAGGTGACTTTTTCTTAATCTTTTTTTTTATTTTTACATATTTATTTTTACTTATTTATTATTGATTAATACAATTTTTAGCAATGTATTTCTTCATTTTTTTAAATTACTTACAAGCGCATTCAAAATTTCAGCTAAATCGGAAAAAAGTTTACAATAATATAATGTCTGATGTTGTATAGATAATGTGTGAATGGTACATTCAATGATAATGAACCCTTCGTGCGCGAGTCCGACTCTGCACTTGGCCAATTTTTTTTATTAATTGAAACGTTTAGAATTTGAATATTCGTTCAAAAATTTTTTTTAATAAATTTATTTATGATAAACAATTTATTAATGAAAATAATATGACCGAATTTCCTGGAAAGTTTTTCAAATTTGTACATATGAAAACCTAGCTTTACCACTTATCATAGAAAATCTCTATTCCTTCCCTTATCACGGAATAATAAAGGAACGAACCATATGCGACAAAGATAGAAGATTTAGATATGTCGTTACTGTCTTTTGTTTTTAACGGATATTTTAAAAGGCGGGTAATTTAACTTTGACTGTCTTTGATTATAACTGTGTGTGATTAGTGATAATAAAATTATTATTAAAATGTCTGGTAATAAGTGCCAATTTTATAATTGTGGGATTTCTCGGAAATCAGGTGTACATATGTTTAAGTTTCCTGCGTCAAGAGATCCTAATTTATGTACAAAGTGGATAGAAAATTGTGGTGAGTTCATTCATATAGAATTTTTTTGCACATTTTGTATGTAAAAATACGGCGTTAAGTTACCTTAGAAATGGTGATCGATGGCTTTTACCATATACCGTATGATCGGAAAAAAACGGCGTCAGCGATGGCTATGAAATGAAGATCGCTGTCATTTGATATGTAAAATTATATGGGGAATGTCATCGACCATCATTTCCAAGCCAATCGGACGCCTTTTTTTTTTGATCATACGGTATAATTTAACACATTAAGAATTGTCCATCGTTATTTCTTTATCTATGCAAAGTTTATGATGGATAAATCAAGTAATTAAGTGGATATAAATTATAAATGAATCAGTGAACATAAACTGTTATAAATTATAAGTAATGCAATTATTGAATATACCATACGATCGAAAAAAAAAAAACGGCGTGGGAGTGGGCTTGGAAATGAAGCATATATAGATTAATTGAAAGCATTTTATAAAATATATAGTTATACAGGGTGTCCCCAAAAAAGTTATACATTAAAGTTGTTTTTGTAATGGAATACCCTATATATTAATTGATTTTTTGGATTCAGGAAAAAATAAAGGTGTGTTTTATTAAAGAAGCATGTGCCTAGAATGTAAGGATTTTGACATATTTCACATTTTGTGAAAATGAAGAATAAAATTTCAATTTCAATAACAGCTATCTATATTGTAATTTATCCTGTATAGCCTGATATTTAGTTACAATAACCATAATATGTTAAACCAAATTAAAATGTGACAGGAAAAGTTATACAGGGTGGGACAAAACTTATATTGAACATTTATCACTTTGAAAAGCAAGTTACTCCTTTATTTTAAATGGAACACCCAGTATATTATTTCCGTGTTCAATAGGGAATTCATATATCTTCAAAATATTATTAAGGTTGCCTACCCCTCTAACAAAGATTTTCCTAGATACTTTCATTTTTATGATTTTGCGTCAGTAGATCTTTATTATTTGAAAAAAATCTAGGTGGCTGTGTTAATTTATCAAAAATTAAAGGATGTAGTATAAAATACTGTAATAAAAAACATACGTTTAAAACATATATTAATTATCACAGAATTAAAATTAGATATAAATGTATAATTATATAACAAAAATTTGAATCTAAAAAGTAGAATCATATCAATTCTTTCTGATGTAGGATAAGTTTCTATTTTCGGAAAATTTCTTAGATTTTTTTGTTTCAACTGACGAACTGACACAAAATAATAACTAGTTGCTAAAGTTAACTAATTTGACAGCTATGTTGAAGTAACGTCAGACATATCACAGCCACCCTAGATTTTATCAAATAATAAAGATCTATTCACACTAAATCATAGAAATGAAAATATCTAGGAAAATCTTTGTTTGAGGGGTAGGCCGGCAACTTTAATAGTATTTGGAAGTGACATGAATTTCCCATTGAATATCGGAATAATATTCTGGGTGATTCAATTAAACTAAAGGAGTTATACAGGGTGGGTAATAAAGGAGTTATACAGGTTATACCAATGTTCAGCATTAATTTTGCCCCACCCTGTATAACTTTATGGGTCAGGGTTTAATTTGATTTAAAGTGCAATAGAGTAAATTCCAATTTAGGTAGTTTTTCTTGAAATTTAAAAATTGTTCTTCAAAATCTTAAGTAAGTCTAAAACCTTACATTTCAGTCATATACTTCCCTAATAAAATACACCTTTATTTTTCTCTTAGAATCTAAAAATTAATTAATAAAGGGGGTATTCCGTTACAAAAAAACACAAATTTGATGTGTAACTTTTTTTGGGGACACCCTGTAGAACGCTCTATATTTTTAAAACGTGCGCAGAATTAACTTACATATGCTCACAAAATTTCATTTTAATACGAACTGGTCGTTCTCCTTGGAGCCTCCGAGTCGTATGAGAGGCGCCACCCTGTATAATTTTTATATAGTTGCACTTTAATAAATTGTTAGTTAAAACTAACAGTCCTACGAGTGTGGAATTTTGTACAGGTGGATTTTGGACATTCATCTCCTAAGAGAGTGAAATAAGGGATGAAAATTTGTACAAACATTTGTTAAAATCGGGTTTAGAAGTATGAAATTCTGTTTGTTCCTTATGTAACGTAATTTAGCAATAACAAGCAATTTTTTTTCGTCCACATCTCATTTCACCCCGTTAGAGGGCGAATTTCCAAAAATTGTTCCTGAGTGCTAAATTACGTTACATAAGGAACGTCTGCGCAAAATTTCATACTTCCAAAACCGATTTTAATGAATTTTTGTACAAATTTTCATCCCTTAATTCTTATGGGGCGAATGCCTAAAATTCGCTTCTGAGTACTCACTTTCATCACTTGAGGAACCTCTGTGCAAATTTTCATACTTCTAGGACAGATTTTTTTCAGAAAGTTCACCCCTCATTTCACCCCCTTAGAGGGAAAATTTCGAAAAATTGCTTCTTAGTGCTAAATTACCTTATATAAGGAACGTCTGCGAACAATTTTATACTTCTAAAACCGATTTTAACAAATTTTTGTACATATTTTCATCCCTTATTTCTTAAGGGATGAATGCTAAAATTCGCTTCTGAGTATAACTTTCATCACTTGATGAACCTCTGTGCAAATTTTCATACTTCTAGGACAGATTTTTTTTTTTTCAGAACGTTCACCCTTCATTTCACCCCCTTAGAGGAAAATTTCCTAAAATTGCCTCTTAGTGCTAAATTAAGTTACATAAGGAACGTCTACGCAGAATTCATACTTCTAAAACCGATTTTAACAAATTTTTATACCAATTTTCATCCCTTATTTCTTAGGGGATGAATGTCCAAAATTTGCTTCTGAGTACTCACTTTCGTCACTTAATTAACAATTTCCAAATTTCAAACTCCTCGGACTAATTTTAAAAAAGTATGCAAAATTTCACCCCCAGTTTCACCCCTTAGTAGAAGAATTTCCTAAAATCGCTTTGTATAATCGAACTGTTAAGTTACGCTACTTAAGGCACCTCTGTGCAAAATTTCGTAGTCCTAGGACATGCTTTTTTTTGTATACAAAAGTACCCCCCATATCACCCCCTTAACGAGCGAATTTCCAAAAATTGCCCCTTAGTGTTCAATTACGTCAGTCAAGGAGCACTCGTGAAAAATTTCATACTCTTAAACCAGATTTTAACAAATTTTTATGCAGCTTTTCATCCCTAATTTCACCCCCTTAGCGGTCGAATTTTCAAAAAATCCCTTCTTAGTGCTCATTTACATCACTTAAGGAACCTATGTGCCAAATTTTATTTATTACTATATAGATAACCTTTACCCTTATTTTCAGCTAATGAATATTAAGAGACAAATAATAAAAATAAAATCTAAATTATAAATTTCATGGCTATAAATAGCATATATATTCATCTAGAAATTCTGACTTTCAAACATCCACTGCGACTAGTATTTTCATATCCAATTGTATAGTATTAAAGTCCGAATATACATTTTCCCTGGGTTTGACCGGGAATTTGCTTATAAATATGAACAACCGGCTACGTCGCTTCACATCGCGTGGCCGTGGTGTGGCTCGAAATTCGTTCGTTTTAAAAATATTATTAGATTTGGCTATAGGCGCCCTCTGTGTCATTAATAGGGAACTGTCTCATCGAAAACATGCTGTTCCGTAAGCAATGGCCATCTGGATTATGTGTTATCTGTGTACTTAGTGATACGACGCAGCCCACGTGTTTATGAAAAATATTGATATTTTAATACAAATTTTGTAAATGTGAATCAAATTATTACGTGTAAAAAAAATTGTTACACGTAAAAAACTATTTGTTACAAGCAAAAAACTATTTGTTACACTTAAAAAAACTATTGCACAAAAAACGATTTTTTCTTCAAATATGTCGTTCAAATACTTCAATTTAATAGAATATTCCTAAACAGTAGATGCTCTCTATAAAAATATTTTTTGATAATATCCTAAAATGAAGAAAAAAATGCATACTATTTAATTAATTTTTTTGTATTATTAAATATTACGTCGCCCTATGACGGTGTCTCATCTTAGAAATCGCTAAAGACGCTACAGAAAACAAACTGATTTGTTTTCATTTCCGTCTTTTGCGAGACGCGGTGCGGCGAGCGCTACACGTTTTTGGTCGGGCCACTCCTATATTATAATCCTGTTATTTTATTTTAGTTGCAAAAGACGATTCCAAAAAGCAAAATTAGCGTTCTGCGTGGCAGTGGACTTAAAAAGTTTTAAACAATATTTTCTGTAAAATAAAATAAGGAAAGCTTAATCATTTTTAAAATTTACATGGGATTTCCTATGTCCAGGTAGGCGCGCGGCGATTCAACAGACTGTAGATAATCATAATGTAAGGCTATTAATAAAATCTCCCCTGACATCATCCCCACTACATAAGCAAGTGACTAGCAGATCTCACCTCTAGTAGAAGCGGTCTCCTCTGAAACGGAGGGGGTCCAGGATAGACCGGCAGACCCACGGGATAGGCGTGTCCCATATGATGATAGACACTCGGCCCCATTCTCAATCCCATCTACCACACACATGCAATTAACAGTTAGCCATACCAGCCTCAACCAATGTTAGTGTAAAAGCAAACAATACGTTGTTTAATTTAATTATCGAGACATGTATAGAAAATAAATAAGGATTTTTTAGATTTTTGTTTCGGTGACGAAAGACGCATCCTTTTTTCGAAAAACGAATATAAATAATTTGAATCTAAAGAAAGAAGTTAATGTGACAATTTATTTTATGCCAACACGACAAAAAATCAATAAAAAAAACTAGAATTAATTTTGCAGTTAGCGACTTGTCAGCAATATGCTTGCCATGAGTAACTCAAAATTTCTGAATTACTGAATACTGAGGTTTCAAGTACAACTCTGTAAAGGGTGTCCTATTGGGGAAATTTGAGGGTAACTATTGGGATCTCGGCTACCCTAAGAGATACCAAAAGGTCAATCTATGGCAATGTTAAGCAATAAATGACCAATAAAATGTCGACTTGCAAATTAAAATATTTGAATATATCCTAAGACGTTCGAAAAAAAAAACGAAATATTGTAAAAACGTTCTTAATTTTCCTAAGTTTAGTTGAAGAGATATTTTAAATCAAATATGCCATCACTTTTTTCTCGTTATTTTTGACATTTTTTGTTATACAGACCAGAATTTTTATTTTCCTTTTGAAAAGTTCTTTTTGACCTCCGAAATGCAATCATCTATCACACTTACCCAAAAACGTTACTAAACATTCTATTCTTTCTATAATTAATGTTAATTCTTGACAAGTTTTATGACAATCTTTAGTAAATGCCGTTTTTGACGCGGTTTTTTCTCGGTCATACGGTATTTATGAGGTTAGAAGTTTTTAAAAAATATATAAAAAAATCCCATTCCTTATTTAAAAAATAGGGATTATGAACGATCATGATAGATGCTAGTTTCCGAGATACCTCGTATTTGACATATAACAGGCCCATGATAAAAAAGGAAAAAGTGACAATAAAATGGCATTTATTTTAAAATATCCCTAAAAATAAAACTAGACAAAATTAAAATCATTTTACAAAATCTTTTCTTCCGAATAACTTCGTCAGTATTCAATTTTTTTTAATTATCATAACGTCAATGTATTAACATAAAATTGCGAAAATTTGCCCTAATTTGATATCCTCCGTAGTTTTCGACATTACAATAATTAATTGTCACCCTCGGATTTGGAACACCATTGTACTTTTTAACCCATGATTTAAATCTATTATATAAAAATCGATTAAATGGCGGTTTGTACATCGATTTCCTTATTACTAGGTATAAAAGAAGTATATCGATATTAAAATTTTCTAGTCAGTATAAACCCATCTTGAATGATATTAGCAATGGCTGTTATATTTTAGCTATAAAATTTATAACTCATACATAATTATGTGGTTTATTATCTTGAGCAATCTTTTCTAAAAATATTATTAAAATTTTGAAATTTGCTAGTTATTAATATAAACGATATATTTAATATATTCCAAATATATATTTTTTAATAAGTTTTAGGAACAAATTTCAACTACAAATATGTAGAACAAATCCACATTAAACACCCTAGAGTAGCGAAACGACAAGAATTACTTAAGTATACAAACCCTAATAGAACAAAGAAAGAAGCAAATTTTAAAATTACGTATTATTTTATTATTGACCAGTTATACAGTGGCTGCCGAAAAGTTCCCAACACAGAAAAAATATTACTGAATTTGGAAAGAAAGTTGCTGATATTTTAACATGTCATGAGACTCATGAGTCAAAACTATCATGACGGCAATTTACAAAAATGTCTTTTAAATATTTAAAACGTGAATGGAAATAAAAAAAATCCAAGTCTCAACAAGAAATTGCGTACAAAATTAAATTATTTCTAATTCTAATAGTATTTTCTGTAATTTTTTGAATGTCATCGGTCGAAATATTCCCTGACTCGTTATAGTACGAGAGCTAGCAACGTCGGAAAAACAAGTATTTTAAGACGTCTGGCTCCCGTCTGGCTGCCGGTAAACGTTGCGTTCCCTACTGCCCATTGAAGGAAGATCCTATATTTTTGTTAGTCCTTTAAATTCTAGTATTGAATATAAACCGACCGAGTCTCCATAGGTCAGTGCGTAGAGGCTCCGCCTATCAAGCGAGGAGTCAGAGTTCGAATCCGGGTCAGGGCAAAATCTTTTTTATTTTATTTTCGTTTATATTCTGATAGTAAAGTATTAAATATTTGTTTTTTTTTTGAATCACCAGAATTATTTAATATTTTACTATCAAAATATAAACGAAAATAAAATAAAAATGTCTTTGCCCTGACCTGGATTCGAACTCTGAATCCTCGGTTTGTAGTCGGAAACTCTATGCACTGCGCTATGGAGACATGTTCGATTTATATTCAATACTAGAATTTATAGGACTAAATTAAAAAAAAACATATATAGGATCTTCTTCCGATGCGCAGTAGTGAACACAACGGGTATCGGCAGCCAAACGGGCCGCATACTGTTCCAGAGAGCATAGTAAAAGATATATCAAAGAGCCAGCTTTCTTAAAATACTTTCTCGAAAACGTTGCTAGCTCTTAGACTATTAGACAGACTACAACTACCCGAAAACGCCACAGTTTGTAAATCATAAAATAAAGACATAGAGTCCACATATGCGATAGTTTAATTTCAAATGAAACCAATGACTAAAAAACAGTATAAAAAGTCCCAAATGCAATAAAAATAAGTTCTAGAACAAATTGTAAAAAACAAATAATAATTTTCAGAACAACGGCTTTGTTACAATTGCTTATAAAAAGAATAATAAAAATTAAGATATTCAAAAATAATTTAACGCCGCCGGTGCCTAAAGCTTGATTTTCATGCATCCGTTAAGTCGGAGTCTCATGCATCCGAAATCCGATGACACGACGATCCGACGGTGCTCCTATTGGTCGAAATATTTTGACAACAATTTTTATCCGATAATTTTAACTAATCATCCGACGTCGTATAAAGTTAAATTTTGTTTAACTTTTGTACGATATCGTCTGTTTTTTAACCTCACTTTTTTTGAAAACATTTGTTTTTAAAAACAAGTTTAGTGGGAAGTGGGCAATTTCGGGATATTTGGCGAGGAAGTTATTTTTATAAGTGTTTCTCCAATAAAACATGACATGAATCTCTATTCAGCGCAGCAGAAAAATGTTATAACTGTCAAATTTCGGAACGAACCTTCGGATGTATGTGACAGGCTTTTTTTATTTCACACGATAACTTCAAATTTCGGATGTCGTACCATCGGATTTCGGATGCATGAGACTCCGGCTTTATACGTTGATACGATGGTCCGACGGTGCTCTGATTGGTAATAGCGTTTTTGCGCCACTTGTCATCCGTAAATATTTTACTTCAGCCCGTCAATGGACCCGTTCATACGATAACGGACGTTTTGACACTTTTTTGATAAACTTAATCTAACCTTAATAAAAATATAAGTAAAATAGCAAAATCGTTATGGAAACGAAAATATAAAATGACACCAACGTATATCCGATAAACGGAGGCATGAAAATGCAATAAATTTAAAAACTGCGTGATTTTCTAACCAATCAAAGTCTTTAAATTCTACCAATAAAATTAATATCGTATCAACGTACCGTCGGACAACGGATGCATGAAAATCAAGCTTAACTGGTAAATATTTCTGATCGCGGGAGCGAACGAGCGGCTCGACGAACAAATAACCCCAGAGGTTTAAATGCAGGTAGAATGTAGAATGATTGGGAGAAGGGTTAATCACTGCGACCTTACAGATCTATTGTGTGCCCCCTTTCTTCAGTTTATAATACAGTCTCAGGGCTTTGACAAAAATCAGTATCGAGACGGCTTCATAGAGGCTAGTTCTCCATCTCCGATATCAGTCGTACCAAAGTTTATGGCACGAATGGTTGTCGTCTCGGCGTACTCAGTGATGATGTGTTCTGGTGTTTCTCCCTTTTTCCCCACAGAATCTGCATTCGTCGTTGTTTCTTAGCTTCAATCTACTGACATGTTCGTTGAGGAGACAATTCAAAAACTGTTCTTACTTAAATCACGGAAAATCTTTTATTTTTCTCGCTCATAAGTTCTTAGGCCGTTGGAGGATTTCCATTCCATGTTATGGATGGAGTCTTCCAGGTTCTCGAGTTCCGCTTCAAGTCGGTTTTCACTAGGAAAACAGCACGGTTCTGGTCCAGTTAGTGGAGTGTTCGTTCCTTTTCTAGCTAGATCGTTTGCTTTTTCATTGCCTTCTATCTCTGACCCCCCCCCAAGATTTTTATCTCTATACTTATAGGATACCTAATCTGTGATCAAACTGTCGGTGTTGACATTAGAACTTTTTGGTTGATTATTATTTCAAATGAAGTTGAACAGGAAATAGAACCAAAACAAAATTAAAAAGCGGCCTACTTTTGTTAGAAATAAAGCCGAAATTTATCCGAATTGTTTTCTGTTATGATCTACTGTGTGTTTGTAGGACTGTCTCATCTTTCTATTCCTAACGACCCTTAAAGGTTGATTCTCACTATACCTCCAATATCAGCTCCCTTCCGTTTCCCCTTCCGTTTACATAAAATATTATATCATGTAAATGAATAGGACAATGCACACTATCCGTTCCGTTTCCCTTCCTTTTCATATCCTTTCCTTCCATACATTTTTTGGCGGACGGACTGAAGCGTATCGGAAACAGCGTTGTCAAATTCTTACATGTGTACCAGCTCTGTTAACATTTTGATGATATTAATTGATTTTTATTCTTTCGCCTCTCAATTAAATATATTACCTTTTTCAAAAGATACAAATTTTTAAAATAAAATTTTCGTAATGATATAAATTGCACAATAAAAAGTATGGAACTGATACGGAACGGAAGCTCACGTATAGCGTCAATACAATAAAAAATACGGAACGGATATGGAATGGAAACGGAAGGTATAGTGAGAATCAACCTTAATGTTTCCACAAATAATACGTCTGCGTATTATGCGAATGGTTGTTCGTCATATTGGCTACTAGAACATCTCAGTATCAATTTTGACACAGCGGCGATGATCGCGTTTTTTTTTATTTATTGTTGCCATGACAGTTATCATATAACATACATCAGTTTTCTTATTATTAGGCCCACTGAATTGATTTAGCATAACCTTTTTTCGATAACTCAAGAATATTCTTTCCATTTGTTGGAAACTTTTTAGCAGGCGCTGAATATTAAAACAACACCACATATCCTTTGAACAGTTAATAAAAAGTATTAATACAAAATCGACAAAGATACTAACAAATTCAAGTAACAGCCTTTAAGGTACCAGAAAAGCAGCCAAACATGCTATTTTATTCCTACTACCATTTTAATCGAATAGAAAACAAAACGTTCATACCTGATGCTGTTGCTGCTGCTGTTGTTGCAGACCACCTTGTTGTTGTTGTTGCATGACATTTCCGGGATACGGCGGTGGTGGGCCTGGATACGGAGGCGGAGGAGGCTGTGGAGGTTGTTGCGGTGGTGTCGGCAGTGCCATTCTGGGCCGCACGTTAGGCGCAGGAGGAATACCTTGGTGCTGTTGATTAACACCTGGTAGCATCATACGGGGATTGGGTTGGCCTGTTCTCATTTGAAGTTTCTGATTTTGTACTAAACAGAAATACCAATAAGATTGATTACGTACCTATGTATTTTAACAATAAAACAGAAAACTCTAAAAATAAAAATGGTTATTTTTTTGAAATCAACTTGAGTTAGAATCTAACAGAATCGAACTTCTTCAGCGACCCTTCAATTATACAATATCTTCCCAGATTGTCCTTAGAAGAGAAAACGCTTTTTATTATTGACATTTTGAGAAAAATGCATTCTTCATGAAAATTTTTGTTTATTCTAGAATGGTTAATCCAGTTATCCTATTCCAAATTTCTTTAATGTTTTAGAGAAAATTAAAAAAAAACATGAAAATATAGTTGAATTTTTGTGCCAAAAATCATCAGAAGGCTGTGGTAATATCATTTCGATTTCATTCTTTGATAGATGGCATAGATAAAGAAAATAAATTTAGATTGCAATACGGCTTCCCGCTAAAACGTTTAATTGTTTTGGGTCGCATACGTTACTGCCGGCGCTGCTATAGCGGTTACTAAGAACGACCTCAAACAAGAATACAAAAAAATTTCTCCTGTCAAAGTCAGAATCTTCTAAAATTATAAAATCTTTCAAAATTTAAACCACTCACATTGAAAAAATACCGAAACATATCTAAAGCGTCCATTTTCAGTAAGTAATTATTACTATCTGGTAAGTTTAATTTAAATTTTATTTACTCAAACCCCTGATAATTGTGAAAAAGTGGCATTAAAAAAAACTTAAGCTGTGTGAAATAGAAAAACCATTGTTGCATAACGTAGGTTTCCAATGTAGATATTTCAATTCCTAACCAACTACCTGTTATTATATAAAGTTTCTTATATGCAACACACTGTGTTTTATTTATAAAATTAAAATAAAATAATAAATTTGAATAAATAATATATTGGCCACATCATTCCGGAAAAAGCCGAACCGCTCCGAAATTATCAAAAGATTTGGGTCGCGACCGTCGCACGAATAGCGCCAATCTAAATTTGTTTCATTTATCTATGATAAGATGGTTATTATTAATTAACGTCATATTTTTTGCAGTTGTTAAAGCACACATTTTCCGATAACTATTATCACCCTGTCCGTAGCATTGAACTAAATATATTTTGTGCTTCTTTAATATTTTAAAACAGCAAAAAATATGGCATTATTTAAGATTCTGTCATTAACAATCTATCAAAGAGTGAAAACGAAATTATATTACCGTAGAAATGCGCGCGTTTTGATTTTAGGACCTAGAAAAACTATATTTCCATGATTTTTTTAATTCTCTCTAATTTACAGAGATTACAGAAGAGAGGTACAGAAATTTGGTACAGAAATTTGGACAAGTATAAACGGGATTAATTTTTATTCTAGAACAAGTTTTTTTTCTCTGAAGAATAGATTTTTCTCAAAATGTCATTATAAAAAAAGTGTTTCCTCTTGTAAAGACAATCCGGGGACATACTGTATACAAATTGACCTAACCAATAAAAACGAAGTAACCCCTCAAGGACTTCCTCTAGGAGATGCAAAGCCTTGTCGTTGGTGGGAAAGCTCCTAGTCAAGTGCTAGGGGGAATCCCCTCTGCACTTTAGCTGTGTCTAAGGTGCATCTCATTGTCTTGTCCCTGGCTGTAGTGCCGTGGCCAGGGAATTGCACCAAGACGATGCCAGATGGGACTACCCTGTCCATCAACCAGGCACCCTCTATTCTCTGTGGTCATGTATCATGGGCAGAGGGTGTAGGGGAGGGGGGGTCTTAGCTTAACCGCCCGGACCAAGAGGAGACCTCACCAAAAACCTAAATGCTATGATGGCGGGACCAGGGGGTGCGTGGCTAGATAGAAGACTAAGCTCTACTGGTCTCAACCTTGAGCAACCTATTGTGTTCTCATCTCCCTTACTTCTACATGCGGGGTTCTGTAGAAGTGGACCGACTAACCTTTGCGGTGTAATTGACCTCAAAGCAAAGGAGGCAATAGAGAAAGAGGGATATATCCTCTATTATAGATTCGGGACAATACTGGTATTAGGTCTAAGGAAAGGCCAAGTTAAAAAGGTGGAGAAAATGATGACAGATCCTCCAGCCTCCACCTCACGGGTACCTCAGCCGGAAACAAGCTCCTCGACTGTGAAGGGCACCGAAGGCTAAACCCCAACTGTGGAAAAGTGTATATAGTAAACGCCACGTATGTTTGGGAGTGATTCATCGCTTGATGAAGTTAGAATCGACACGCACGCTATTATTTTTACATTAAAAACGTAAATTTTTACCGCAGACGTATGTTTTTAAAGGCCCGGCCCGGTCTAATCATCTGCCTGCGCTCCTCCTACTTATTCTAAAATGTTAGCGTGATTGACAAAGACGATACTATATCGCGTTTCTTTGATTGATCCGTTTTTGTGCGTCAGTCCATTGGTGTGCTTGCAGTGCGACCAATGGGGCATTCCAGTTTATATTTATAACCAGATATATGTTTAGACAAGACTTTGACAGTTAAAACAACAAATTACAACAGATTATATATTGATTATTGTATGACTTGAAACACCACAGCACTGGAATTAAGTTTTATGTGACCTTGAACAGATTAGTTCACATGGTAGCGACCGATAAATCACTCCCAAACATTCGTGGCGTTTACTATACCTTTATAGGAGGGAGATGCGAACTCCTCGGAGGATGAACATCTGTTGTCAGAGAAGGATTGGAAATACCCTTCAAATCCACTAGTATTCTAATCATCCCCATTTTAATCCACTAGCATTTTACAATCATAACTATTTTTATTATCAGTGATCTGTTAGAGTGGCAAAATATCTAAATACCTTCCAGTGATGAACTCACCATAAGGTATACACATTTTTTGAGGATTTTTGTTATCATTTTAGCGAGATAATTAATTCAAAACTTATACATAATATAAATAATATTTGAAACTTACACTGCATTAGTAATCTCTGCTGAAGATTGGGAGGAATTTGCAACTGGACATTGTTATTCGCCAATACAATTCCAACTATGCCATCTGGCGTTTGAAGCTTGGAACCAGGTGGCACTGGATTACCATTAGCTGCCGCTTGTTGAACCTTAGAAAAAAATGTACAGAGTATGAATAAATTCCACAGAGAAATCGACATATCAGCATAAGTGCAAAAATAATGACGAATTAAAAATTAAATTTGATTTATGAAGGGTTTATAGACAAAACAGAAAGCACATATAAAACTCAAATCCGTTTAGCAGAAGCAATACAGAGATGATTATTAATTGACGTGGAATAAAAGAATGTCTCATAATTTGAGACATAAGTATCAAAGTTAGGTATCATATTTAAGACTGGTAAAAAAATAATCTGTAAAAAATATCTCTACTATACAGGATATCTCACAAGTAAAATAAAGCATTTTCGAGAATGATCCTTCAGATTATTTTGATTGCATGGTGGGTCCGCATTGATATATTAGGAATCCATTTTGAAAATGTTAACTAACCCTGTAGGCCACAAAATTAATGTTTATAATTTTTAACAAGGCGTCAACGGTTTTTGTAGACGTATCTGTTTAAAAAAAACTAAAGTGTTCTTGAATAGGTGCATTTAGATGTTTTAAATAGTTTTTTTTCTTTGTTCTTAGTGTTTTTTGCTTCCGACGACAGAATATACCTGCCGAAACGTTGAACATTTTTTTGTCCGTTAGGCAAATTTGTTTATTAGTAAACCACTGCTTGATTGCTGTTTCATATTTTAATAACGTTTATATTTTATTAACAATTGGCTAATATTCTTCGTTGAAAAAAGTAATTATAATTTTAAAGCACTGCATGGAAATCTACAAAATTATTTTATGTTAACACTGCTGCGTTAATCCAACGGAGACTAATTGTCAGCAGTGTCTTGTAAATGAACAAATTGGCCTAACGGACAAAAAAATGCTTAACGTTTCGGAAAATTTATCTCTTTCCGTCGTCGCGTCGAAAGCAAAAAAAATATAAAGAATAAAAAAAAAATATTTAAAATATTTAAATGCAACTATTCCAGAACACTTTAGTTTTTTTAAAACAGATACGTCTACAAAAACCGTTGACGTTCTGTTAAAAATAAAATTAATTTGTATTTTTTTGCTTCCGACGACGGAAAGAGATAAACTTTACAAAACATTAAGCATTTTTTTGTCCGTTAGGTAAATTTGTTCATTTTAAGCTACTGCTGACAATTAGTCTCCGTTCGATTAATGCAGCAGTGTTTACAAAAAATAACTATTTTAAATCGTAGATTTTATTACAGTGAGGAAATACCCATAGGACTTTTTTGGAGAGATGAATCCGCCAGAGGTATATGCATTTTTCATTCAACTTTTTAGTAAAATTATCTGAAAGAAGACTCCCTAAAATATATTTTACTTAGGAAACAACCTGTATATGCCAAACCTGTACTTGTAGTCACGAAATAACCACCTTTTATGATGTCTACATAAAATGAATAAAATGGGTGCAACTTACGTATTTGGACATTTTGGATCCTACCTGCTGCAGCATCTGTTGATGGATCTGTTGCGCTGTAAAGGACAAATGAGATTGTTGAGGAGTCGGTTGTTGGACGCTAGGGGAAGAAGGGGCGGGTTGGGGTTTGGCTATAGGTGGCGCCTGTTGAGCCGCAGGCATGTGTGGCACTGGAGGATGTTGTGGCGCTGGAGGATGTTGTTGCGCTGGAGGATGTTGTGACACTGGAGGATGTTGTGGCACTGGAGGATGTTGTGGTACTGGAGGATGTTGTGGCAACAAGCTTTCAGGTTGATCTGACGCAGGCTGCTCAGCAGGTACCGCCTCCTTAGGGGGTGCGTTAATTGGCATGGATTCCGCAGGCTTTGGTGTTTCAGTGGGAGTTGAAGTAGTGGTGGTGGTTGTTGTAGTTGTTTCAGTGGCTGTTGACGCCTAAAAATAGCATTTCAATTTAAAGTTAGATACCCCCCTGTTTTTTGACATGAGAAATTCCATTTCGACATCAATATGACCTGCAGGGCGTCACCTACATATTTTAACGGGTGTGAATAGTAATAACTTTTCGTCTGTACCTGTATAAAAGTACTGGATAAAAACATAAATATCCGCAGTCTTTTACTTAAAAAAGGTCCAGATATTTGAAATCTAATTAATCAATACATGTCATTATTGACACAAATTAAACATGTTGACTTGGCAGTAACTAAAGTGAAATAATAAATTTGGAATTTTTTTGGCCAAAGGTTCAAGAAAAACTGTTTCATCATAATTCTTTTTAAAAAAATGATGATTAATTAAAAAAAGTCCCCGATTTACCATTTAAGTCAAATAATTATCTATAATCTCACACACACACACACACACACACACACAACACATGTTTATTTTCTTATCAATAATGACATGTCGTTATAAAATTTACATTTCCAAATTTCTTATTGCGTTAATCATCAAAATCACAGGTAAAACGCTGCTAGGTAGAGAACGAAGCGACAACATAAAGCAAACATGCAAGGTGGATAGCATTAATGAGTGGGTATTGAGCAGAAGACGCGAATGAAATGAACATATAAGCCGAATGGACGAGGGAAGAATAGTAAGGCCAGCTCGAGACAAAACACCACTGGGAAGAAGTACGGGAAAGCCAAGAAAAAGATGGTGTGATTACTATCGATTGAAACTGTAGGCATGATGTGAAGAATGAACAGGCAATCTGCCTAATATAGAGTAGAAAGAAGAAAAAGAAGACTTTGTTTCGTTTCTCATAATTTCGTTCAATAACTTTCCGCATGATAAGTTTATGATCCTAAAAAGTCACTCTATTTAGTTAATGAAATTTCTTTACCTTTACCTTTTTTTACCTCCATTGCTTTTTGGGTATAAATATAAAATAATAACACAAATTTTATAAATTAAATGAGAATTTCACTCAATCTTCCAATTTTTGCTTTATTTCTGCCACATAAATGACAGTGATTGACAAACAAAACCAGACAAACCAGCCCTCCCGCACTGGTTAGTATGGTGAGACATTTTTCAGGAACCGTGTTCCGTAATAATAAAACTTTCAGGCAACCGATAAAAACGGACAATAAAACCATAGCCAAGGTAAGCAACGGAATACAGCCTTACTTCAGTATAGCCTATTACAAAAACCGTCATTCTGGTATTTTCAAAAATCCTCTTTAAATATGAAAACATAGCGTTTGGTAACACTAGTATAATTAACGAACTCTTGGTTATACTTTATCAAAATAAACATAACCTGATATCTTTCTCTAGTAGCTAGTAGACATACCTGCTTTCTTAGAGCTGCCTCCTTCTTCCTTTCCTGCCGTAAGTGATCTTCCTCTAAATCTAAATCAAGAATATTTGTCTTTTCACCGGCCAGTGCTTCTAGTTCAGGATCAGCATATTCCAGAATATTGAAATCTGCGCCCATTTCAGCAAGAAGTTCGTCGTCATCATCGCCCAACCCTCCAAGTATTTCACTGACACCTTGAAGCTCCGCCATTGTTCCTAATAAATATAGTTTTATTGAAGTAACTTACTATTAAAAGAATAGTATTAAACAATTATTATATAAATCTATATTATACACTTAATATTCTTGAACCAATTAAACTTTTAGTTACGTAATCGAGGGCGCCATTTTTAAATTCATTGTTGCCAATCATGGGCATATTCGGTGCCGGGCTGACTAACTGGAATTTAAATTTCCCGACGGAAATTGAGGTGGTAGCTCTGCTCTAAAAAACGTCAAGTTGCCACATTTATTTATTTATTTCCTGACATTGTCATTCCTTTTGACACTTAAGCTTAAACATTTTTTACTAGCAGACCTTGCAGAGGAATACTGTTCTTTTTAGAACTTCTTTTAGTGTGAAGTGTACAGGGTGGACCATTTTGGTTGTTTCTATAGGGTATCTAGGAAATCGTGAGAAATATTCAAATTTTGATACTACAGTCTCGGGTTCTTTTTTTGAAAAAATTACAATGGCGCAAACGGATCTTGATAGGTTTCGAAGCTACAGGGGGATTCTCAAATTTTGTACTTTTTGAAGATGTTCGATAGTTTGTATAGTTTGTTTATTTCAGCATCCACGGAAAAATGAATTATACATTCTAAAGGCACTTTTCTGTGTAGAATGCAGTGGCGTAGTCAGACTTTATTCGAAAAAAATATTTTTTGAGATATTAACTATACTTGTTTTTTTTTAAATAGAATCCCCTGTATATTTTTAAATTTTCTTATTCAGCTTGGCATGGGCATCTCAAAAATATATAACACTCTATATTTATTTTCACTATTAAACTCAACATTTCAAATTTTTCTTAAAATATCCACTTAGTAGATAGTAGGCCGCGTCGAGTAACAAAGTAAACGGTTGTCATGGTGATCGGAACATACCTTTGATGGATGCGGGACATTTCATTTCAACAGATTGAAGTGTGTGTATTTGAAATAATAAAAAATGAGTATATTTGAAAATTTTGAGAAATATAATATGTTAGAATGTTATATTGAGTCTAACAAACATAAGCAAATGGCAGCTGATTTATATTTTGAGCGGTATCCAGAGCGCGAGCAACCAAACCCAGCCAAGAAGTCTGACTACGCCACTGCATTCTACACAGAAAAGTGCATTTAGAATGTATAATTCATTTTTCCGTGGTTGCTGAAATAAACAAACTATCGAACATCTTCAAAAAGTACATAATTTGAGAATCCCCCTGTAGCTTCGAAACCGATCAAGATAGCCACAATCCGTTTGCGCCATCGTAATTTTTTCAAAAAAAGAACCCGAGACTGCAGTATCAAAATTTTAATATTTCTCACGGTTTCCTAGATACCCTATAGAAACAACCAAATGGTCCACCCTGTACAAGATAGAATAGCTGTAAAAAACTCATCGCAAATTTATTAGAATATTTTGAACGGGAAAGCGTAGTAATTGTTCTTTATGTCCTTTAAGTGCTGTTAAGAAGGTGAGTTTTGTTGATGTAAATAGTAACTGTTTATATATTAATAATTATTAATTTATTTTTGTTTCCTAAAATATTTTAATTAAAAGAAAATATGTAAAAGTGGGCAACGCTGTGCCGGTCAAGCTTAATCACGTGACTAAAAGTTTATTTGATACAAACTATATGTCTTAAATTCTTCAAAACCTACATTTTTTTCTTATACATGCAAAACAACATGAGCAAGAAATGCAAAAAAAAATTAGTTGAATTAATTCTTAGTAACAATAAATACCTGTTTCTTGTTCTAGCTTTTCTAATTCGGCAGTGACATTATCGGGTATTTCTTGTTCGCCCGAGGGATCGCCTGAAGCTGCCGCCCCGCCACCCATGACAGACGATTGTGACACAGCTAACGAAGGTCTCTGAATGACCCTGATGGCCTCTGAGCTAAAGGATGCCTTGGATTTGTTTGGTCGAAAGGTCCTCTACTATTCTGTAGGTTTTGTCTCTGTTGAATAAGTTGTTCGTATTGTTCGATAGTAGTGGGTCTATTTCCTCCCAAACTGGCGTATCGATTGGCGCCGGCAAGCTGCTGCGGCATGGGGTTAGATAATCGCTAAAAATGTAATACATATTTAATTACAAGTAATTATAATCGAATAATAGTTCTTAAAAGTGTTGTCGGAGTAATTATATTTATTTATATTATTATTTTTCAATAGCCCTTATTTATCTAACCCCATGCCGGTAAGCTTCTGCGGCATGGGGTTAGATAATCGCTAAAAATGCCATGTATATTTAATTATAAGTAATTATAATCGAATAATAGTTCTTAAATGTGTTGTCGGAGTAATTATATTTCTTCTTCTTACAGTGCCATACTCTAATAGAGCGTCGCGCGGTGGGGTATTAGCATGAAAAAGGTGATCGAAATGCGAAAAAGCAAATGCGTTTAAGATTTTCCAAAAAAAGATAAATGATAAGTTAAATCATGTCTGCCATGAATGGCGTTGCTATGGGTGTGTTTAGTTGCATTCATTTGTTTCAACGAAACGTCAAAGTTGTTACTTCTCACAGATAAGAGGTAAATGGCTAAATTTTATGTTTAAAATGATAAATTGTTGTTGTTCTTGTGCTCTTTTTACGTTTATATTATTGTTTTGATTGAAAATGGCTCAAGCGGGAGGTATGTATTCTACAAAAACGTATTATTTATTTTGATATTCTCTATACTAACGATTTTTTTTGCAACTAAAAGTTAGGCGTTCAGAAAATTTGATTAAATTTGTGACATTTTTATTATTACTTAGAGATTTAGTTGCGCATTTCGAAGAATTCAGCATATTGTCTATATACGTTTTACTTAGTAAACATTGGGCTTCCATACAGTAAAATAAAAAACTGCGACTTTGCTGATAAAATGAGAAAAACATTCTTGGTTTCCTCTAATTTGCCAATTAGTGATATACTAATGCGAGGTGTAAACCGCGATGGCATTGTTGTGTACAAAGCGATCGCATTAGTGCCATTAGCAGTATAGCACAATTTGGCATTAGTAGCGACTTTAGTGGTATGGGCATTGCTCGCGGATCAGTCGTAGCATTAGTAGTATTAAAAAATGTCTATACCTCTGTGGCGGATTCATCTATCCAAAAAAAATCCTTATGGGTTTTTCGCCACTGCACTGCAAAAAAAATCTACAAAATAAAATAGTTATTTTTTGTAAACACTTCTGGCGTTAAACCTAAACGGACGCTGCTTGTCAGAAGTTCTGTTTACAGTAATAAAAATTTGCCTAACAAAGAAAAAAATGCTTAACGTTTCGGAAAGTTTTCTCTTTCCGTCGTCGGAAGCAAAAAAATATAAAGAATCAAGGAAAAAAAACTATTTAAAATATTTAAAATTGAACTATTCGAGAACACTTTACTTTTTAAAACAGATACGTCTACAAGAAATCGTTGACGTTCTGTTAAAATGACATTATATTAAGTTAAACTTCAAAATTAACAATTACTACCTGATAATTACTTAATAAGGTAAAACCAAAAAGCCCAAACTTTCTGTATGATTATTTTTAAATTTCACGTATGTTATGTTTATTTATGTAATCTTCTTTAAAATCAAAGAAGCGATTGCCATACATTACTAACATCTACAGATGCATGAGCAATACATTTATTTTTATTAGATTGAATTAAAAAAGCCTCTTTTATTTTTCTTATAGAGGCTATCGCTTCTTTCATTATAATTTTGGCGTTATTAAAATTTATTCTGTGCCCTGTGTCCCATGAATGCTGACAAATCTTAGATTTGTGAAAATCTCCCTTTCTTAAATAATCTTTATGTTCTTTAATTCTAACATCTAAGGGTCTAGATGTTTCACCAATGTAAAATTTATCGCATTCGCAGGGTATTTGGTATATTACATTTTTTGTTTGTTGTTCTGTATTCATTGGTTTAGTATGTGATAAAATTGATCTAAGTGTATTTTGTGTTTTGAAAGATGTTTGTATGTTATATTGTGTATTCCTATCCTTCTTATTTTTTCCGAAACGCCTCGTATGTATGGAATTGTAAGTTGTATATATTGTGTATTGTTATCTTTGTGTCTATGATTTGGGGTTTGTATTTCGTTTAATGTTTTGTCAATAAAATATGGTGGATAGTCGTTTTTTATTAATGTATTTTTTATGTGGTTTATATCTTTGTTTAGTGAAATGTCATCTGTATATATTATTTTAAAGATTATTTAAGAAAGGGAGCTTTTCACAAATCTAAGATTTGTCAGCATTCATGGGACACAGGGCACAGAATACATTTTAATAACGCCCTAAAAGAAAAATAAAAGAGGCTTTTTTAATTCAATCTAATAAAAATAAATGTATTGCTCATGCATCTGTAGATGTTAGTAATGTATGGCAATCGCTTCTTTGATTTTAAAGAACATTACATAAATAAACATAACATACGTAAAAATTAAAAACAAATTAAAAATAATCATACAGGAAGTTTGGGGCTTTTTGGTTTTACCTTATTAAGTAATTGTTATCAGGTAGTAATTGTTAATTTTGAAGTTTAACTTGGATATAATGTCATTTTAGTCAACGGTTTCTGTAGACGTATCTGTTTTAAAAAAACTAAAGTGTTCTAGAATAGTTCCATTTAAATATTTTAAATAGTTTTTTATCTTTATTCTTTGTATATTTTTTTCTGCTTCCGACGACGGAAAAAGATAAACTTTCCGAAACGTTAGGCATTTTTTTGTTCGTTAGGCAAATTTGTTTATCTGTAAACCTAACTGCTAACAAGTAGTTTCCACTGGATTAACGCAGCAGTTTTCACACTAAAAATAACAATTTTATTTTGTATATTTTCTTGCAGTGGCGAAATACCCATATAGGATTTTTTGGGGTTATTATATTTAGCCGTTTTAAATATAGAAAAGTCAATAAAAGTTAGCGTGCATGTCATCAAAGACGTCAAAACTGTTACCAAACTCGCGCGCTTTTTCTTTTTCTTGTAACATTTATATTTTGGTTAAAAAAGACAGCAGGCTGTCGCATCAAGTAAAGGAATTGACCGATAGAGGTTTTTTGTTGGTAGTCATGGCAAATGCTGGTTATAATGAGCTTTTTGCAAATTTGATATTTGTTATTGTCGATTTTATTAATTTGTACTAATCTGACATTTCTCAATTTCAATTTTATTCTGAATTTTCTTTGACAAATGAAGAGCACAAGGGAAAGATAAACGATGAGTGTCCAAAAACGGCTCCATGTTCAGGAAAACGTTTTTTAATTCAAATTACGCTATACTTTTATCGTTTTTCCCATGTTTAAATGCCTGTTTCTATGTAACCGTTATCGATTAGATATGAGCAAAACTGCGATTGCGATTTTTAAATCGCAGCGACTGTAACCTGCGATTGCGATTTTAATATTTACCAAACCAAATTATTAGAAAAAATGCTTTTCCTAAATATTCAGCCACCCTCGTTCCATTTGAAAAAATTGAGATATGATTAAAAATACGATTAGGGCATCTTGATTAAAAATTAGTGTTTTTAACATAGCCATGACATTCTAGATTGGAATGTAAAATGCGCCAATTATATACGTCATATAATAACAATTGAATACGTCAATCAATCCTAATAGTGATGGGCAAAACTGTTATTTTTAGATAACAGTTGAAACTGTTATAGTTATTTATAAAAAACAGCTTAAATTAACAGCTTAAAAATAACAGGTTTCTTTATTTTACTGCTAAATATCTGAAAGAGTATGAGGCGGTCACCGCCAGGCGTATTAACGGAGTTGCAAGTTGCAACAATGACGTGCTCGGTGGTAGTATTTCCAGAGTGCCAAAACATTTCTAAATATCGATTGTTATCTAAAATACCTCTCTAAAAACGGTGGTTGTTTACAAATAAGCGCTGTTTACAAATTGCGATATAAAAAAAGCCAAAATTTCGCAACTCGTCTATACCTATACATTCCGATCTACCTACGCCCTGCCCCTCAATCCGCGTAGATCCTGCGTAGCAGTGTACAGGGTGCATCTCACTCGACGGGCGAGAAGCTCTTAGTTATGATTTTACCATTTGCGGTCAAAAAATAGCAATATAAGAAAATGTGTAGTATATTCTTCATAAGTAAACCAACTACACAGTAGAGTTCGAATTAATCTTACACTTAAACTAGCGCCCGCGATTTCGTTCGCGCCGAATTAATAATTTCTAATGGTGATGATAAAGCAAAACAAGAATTTCCATTAACATACAAACTGGATAAAATTTTCTCACATTTGCCAAAAATAATCTTTCTAACGTCGAGCAGTTTAAGCAGAATCGTGGTTAATCAATTACTCAACTTTTTGGAACACCCTGTATGATTTTTTAAAAAATTTCAAAATATGTAAAAAAAACAAAATAAATTATGCGTGTCCAGGGGTTTTCCCGAAAGACTAACCATTTTTTAAATAACAAATATTCTAATATTTGAGGGGCGTTTTCACCCTGTTGGAATTTGAGATTCGAGAAACCCCTCCTTATCAAACCTCAACCCCACAGTCAACCTGTTTGCCAAAAATCAGCTTTAAACGTCAAGCAGTTTAAGCAGAATAGTGATTACTCAATGGTCATATTTTATGAAACACCCTGTATATATTTTTAAAAAATCTTAAAATATGTAAAACAACATAATAAAATATACGTGTTTTAAGAGTTTTTCCGAAAAACTCACCGGTTTTTAAATAAAAAATATTCTAATATTTGAGAGTAGTTTCACCCCCTTAGAATTCGAGTTTCGAAAAATCCTTCTTATCGAACCTCTACACACTAAAGTCAATCCGTTTTCCAAAAATCAGCTTTTACGTCAAGTGCTTTTAAGCAGGATCGTGATTAATCAATGACCAGATTTTTCAAAACACCCTGTATACATTTTTAAAAAATCTTAAAATATTATTCTGAAAATTTTTCAGAATAAATAAATACCTAAATATTGAAACTTAATAAGTAAGTAATGAAACATACAGCGCCATAATATTTCGACCTCCGCCCGTTATGCTCGTAACAGGTTGAAACAGAATGTATCTAAAAGAACTGATGCGTTATTCTCCAATCTGTTTCGAACCTCCATCGACAATCGACCGATGCAGCAGCGTTCCTTTGCCACTCCGATTATCTCGACCGCCGCCCTGTTATGCTCGTAACAGGTTGAAAAACAACATATCTAAAATGACTGCTTCTCCAACCCGTTGCGAGCCTCCATTGACAATCGACCGATGCAGCAGCTTTCCTTTCCCACTCCTGTTATCTCGACCGCCAGGCGTTATGCCCGCAACTGTTTCAAAAAACCTGCTTCTTTTATATCCTATTATTTTTAAGCTGTTGCGAACCCAATACGACCATAGACGGTATCGCCCGAAGCAGCTACGGTCGCCGTAGCGCTTTCCCCACTCCGTTGTCCATTGTCTCGCCGCTTGTATCGATGGTTGACGAAATAACATGTTTTCCATCCATACTAGTTGTTTTTTGGAATTGCTTGGAGCAGCATATAAATATTCAGCCACCCTCGTTCCATTTGAAAAAATTGAGATATGATTAAAAATACGATTAGGGCATCTTGATTAAAAATTAGTGTTTTTAACATAGCCATGACATTCTAGATTGGAATGTAAAATGCGCCAATTATATACGTCATATAATAACAATTGAATACGTCAATCAATCCTAATTCTTATACCAAAACTGTTTTTTTATCAGAAAAAATAAAAAAGTTATAGGGGGTGAACAACTCTTGAGAAACACCCGGTATAATATGATCATGGCCCTAGAAAAATAATACCTTCTCTATAAATAAATAATATCAGAGAGAAAATTCAACCGCAGTTTACTACAAAATGCTTGAATAGACTACAAAATTACATTCGCAACAATATCGCAAATCGCAACTCCTAAAAATTCAAATTCGCAGATAGAAATCACGGTCCCAGTTTACAAAATCGCAATCGCAGTTTCCTATGAGAGCCAATCGCAGATTGCGATTGCGATTTTAAAATCGCTGCGATTGAATCGCAGTTTGCGATTTTTTGCTCATCTCTATTATCGATATTCTTGTTTATTTAGGTACCAAAATGTGTAGCTTTTTAAGCCGAAAAATATGCATTAAAACCAAATTAGCAAAAAAAAATCTTTCATCCATTTTCCCGTGTGCTCAAATGTAAAATTAGATCTTAGATCTACGTTTGCTTTAGCTAAAACTGCGATTCCCATTGTAAAAAAATGTCCACCAGTCGGAGTCAGAAACATGTCCTGTTTCTACTCAAATATTTTGAACTGGACAGTGATCATGCCGAGCACCTTTTACTGCGTTAGAGAGGTAAATTGATATTGTTGCTTAAGTTAACCGGCTTTTATTGAAATTACGTAGATCTCTCAACGTGTATCAGATGCGTTCAGTACCAGTTCACAAACTAAGTAAAATCTCACAAAAAGTGAAGAGACTAATGTTAACCAATCTACATTTTTAACTTTACATTTTTCAGTTTTCATTCAGAAAACTTGCAAATAACTTTATTTAATTAGAATTTGTGTGTGTAATAATCTTAGACGAAGTAATAATGTATATAATACGCATTTTTTAGCAGGGCAGGGGTTTAGCCTAACCTGCTTTGTGTGCGAATTTTCTGTTTAAAGCTTGTTAGGCCAAGGAGACCACCCATTGCGGAACTGGTCGACAAATGGGTGGTCTCCTTGGCCTGACAAGCTTGTCAAACAGAAAATTCGCACATAAAGCAGGTGTACGGCTGTTAAATGTTTTTCAAAGTAATAATGTAGATATAAAAGTATTATAAAAATATGTATTGAGTCTAAAATTGAAATGAAAAATCGGTGACAAAATCATAAATTTTATTTTTAACACTTGTTAAAATATAAAGTAAAAAAAGTAGCCGTTGCAACATTGCGACCTGTATTCGTCAACTATTTTGGTGACGTGCACTTTTACTGATTTTTCCTATAGTTTCTTTTCTTTTGTTTCTGTAGTAGGTGTAGGCTTATTAATTTACTTTAGAGTTATGATTATTTTTTTCAACTAATGTTATAATATAAACGTTATTAAAATATGAAACATCAAAACAGGGACTAAAATAATTGATAAGTATTATACCTGCTGCTGAAGAAGGAGTCGTGTCCTAGGATCTAAACCTTGAAGCCTTCCATCCAGCTGTTGCATTCTGATCATACTTGGACGCGCTCCGACCGACATAGGAATTCTTGGACGAGCCAAACTAGGCGGCAGTGGTTGCCTAAATTTGAACATCAAGTATAGTTCAATATTATGTGTGACAATTAGGAATATTTATGTGGTTATAATCATATTTTTACGTACCTAAATGTGCCATCAGCTCCTGAAATATTAGTCGAAGATGGCAGTTCGGACTCTGGAGTCCTTTGACCCGATTTCTCTTGAGCCATATCAAAATTTTTCAATTGCTGCTGCCTTTGCAGTAAGTCTCTAAGTTGTCGAGTAACTTCTGGTTGATCAGAGCGTACCTATTTTATAAATCAAAGTATTTATTTATTTCAATGGTATAGTTCACCATTTTTACAAAATAATTGTGGAAATAATATTATATATCAATTAATAAATATGATACAAAAATCTTAGAGGCTTTAGCTTCATTCAGAACCTCGCAATTAGTGGAATAAATTAGGGATTTCAATTACACTTTATACTTTTTAGTTTACGATCATTCACAATGTCTAAAAAACACAATTAAAATTAATAGAATATCATAGCAACAGCTTGAGGTAATCAGTTGTACCCATTGTGTATCCAACCAAAGCAATGAGATTTTTGAATATCAGGAGTGCGATAGAGATAACATCACGTATCGGATTTTTCAGTCACAGAAAAGATCATGAAAGAAAACGCCTTGACCGTCTTCTGATGCGTGTCAAATACTCGTCAGCGAGTAATGGCTGTATGTATGTATGTGTGTACAGTTGTACAAATATAGGAAGAGACTTGGGGATAGCACCGGTCACATTTCATTCATAGCATTCATAGCATTTCTCACGTCTCTAGCTATACTTGTTAAGTTGTAGTTGTATCCATAGAGAAAGCCTAATATTTAGCTTAGAAAACAATAAACGTTTAATTTCTAACAACAATTTCTCTTGATGGATGATAATCAAAGGCCAAAATGACATTCCTTCAAATTTTGAAGCATAATTAGTGGAGAAGTTAAGTTTGTCAACTTTTTCCACTAATTGACAATTCCTACCGCTAATCTTAACGTTCTGAATGCTTACATTCATATTAGAGGAACAAACTACTAAGCTAATTGAAACTACTAAGACCGTACACACACGGGTCGTCTCAAACTAATTTGTGTTTTGTTTGTTTCCTTTCATGTTTTTCTGTTTTATTTTTAAAATTTAATAAGAATTTGATTGCTTCGAGTGTCTTGAATTTGAAATTGTTGAAACTACGGCAACCTCGCATGACGCAAGCTCGACACGGCGGCGCGATTATTCGTTGGGCTGTTTTCGATATATTGAATTCTGAATTACGATAAACATTCGAGAAATTTCTTTTTTGTGACCTTATCAATAATCAATTCATTTGTGTTTTGGGACACCCTGTATATCTATTTTTCTATAATATAACTCGTACATAATAATATAACTAGTACAGAATATAGATCGCAATGAAAACTAAAAATACCACATTTTTGGGTATATTAAAATGTATTAAAATTGTTTATTTTCGACAATCTAACCTAAGAAAATATATGCCGGTCATCTATTCTTAAACCGTTCTATACTATATACTACGAACTACGTTCTATATTCTATACTACGAACAGACATTCTATACAGAAACAGCGTTACATCATACAAACTTCGTACCTGAGAATTTTAGTTTGAACAACTACATTAGTAAAAACCAAAATACTTTAACACTATGCCACAGCCACGATTTCAATGCGATAAACATGCACGGTAACCGGGACGGTGTGAAATAAACTTAGTCGAACAGATTTAGTATTCAGCTCGTTCCAGCTTAGTATTCGCATCAAGCAAGAAATACTTTTGAAAAATTATAAGTCTATAAATAAATCTATCAGATTATTACCTGCACAGGTGCCCGAATTGTAGCGAACTGAGGTTTCTGAGCTTGGAACTGTTCGTTCCCGTTCGACGCCACGGCCTGCTTAACGAACGGCTGTTTTTGCTGAAGACTGGGCGGCGCGTAGTCGGGACTCAGAAGCTCCGCAACTTGGCCTTGCTGAGGGGGCGGCGGGAACTCGTGAACGGGCGACTGTGAAGGAGTGGGAGTACGAATGTTAGGAGGCTGAGGAGAGGGATGAGCGAAGGGAGGAGATTTCATACCAACGAATTGTCGGGGCACCGGCGAGGGTGACGCTACGGGGCTAGGTTCCTGATTAGACGTGGATACTTGGAGAAGATTGGATTGGTTGTTGGGTATGAAAACTTGTGAGTCTTGAGGTACCCGTTGAACTCTTGCTATAGCTGTAACAGTTAAAAATAATTTAATGTAATATTTTCGGCTACATCAGAAACCAAAACAGGGTTAAGTTAGCTTTTATCTAAATGAGTTTCTCTAATACGAGTTTACTAAATTAACCTTAAAATATCTGTTCATTTTCTGATAAGAATTTAAAAAAGTATTCATAGGACAAATATCTTAATAAAATTTTCGTGCCGTAGATTTCGTCTATAACACAAATGCAACTTTTTTTAGAAAATCTGATAAAAAATGACCTTATAAAGGTGCGTATACAGACCTGACGAGACGAGAGTCAGGCAAGAGCGAGACAAGAGCAAGACGAGAATGAGACATCTATCAATTTTTTGAGGCAAGCCTGCCACGAGACAAGCCAGTTGGATCATAGTCAAAGGAACCCAAACATATATTAAATTTTAATTGAATATAACAAACGATGACCAATTATAACGCATATAGTAATAAATCTTTAACGTATACGACGTAAGTCGTATTTTATTCATCGTCGTTTTTTTCCCTTTTGGTCTTCCCCTTTAACTCTTCATTGGTTTCGAGATACGACGTGTTTTACAAAATACGTTTTTTAGAACAAAATGTTAAATAGAAAAGTTATAGGGAAGGTTAAGAAACACATTTTAAAATTACTGTATAGTATACAGGGTACTTCAAAAAAGTGTTGCTATTTCTAAGCATTTCTAAGTTATTTTTATAGTTTATAAAATGAATAACTTTGAATTTTGACCGTAATTTTTTACCAACATGACAAATATAAAATCACTCTGTCAAAAAAGTTACTGATATTCTTTAAATTGAGTGCCTGAACAAATCAGATAGGTAGCTCTTTTTACTTTCGTGAAATAAAAAAGGAAAATAATAAAACAAGTGAAAGTTCTTCATCTTCTTGCAAAAATCAACACGAAATGACATAATTGTCAAAAGTAAAATGTCATCAGCTTTTGACATTTCTAAATATCAGACCAATGCCGTCTCTAATAGAACAGCCTCGGAGGGAGATTTATGACGTCACGCTAGTTAGATACTACGGATTAATAAATATGTTGTAGAATACATGGAAAACATAATTATTATTCCTCGTATTTTAGGTTTGTATTTTAAAAATGATGATATGAAATATACATAATATACAGTTAATAAATACAATATATATACCTATTTATAGTAATAAATACTTTGGCAATTAAACTATGAACCATACAAATGCAGCAAATGTTTTACGATATACAAATAATGAATAGGTACATAAGATAATGGGTAAACTGTAAAATATATTTTAAATTTGGGGGTTTGAAAATCGATCTAATTTAACAAAAATCATTCATCTACTAATAGTGATGTATTATTATTTACATTCCCAAAATGTATATGCATATTTTGCAAGTATCAATGTTCGAAAAATTATATTTGCAAATAATACAATATCATAGAAAAAAAGGCGTCAGCGATGGCTATGAAATAAAGATCGCTGTCATTTTATATGTAAAATTATTCTAAAATTTTTGATTTTCTTGAGATTTAGGTTCGGGAAAAACGCTGATTAATGTAGTGGTATAGGGAATAAATCAGTTTAAGTGAAAATTTTCAGTTTCAGAATGAAAGAATACTACTAATAATAGCTAATTTAAATTTTCCCCCAGCCAGAATGTGCGATAATGTCTTACGATACGTTTTATACCTATCTCTTTCTTTTTCATATAAAACACACATAATAAAGAAAGATAGCAATAAAGACGTATGTCCTGCCATGGTCCTGCTAATTGGTTTCAAAATTGTTATTCTGAGTTGCGCTACGGGAACGCGGTCCCTCTCTTTACCATGAGATTTGTCAGTCTCTTTTTATTTGTTTGTCTATGGCCGTAAATTAATTTTAATAAAATTTTAATATTCAGTCCCCTAGTAATAATTTACTGTTATATACCTAAAAAAAGTGAGCATAATAAAATGGTACTACGCGGGAAATAACTTAGACAGAGTATCTGACATGTTTCCATTAATTTTCCCTGAATATTAAAATTAAATTATTTTTGACAATGACAAAATCATAGTTTGTAAACATAAGGTATAGTCTGTAAAACGAATAACTTTGAATTTGACAGTTCCCGCGGGCTTTTCTAGTGTTAATTTTATTAGGTTAGCAACTTGCGGCCATGCTGACGTAATGCGGTCTCTAATAGAACAGCCTCAGAGCGATATTTATGACGTCACGCTAGTTAGATACTACGGATTAATAAATATGTTGTAGAATACATGGAAAACATAATTATTCCTCGTATTTTTGGTTTGTATTTTAAAAATGATATAGTTTACATGAAATATACATAATATACAGTTAATA